TTAGTTTTCTTTTGTTTTTTTGTAAACTTGTTTGTCTTTTGGTTGTTTTTCGTTTTCATGCCATGACATTGTCAGTTTGTTTCATCTTATGAATATAATACCCCTTTGGTAAGTTCTGTCTCTCTATCATTATAATTATGAGACACGGATTTAACCAAAATAGAAGATCCTAATTTGTTGTTGCAAATAACAAAATGTACTCCAAAATCAAAGACAATATCCTGAAATGTTTCAGAACCTCCATGATTCGATTTCAGGATCTCCATAATTCGATTTCATGATATCCTACAATATTTCAGGACCTCTGGAATTCGATTAAAAAACTCCATTATTCCTGAATCCAATTGTGGAGGTTCTTTAATCTTTCAGGATATCTTGAAATCAAATTTTGGGAGGTCATCAATAATGTATGGATATCCTGAATTTGCATTATGGAAGTCCTGAAATATTTCAGAATCTCCTTAAATGCAATAATTTTTACCAAATTCGTGTCTGATAAATGATGGTGCATAACATTTTTTTCACTACTAATAACTGTTAAATACCTTTAAATCTTTTCCCAAACAATAGATATTTTTTAGGACAGTTAGGCTATCACGGATAAAATCTAGTTCATGACCTCCATAACTCGATTTCATGATATCTTGAGATATTTCAGAGAATTCTATTTTCAGAACAAATATACAAATATACAAGTAGGCCAACACCCGCCAGTTATGACTGAAAAAGCCGCTATATCATTTTTTAGCATAAAATCACCCCAAAAACTGTTGACTCGCTCCGCTCTGCGGTATAAATACTGTTTCCCCTTTATAACATTCTGAGTGTGCCGTCGAGTTGAGGGTTAGTTTTATCAAGGCACATCTCCCAGAGTACACACAAGCAACCATCACTTGTCAATAATTACAATCTAATGTAGGTTGATACAGACAAGAAGAAGAACTATCATGTAAAAATTATGGTATAACAGGAAATTTGCATAGGAAGAACCCAAACACAAGAATTTTACAGAATTGGCATATTTTTTACGGAATAGAGAAAAATGACCTAAAAAGTTACAGCATACAGAAATATAGACCCCCTTCTGGTCCAATCCTACCCCTCATATAGCTCCTAACGTTTTAACGTATTTATAAATCCCTGGGTTTCAAATGTTATATTGTTTTGAGCGTTCCAGGTGGTGGGAAATCCAGAAAAGCGCTTTGGCCTTACGAAATTAACAAAGTGTCATTTTTCATCAACATATTCTACGCAATTAAAACTTTTAGTGCATTTAATTATAGAGGGTTTATTGCATTTGATCATCACAACCAAGCTTTCTAGCATTGACTGCATGTAAACTATGTACAAATAAATGAAAAAAAAATATAAATAGTAGGTACTTACAAAAATCCCTGCATCTCTAAAGTCCATATTACACTGTATTACCCTGTAGTTTTCTTTTCCTTCTGTCACAACATCTGTCAAACTAAATCCGATTTGCTTAATTTTTGTTCATGGTTTAATAATGTCATAATGTCGCCTTATAGATACAATGGTCGAATAATAATGTCGACAAATTGACAGGATTTGAATAATGTATGCGGATTTTTATATTATAACTAAGCTTGAATAAATATCTGACCTTTTGGTCGAAATATACTGATATTAAATTTTATGTATGTTACCACCTACATCAATCTATTTTGAATAAAACGATATTAATTCTGCATGTCAAGCTACTATATATATAACATGGAATTTACCTTTATTAGCGATAATTTCAGTGTTTCTATGGTATGACCTAGTGAGTCGGCAATACATCTTCTGGGTTATCCGAAATTAAGTATTGAACTGATGAATATAAAACCCCGAAAATCATTATTCATTGGAGATAAGTCCATGTATTCATCTTAATTTAGACATTTAAATTTGGCAGCAATAGATTAATTATACAGAATCAGACTCTTTAAGTATAAATATTGATTTTACTTTTGGTCCATTTATCTTTTTTTAGTCTCTCACTTCAACGTTCCGTAAAACATCATCCAGTGTCCAATCAGCAGTGAAGGTTGGTTGAGGACTCAACTTTACAACAAAAGAGATGAATTCAATTTTCCTACTATGAACCTTCATTTTTATTTATCAAAAACTCAAGCACCATCGTAACCTCAGGTTTATACGATACAGGCACCGTCTTACGGTGTTTATGTATCACAACTCGTTCGCTGTGCACGTATCTGGATCTCGAGTGACGTTTTGGATTTAAATGAGCGTAATCTATGTATTCCTGGTAAATTATTAAGTCAGGGACTTCGTAACCACAAATTACTTAAAACTTTTATTAAATTCTTCCATAGATATGTTACAGACGTTTTCTTAATTTAGGCATTTTGTAAAACGACTGAATTTTCAGGCAATTTATAAAATGCCTAATCTTGACAGGCATTATATAAAATGACTAAAAATACCTATTCATTTTGTAAAATGACTGAAATTTTGAAACAAAATTCAACAAATGGTCTGTTCAGTTTCAGGTAATTTATTGAAAAAAAAAATACTTATCATTGAGATGCATTTGACCAAAAACACAATATATTGCAAAGAAAATGATTAATTATTTGGTAAAATTTTGTTTATCCTCCAAAACGAGCTGTAAGTTTGTATTATTTTTAGTGAAACTACGTAAAGTATGTACTCACTATGTAGTGTAATTTTATGATCTTCTTGTCATAATGACAGAAGTACAAATTGTACTTTATACAATAGAAAAAAGTTTAGAAACGAAATTTTAGAAAATCTAGATTCAAAACAGAAGTTTGTTATATCAAGCAGAGAAAAATAAGCATGTTTTTTATTGGCTGATTGTTGTTTGTTTGCATTCAGTAGCAAATATTTCAAGCATATTTAAGACGAGAACAAATTGATAATAAATCAAAGAGCTAATCTCTGCAATAGATTAACCAGAGAAAGGAGAGGAATTTTTACTGTTGCTTGAAATGAAGGTATGTTGGATAGGGACAGAAAAGTTGCATCGAATTTATATATTATGCACAGCCAAGCAGATTCCCTCTCTATAGCATGGGTTTCGCCATACAAATTCAAGTCTAGTTGGGATGCAAATGTATATGAATATTTTCCTCTTCACTGCCCAAAAGAATCCTTGGATCTTTATAATTGGATGATTTAATGCATCATTAGATAAATAAACAGACGACAAATTCAAGATTTTTGAATAAAATAAGAAATAATATATAATGTGTACGGTTTTTATGAATTCATGATATAGGTATGAGATGCGGATGGGTTTTCATCGCGCCTACAGCCATCCAGGTGCAAAATTGATACACAAATAGATAAATATTAAGAATAGTTCACGAACAGAGCGTGCAAGAGATTTTAAAGTAGCAGTTAAGTTTCATTTGCAGAAAAATGTACCTCACAAGTTAAACATAATTAATAATGTTGTTTAACTTAAAACATGTTTTGTTATTCAGCTTGTTGATATTGAATCAAATTCCACTATGCTGTTTTCGTTATGCGATTCATGTTTACTGTCGAATAATGATACTAGACTTTCATTTTCACTGTAGGGCGATTCATTTCTATTGTATATGCGATGCATATAAGTAAAATCTTAAAAATCGACCAAGATGAGACAAATAAAGGTGCCCCAACATGGTAATTGTCCCCTGCGTCGCCCGATATGCGAATAGCTGCTTCAGCCTATTAAAAGCACTTTCACGGTACTACAATCTGTCGATACCTATATTTTGGCATTGCACGATGTCATGTTTTTCTCTGACTGTTAATGGCGACTTTACACAAAATCCAGTGGATGTTGGATGTGTACTGATTGATATTTTAGTCTTAGATACATGATTTTTCTTTATCAGTTTTTATTGGCTTTCAGTAACTGCGAGTACTCTCATATATGTACTGTGTGTCTTTTTTGTTGTTAGGGATGAGGGATGTATAAATACTCTGCGACGTCCGGTCTGTGTAATTTTTTGTTTTGATGTTTTTCTGCTTTGTATCGATTTGATGAGTTTAGCCCTTTTCAACTGATTTTTATAGTTTTGTTCTTATCTTGTGTTGTAACACCACTTTCCCAGGTTAGGGGAGGGGGTTGAGCGCTCACAAACATGTTAAACCCAGCCATATTCTTTATTTGCCTATCCCAAGTCAGGAGCCTGTGGTTCAGTGGTTGTCGTTGGTTCATGTCTGTCATATTTGTTTTTCGTGAATTGTTTTGTTATGAATTAGGTCGTTAGTTTTCTCAATTGAATTGTTTCATATTTTTCATGTCGGTGCCTTTAATAGCCGACTATACGGTATGGGTTTTTCTTCTTGTTGAAGGCCGTACGTTTGCCCATAATTGCTTACATCCACTTCTTTTGCACTTTGGTGGATAGTTGTCTCATTGGCAATCATACCATATCTCCTTATCTTTATATAGTGTTATTTTCATGTTTTAGCGCTGGGTCGATACCACTGCTGGTTAACCGTTATTCTCCGAGAGAATCATCAGCTCAGTAGTCTGCTTATGTACTGACATGATGTTTAACATTTTTTGTTTAAATCTCTGATGACAAACTAAAAAATATTTAGAAATTAAGGTTGAATTCTCTCATGCTAAGTTAACTTTAGATAAATTTGTCTTATCTTTTAGGTCCTTTCGGTCATATAGCTCCTAACGTTTCTATTTATTAATACATCCCTGGCTTTTAAATATTAAGGTTGAGTGTTCCAGATTGTAAGGTAAATACAGAAACCGCTTCGGACGCACAAAATGTATTACTTCGCATCACAGTGCGAAGCTATTATCTTCAGTCGATATTTTTTTCCGTTTTTTCCTATGTATGATGGGTCTGGTCTTTTTATCATATCATCAGTCATTACATTCAATATATGCAAATGATAGAAAACAACGCTTGGCACATACAGGAACAAAATACATCCAGACTCCCACATGCCCAATAAAATGTTCCTTATATTAAATACACGTAGTTTGTTCTAAACAAAGCAACTGAGGTAGACTTTAATAAATATATCAATGGGTAACACGTTTAAAAGGTAATGAAAAAAACATGAAAAGAGTAAAAATAATCATCTATCCAATAATTTGATAAAAGTTTTTAGAATAATTTAAATAACATTATAACAAACACTGTTCTTCACTAATTGTGAAAAGTTATTTATATTGACCTCTTCGTCGTCAAAGAATATAACTGGCGTGTCTGTCCTAGTTGAAGCCATGGTATCCACTATCACGTGACCATCTGTTTCAATGTCATTGATGTCACTTTCTACATTTATGTTTCCACGCGGTCCTGAATCTAACATATCACCTTTATCTACATCTGTAAAATCCTTCCTGTCATAAAATATATCCAAAAATGTTTCTGCTTTGTCATATCCACAAATGATAACGTTTCCTTTCCTTGCATATTTGTTCGGCACAATTTGAAAGTCGTCTGACTTTTCAATAAAAACATCAGTTAGTCCAAGTCTTTCTACTTCAATAAGAATTGTTTCCATATTCATCTTTGATGGTCTGATCGCACTTATAATAAATAATTGGCATTTTAAGTCATTTTTCCACTTTAGGAGTATATTCTTGTCAACTCCAGTCTGTAAGGTACGTCTTTCGGGATTGTACTGCTTCAAAGTATTGTCCCAATCAAAAACTACCGCAGAGCAGGATGAGACGGTATCCTCCTTAATATCCCCTATAGATATTTTAAATATACTACTAGAAGGGGCAGTTGCCATTTGGTTAAAAAAAGATATGCTGCTCTGTGGACCTCAGCAACCTATAATTTAAGATATAATGAAGTGCATTAAATAAATATATAAATACTGTTTTTTAAGAGTCCGGTTTTTGGAATATGTGTCATGGGACTAAGTGGGCATATTCCAAATGCCGGCGTTTTACGCTTCCATGCACATATCAGCATTACTTTATATAAATTTATATTACATTTCCGCAATTTTTTTCAAGAACATTTTATGTAATGCATTAAGTTAAATTTCTGCAAATTGTTTGCCTCCTGTTTAAACAGGGTAAATGTTGTAATGTATATATATCGAATATATGTATATATAGATAATTATGTTCTTTTCTATATAAAATAGTAGCAGTTTAATTATTAGCTAGGAAACGTTATTTATATAACACATGAAAAGGGTAACATTTACACATTGTACAGGGGTGTAGCTAGGCCAATATGATGTGTACTCAATGCCGGAGGAGGAAGTGAAACTGTAAGGGGTTTGGGGGGCGCTGAAGGCCCCCAGAAGCTCTGGGTAAATGGTAAAATCCTGCATTCTCGCAATTTCCTGGGACTTAAAATGACCTCACCGAAATCTTATTTTCATGAGTAACAAGTCAACTTTTGAAAAAAAAAATGAATATTGATTAGAGAAAAACAAAAGTACTGTTGGCTTAGGAATTTGGATTTTCTAATGTGTAGTGGGTTGAGCTTGATTAAATTAAATTAAAATTGATATTCGTTGCTAGTTAGTTAAGGAAAAAGGGGTGGTAAAGGGTGGTATTTGCATGGAAAAAACGTTAAATACAAAGAAGTAAAAACAATTTCACAGTGAACGTGAAATAATTTCGTCCATGAACGTTGATAAAAAAAGTACTATATAACGAACGCATGTCATAGGTTGGAAACCTTTAACTGGCAAATATATAATGTTTACGTTTTAAGTCCCGAAATCTATAAGGAAAATGATCAAATTATTTCCGATTTCTTTTTATTAACTTCCAAAACGATAGTCTTTTAATTTTACCAAGCACGGAAAAACAAGGACTTTAAATCTCGAAGCATGGAAAATAAGCACTTTTAATCTCGAAGCACGTATAACTAAGTTAGGGGAACACTTTGAACGAGACACCCGTCTTGCACAACTGAACGTACAAATAAAAAAAGTAAAAACTCGTTGATCGTCAATTTAAATTTAAAAAAAACGGCAAGCACGATGCACGAAAATTACCCTTTACCAACCCTGTTAAACTTAAGTCTGACTGGACTGTTTAAAAAAATCTGTTATGACGACGTATGTAATTAAGACTATACATACCTCACAGGAAAACCATGAGAATGAATCGGTGTTCATGGTCTCTTTATAACGTCATATTTTATTTCGCCAGTTATTTTGAAATCTTCAGAAAAGATGTCAGGACTGGGTCAGGAGGCATAGAATTGTTTTCTGACACCTCGAGGACCATTTTAATTGTTTGCATCAGCAACATATAATCATGATGCTGGTTTCGTAAATGAAAAGTAATTTCAGGAATGGAATATAGCTACAAAGTGATTATTAACATGTTTAATTTGTAAAATAGTTTTTAATTTAATTTATTACTTTAGTTTTATTTTTACTAGATTTACCATATTTGTATTTTTGTAAAATTTTCGATGTGTACGCAACTGCGTTTTTGCGTACGGGTTGCTACGCGCCTGGCACTCATACCACATCTTCTTATATCTATAAACAGGAAAGACCAGACACAATATTTATCATAGAAGTCCAAAGAAGTCGTAAAATAGGTTTGCATGCATGGTAGATTTAAAATATATTATTAATTAACTTCCAGTTGCGGATCAAGGATTTTGAAAAGGCTGGAGACCATAGCAACGTTAGCTGTGGCACTTGAAAAACTGAGAAAAGAAATAGATATAAAAATCCGCCTCTGGCTTCATAAGTTTTATAAGTTGAAACCGGGTAAAAGTAATAAATAAATAAAGCATTTACACAATTATAACTATTTTCAATGTTTATTGTCATTTCGAAGTATTTGTGAAGAAAATGAAACACTTTACCTTGGCTTCTTTTTTGCTGGCAACTACATCCTACATAAGTTCTGAAGAAGTTTTTATTATATCGATGGTTTTACGTAAGAGGACAAAAAAATGAACCTACATATTAAATTGATAAAAAAAATCGACATTCTCTGCTCTATAGATTTTCAAAAAATGGAATCTAAAAGATATCATTATAAATGTACCGTATCAAATGCATATATGAGATTTTATTTTGTGAACTACTACTTATAAACTGTTACGCTTTGCATGCTTTGTAGTGTAGAGATGATGCATCTTAAATGGTTTATTCCGTAAGGATCAAATGCTGTAATATTTTTTTCCAGAATATTCCAGAATATATATTGCATTTGGAACTTATTTTATTTGGGTCTAATACATAAATATATTTAGATATTGGTCCCAGATATTATTAAGGAATCTAGTTCATGGACACGATTCTGTGTAACCGTTCGGATTTGTGGACGGGGAACTTTTTATATGTGTTGTCTTTCATTATATTTCCCTTAGAACTTGTATATATAAATGTAGGTCTGGATGGGGCTTACAGAATAGAGAATAATGGACAAAAGGTGCAGAATAAAGGATGCAAAACGAAATAAAGATGATAGAGAAGAATAGGCTAAAAATAAATAAAGAATAGAGAATAATGGGGTGCTGAAATGTAAAGAATACCATGTGAGAGAAAAATAGCAAAATTGAACAAAAATAGAGAAAAATGTCATACAAAATAAAGAATAAAGAGATGAAGGCAATTCAGACTCTCATAAATCATTCGACAGTTCAAGAACTGCCTGGGCACAATATAAAAATACATCCGGATGTTGTTCATTGTGAAACCGGAAAAGCGTTTACTTTTACTTTGCGAAATACTGTCAATCTTACATGTGTAGATTATTCGCTGTTACAAGACTCTTATTCCACTGGAGTAAGTATCCCATTAACATACATTACGTCTTATAATATACTTACGTCGATGCTTCGTCGATTGCTTTAAATACTGCACACGAAAGGCAAAAGTAAGTCAGGAGGAAAGCAAAGGGAGATAATTTTGAACGACAAGGCTGACGTGTTTGGTCGTAGGATAATTTTTGTGTTCGTAATTAATGCATTTTCTTTATATAATAATACAACTTAACAGCGTTTTCAAAGTTGAGGAAACAAGCAACATAGACCAATTCAATATAGAACTTTCGTTTTGATGCATACGAATGTGAAAAAAATCTTGCCCTGTATCACTATCAGGGAACAAACACATATCCATTTTATTCATTATTACATGCCCGATTAAAAGCATATAAATCAGTAAAAATCGCGAAAAACAACGTATAAGCGATAGGTAGATACATCATATGGATGCAAACCGTTCATACAGATTATTCAAAAAAAAAGGGGGGGGGATACTATAGCCAGTAAAAGAGGGACAACTCTGTTTGATATTCCGATATCATCTGGAAATTTATATGATCCAGATAAAAATGTTTTCTAAAATAATGTCAATTTTGTCATGAATGTCAGAATGTTTTACAAGCCTAGAAACATTTAAAATAAATTTTGTAAGAATCAGTTATGTCTTATAACTTGTTGATACCTTACCTAGTATGTAACTTCCTCCTCTAGCAGGAGCTTCGCTTTCAAGCACCCATAATTCTTACACATATACCGAAGAGGGTCTGGATCGGGGTCCTTCAATTTTGTATTCTTTTAGGCCATTTTTCTCTGTTCTTTATACTTTTTGCCCATTATTCTCTATTTTTTTTTATATTAGCACCTCTTTATCTCTATTCTTTATTTTTTTGGTCCATTTTTCTCTATTCTTTATATTTTTTGCCCATTATTCTCTATTCTGTAAACCCCATCTACACCCTCATAAAATGATGGAGTGCTCTTAGTATAAGTTGATATACATGAAATTAATAGTTCACCACTCATGCTAAAACTTATTTACCAGATTTTGATTAAGGGGGTGTTTTATGGAGCTATGGTAAATGCATACACTTTTTACATGTCCTAGCTACTCCAAACATAACCTACAAAATGTAGTTTGTTGTCCCCCCACTGTTTCAAAATCCTGGATCTGCATCTGTTAACTGCATGCTGAATATTCCATTATCACATATAGGAATGTAGATACGATTACACACGTTATTGGCTTGAAGATATAAAGCATAAAATGTTTAAGTGCCAGTCTTTGTAAGAATCAGGTAATTTAGAAGAATTTCAAAACATGGCCGAAAAAAAACCCACTGACCTAAACATCCTATTTTGAAGACACCCTAATCCTGAGATAGAAATGGTAGGTCCTTCTTTTCTGTGTGTCTGGTAATTCAAGAAATTGCTAGATAACTTTTGGTTAGAATGATAGCAAATTATTTGGTTAGCTCTCCTTAATCATTAATTTCTAGTGCATTTCAACCAAATTATATCTTGAAATACCAGAACAGGAAAAGGAAACGAATGTTATATTCTTGCACCATTATACATTTTTACTTAAATTAATGTGAACTTGAGCGAGTTTTTGTTTGTCATGTTTTTATCACTGCCTGATTCTTACACAGATTGCCACTTAATACTTAATTATTTCAACGTCCAAGTCTTTCACAGAATTATATGATTACAAATTCCTGAAAAAACTTAAATGTGATGGTTTCTTCAAAAGGTTTGATTTATTAATGGTGAATAATGTACTGTTACTAACTGTACTGTGCATTGATATCTTTGATTTTATCTTCTTATATCTGGACAGGGAATTTTATTGTTCAATGTATAGTAGTATTTTTAGATAAATTAAGTTATCTCCCTTTAACTAGACTCCTTATTGTTGAGCCTTCGACTTTAGTCGAAAAAGCGAGACATAGCAATCCTACATTCCGTCAGCGTAGTTGTCGGTGGCGTCCACAAATATTCACTCTGTGGTTTCTTAAACTATCCTGGGTTTCTACCAAACTTGGCAGAAGCTTGTTTATGTTGTTTATGATCATAAGATAGTATCCAGAAGTAAATTTTGTAAAAGTAAAATTCCTGTTTTTCCGTTTTAATAATGAGGTTTGAATGAATTTTCACACTTTTGTAATAAAGTGGTACATTTTAAGTTTTCAAAACCATTTATTTATTGGTATAATTTATTTTTAGAATCACATTTAGTACAACTTAATTTTGAAAGTATTAGTACTAGTCATACAGAATGACAAACTGATTTAAATCAGATCATTCACACAACTGTAATAAAATTATTTTTTGCAGCATGTAAGATCTTTGGCATCCAATCAAATCTTTCCATTCAAAATTGTTTGTGCTTTTACTATGGACTATATAAAAATATTTTTGGGGACACTAGGAAATTTTTCCAAATATACATTCTAACTGTTTAATTTGACATCATTCTGAGTTTATGCACCAATTATTTGCCAATCTCATTGAAAGCATTTCTTAACTAAGCAAACAATAAAGTTTCATTTAGCATGGACTTCAAGAAGTCACAAAATTGAGACTTGGGACTGTTGTTTCCAACAGCAGTGTCAACAATTTTTATGCCCCTGCCGTAGCGGTGGGGGCATTAAGTTTTACCCTTGTCCGTCTGTACGTACGTACGTCCCAAAATTGGTTTCCGTTCTCTAACTTAAATGTTATGAGACTTACACACAATGCTTATTACCACAAAACTCAGATCAAGTTCAAATTTGGGTAGCGTAACTTTTACCGTTCTTCAGTTATGTCCCTTTATAACTATATGATATGCAAGCGGGGGCATCATCTGTGTCCACATGTGTCCACTATCCACATTTATTTTTTTAACTTTGTTACTGGGTCTATTTAAGGGAGCAAATGATATTGCATTGGCACATCATATTTCCATGGAGATTATTTGGTCCAACCCCCTCAGTCATTGTCAGTCAAGGTCTGTTGAAATTTTTGCTTAGTTTACATGCAATTGTTTGTGATTAGGACAGTTTATAGGGAACCACTAGTGATAGGTCAATGATATTTGGTACACAGTTGTATTGTCATTGGCACATCTCATTTCCATGGAGATTATTTGGCCCCGCCCCTCAGTCATGGTCTGTTGACTTTGAAACCTTTGTTTAGTGTACATTGTATTAGTTTGTGATTAGGTCAGTTTATGGGGAACCACTAGTGATAGGCCAATGATATTTGGTATGCATGTGTATTATCATTTGCACATCTCATTTCCATAGAGATTATTTGGCCTTGTACCTTCAGTCATGGTTTATAGACTTTGAATATTTTGCATATCTTCCATGTAAAAGTATTGCTATTTTAATTTCAACATTTGCATTTTACTATCAAAATAACAAGAAGTCGAGACATTTCTCTATGTTGACAGTTTATTTAAATATAGATGTATTATGTTGTCATGAAAGTATGTCTTTGGTTTGAGATTATAATTACTTAAAACACATTTTATATCTTTTTGACAGATGAAGAAATGAGTGAAGAAAACCATTCAAAACCAACATACTCGGAACAAAGGGAGATTGAGTGTCAAACAGAATTAGTCAATGCACATTATGAAGAAGAAGAAGAAGAAGATGATGATGATGGGCTGTATGGTCTGCTTAAACTGCCACAAGACAATGATGGCAGTGGTCAATACCCTTCAGTGCAAGATATTTCTAACATAAATACAGAACAGTTAATGAAAATGGAAAGCTTAAAGAAAAATGACTTTACTATTAATTCAAAGAACTTATTGCGATGGACAAAGGTCATTACCCCAAGTAAATTTGCTGAGCAACCAGTAGAAGAAGCAAGCTGGGAAATTTTATCAAAAACCTACTCCAAAATGAAAAAGGTAATTCATACTGCTGGGAAACACAAGAACGTGATCCCTAAGAAAGCTAAAACAGATAGCAAACACTTAAGGAATATTTCACTATTCAATCAATCACAAGCCAATGATATTGTACAAGAAGAAGGAATGTTTATTGCTGAATCAATAGATGCAACAAATTTAGAAAACACTCTAATACCTGATCAATATTTGGGCAATCAAACAATTCTTTCTAATGTTCAGAATATCATTTCATCAGAAACCTTTTCGGAACCAAACAATTCATTTCAAACTACACCCATTCAAAACAAACAGTTTATTGCAGAAAACATAACTCAAGTTGTAATACCATTTGAAGAAAACATTGTTAAACCAGAAGAACAATACAGAGAAGAGGAAAATAAACTTGAACAAGCTGTTCATTTTCTACAAGAAACTGTTACTGGAGTTGGCATATCCCAACAGCATTTGAAACAAGAAAACAACTCTCAAATAATGAAAAATGTTCAAACTAATACACAAACATACACAAAACAACAACAACCTACATTAAATCTTGAAAAACTTATAGAGACCTTAAGGAATCATGGAAAAGGTATAAATACATTAGATCATTTACTGTCAAATGAAGAAGGGGAAATAAAAGTCAATGGTGCTCCTCTGAAATTCATTCTTGTAGAACAATCAGAAGATGCTAATTTACCAAGCACAGAGATATTAACTTCAACAAATGAACATGATACAATAGGAAATATAAAGTATTTCGTTCATTCAAGCATCAAAGCAGACAATCTTTCAGACATTCCTTCTAAGAAAAATACTTACAGTATGCCACTGGTTAGTGATGCTAATACAAGTAAAGAAGAGACACCAGGTGTGAATGATTTGTTGAATAAAAATTTTATAGCTGGTAGTTTGGACAAAGATAAACTGAAAGCAGATGAGTATCATGAAATGCTTAAAGCTGCAAACAAGATATTGCGAACAAAAGTAAGCGACGAAAAGAATTTGACAGACAAAGAGAGAAAATACAGATGTGACATATGTTCAGCATCGTTTAAGAAAAGTTGTAACTTATCAGCTCATAAACGAATCCATAACAATGATAGAAGATTTTCATGTCACATATGTAGTCAGAAGTTCTATGTTGGAACTAAACTAAGATCTCATATGAGGATTCACACAAATACTAAGCCTTTTGTATGTAATATCTGTAAGAAAGCATTTCGTGAAAAATCGGTTTTGAAAAATCATATCTTGACTCACACTGGAAAGAAAGAGTTTGAATGTTCTATCTGTAAAAAGAAGTTTTTCCGTAAAAGTAAGCTGGATATACATATGAGAATTCATAGTGACAATAAGCCCTATAAATGTGAACACTGTAACAGATCATTTGCTGTCATTTACTATTACAGAAAACATGTAAAAAAACATGCTGTAAAGAAAGAATTTGAGTGTGATATTTGTAGGAAGGGGTTTCATTTAAAAGAAAATTATAAGTGTCATCTTTTATCACATGATAAATCAAAAAGAATACAATGTGAGAAATGCTTAAAAACATTCATCAAAGAATCACTATTAAAGAACCACAACTGTTTAGGCATGCCAGTAAAGTCTGCTATGAGTCAGTTCCTTTGTGATCAGTGTAGTAATAGCTTTAGTAGCAAATCACAACTCTTGATACATCTCAAAGAACATCGAGGTGAAGATGTCTTTTATTGCAAGATTTGTAATAAACCATTCCTTCATGAATACCTTCTGAAACGTCACAAGGTTGTCCACAGTGATAAAAAACCTTATAAATGTAGAGTGTGTAAAGTTGAGTTTAGTTGGATATCTAGCTTACGTACACATATCATGACTAAACATAAGGACAAGATCAGGGAACAAGAAAAAGAAATGAAACACAACGATGGAGTAGATCTGGCAGGAGAAATAACAGAAGAGAGAAACAGAAGAATAGGCAGTGAAACTGAGTTTATGGAAGAAAAATCAGATACCCAGTTGGATGCTCAGATATCCCCTCATACAGAAAATGTATGTGCTGTATGCAATCAATGCTTTGTAGCAGAAGAATCCTTAAAAGAACATTACAGAACACATAACCTAGATTGGACTTCATCAACAAAACGTAATCCTGAAAAATTGCAAAAATTATATAATAAAGACAAGTTTGAGATAAAACAAGTGGTTTCATTTCAGTGTGACAGATGTAAGAAAATTTTACCTGAAACTGAAAGAGACTCCCATTCTTCGGTTCATGCTAGATATCCCTTTATCTGTGATTTTTGTTGCATGAATTTTGAACAGGAACTCTATTTACTGAAACATTTAGAAATACACAAGGGAGATAAACCACACAGATGTAATTTATGTGGAGAGAAATTTGCAACATTGCAGCAATTAACAACTCACAGGCAAATTCACGAGGAGGAAGAAAATAAACCAATAAAGTGTGATGATTGTGGGAAGAGATTCCGTAATAATTATAGTTTAAATTTACACAGGCATATACATACTAACGAGAAACCATATAAATGTGATGAATGTACAGAGAACTTTTCTAGAAATGATTATCTCAAAAGACATAAAGCAAGGTTCCATTCAGGGCAAGTGTTCCAATGCAACAGTTGCCCAAAAACATTTTATGAAAGATATGAGTTGTCAAGACACATTCAGTCCTCACATGTTAAAGACAAACCACACATTTGTACAGTATGTGATAAGAAATTTGCCTTTTCTTATGAGCTGAAGAAACATTTGGAAACTCATAACAAAAATCTCCCTTTTAAATGTAATGAATGTCCCAATGCTTATGAAAAAAAGAAACAGTTGAACAGACACTTCAAGAATAAACACCCTGGTAATGAAAAACAATCAGTCCTGATCAACAAACTTATTTTATGTACCGAGACTGAAAGTGAGAATTTTGGTGAACATATAGAAGAAGAAATAATGAAATCTACACCAGTGCAATCATATGCTGCACAAACTGACATTCAAACAGAAATATCAACCAATCAGATTAAAGATTTAGGTAGAATTATTCAAGAGAGCAAACAAATTGAAAATGTGAAACAAAATAACTCAGAATTAAATGAAAGTCCATCTGTTATGCGAACACGAAGTAATCCTCCATGTTCGACTATCTTCAGGACTGTTGATGATGAAGTCGTCGTAAATGATGTAGATAAAGAATCAGGAGAAATTGCTGTCAGTCCAACTCATCAGTCTGCACAGGAAAGCTCAAATACTGAAAATGAAATATATATATATGTAGACCAAAACACAGAAGAATCTAAAGTAGAACTTCCATTAGAAGTGTATAGTGACATGCAAAATAGTGAAACCACTTTTCAATACCTTGACCCTAAATCTGGAACTCTTTACCAAGTATCATCTGAAGAATCAAATACATATGAAGTAGTTGTTGGAATTAAAGATGATGAAGTTGATAATAAGGATATCACATCCAACTCAACAGAAAATGGCAAAACTGATGAAAAAGAACATAGTTATGTTAAAGTGTCTAATGTATTCATACCATCTACCAAGTATGAAAACTAGTTATAAACTAATGTGTTATTTTAATGTATGAAGTAAATATATTTTCATTTATTCATAATATTGTTATTGGATTGCTCTTTCAAATGTTGATTGGTATAAAAAAATAAGGAGGTGAGATATGATTGCCAATGAGACAACTAACCATCAGAAGACAAAGGAGGAGGTAGTCTACTTACAAAGCAGTAGAACTAATTTCCCTTGATTTGTTTATACAGGGACCATTTGCTAGGAGTCCTTCCATCTTACTTAAATTCACATTTTAATATAGAGATATCATATGACTTTTTTGTGTAGTTTCAAATTTTATCAATTTTATACATTGCTATGGATGAATAAAACCTGTAATTTTGAGACTTCGGCAAAATTTTGGTAATTATCCACACAACACATTAGAACGACATTCTTTATAACTAAAACAGAATTAAATTTATACATATTGTCTTTCAGATACAAATTAGTTTATTTTGTTTAAAGATGTTGTTTTATGAAGACTTCAACAAAAACAACAAAAACCTGTATAATTTACAATTTTGTCTTCAACATGTTCAACAAGAATTGTAAAAGGTCTACTATATGTTTATAATAGTTATAACTCTCTGCAAAGTTGGGGATATTATATATACTGGAAACACTTTGTCTTGCTGCCAGATCTACATTCAAATGGATGTACATTTTTTGTACCATAAGGAATATCAAAAAAGTTTCACTTCTATTTAGAATCATGTGCAAAACAGTGTAGCCGAGACCATTGATTGGCGCGCTAAAATATCCCATTGACTGGGTCAGATTAGTTGAACGTTCGTCTGTAACGCCCACAACTCACGTATTTATATAAACATTTAAACTGTGGGGTTGCCAAAGGGTCTCAGTATATATACGAACTACAGTGCACAGTATATTATATACATATTTTATTTGCGATCATAAAATGTACGAAGTCGTCCTTTACTATGTAAATTGGGTCGATTAAAAAAAAAGCTGAATATGTTTCTGTTGCCAAGGGTTTTTCACAAGTATAGTAGTTAGCAGAAAAGATCATCAAACTATACATTTTATACTGAACTGCGGCCAAGCTTAGCGAAAGGTCGTGCAACATAATCAGTCAAACAAACTTTATTAGATTAACTCGTTAAGGAACGATCGTTTTCATTGGTCAATTCAAACCTTCGACCTCACACCTGCGAAAATAGAACACGCGTACTATAAAGATGAATGGACTGATCAGTATTCACGTAGCCGGTCAAGGTCGTTAAAAAACTTCCAACGTCGTATTCACGTACATGATTGTGTTCTTGATTATCCCATGGCAATTCTAGCTTTTATACATGTGCATGTAAAATTTTAAACTTTAATCTTAACAGTCACGTCGAAATATTTAATTCAACTGTCTCCTCTCAATTGGTTCTGGATTAAGGGAGCTACCATTTTATTTTGATTGGGGGTGGGGGACTTGGATGAAACATTTTGTCCTGCATTTTTTTTAGTTGTTATCTCTGTCCTGTCTTTATATTTTTCAGTCTGTTAGGTCCTGACTATATTTATTAGTTTATCCTGATTTTTTTTACATTAATCGTCATCCTGCCTTTTTTTTGTCAAGTTGCTCGCCCTGCCTTATCTTTTATTCAATGGACTTGATGAATTAACGTTTTACTTGAAATGAAACCGTACTTAACTATAAAAATAACCAAATTACATACTAAAGATATTGCTCGATTTTTATAGTAAATGGGTTTGTGTTATAAACTGTCATGTTCATTATTCATATTCTTTCATAAGTTTTAGGATAGTGTGATTTTTTTTCTGATTTAGTTTACTTGATTTTGAAAAAAAAACCCGAAATTCTAAGTAAATTCAGAACATGTAACCAGCCATGCTTTGTTTAGAGAAAAAATGGAGATGGCAAACCATGGCACAGTGGAAGGAAAGGTACTTTATAAACTCCAGCGATATACTTTCTTAATTTATAATTAACTGTTTTGCTATCCTCGGTTGAAAATTATATATTGTAAATATTTAAATAGTGGCATAGAAAACAATCAGTTTTAAACAGTGTGGTTATTCACTAAATGTATTGATAAAAGGTGACTCCATTTTTGTATTTCATTTTAATACGCACGCATGCCACACGTTACTTTGGCGGATAGTTCAACAATGTTATGCAAAGCTCTATTCTTACGGTATGAAATTAAAGGATAAATTTTCAACCAATTAAAATCGAAAACAGTACATTTATATAGTTCCTTATAAACTACGACATTTCTCACAAGTATTTATTTATTTTTTAGTTCCACACATGCAAAATAAAATCTTCGCCGATGAAACATTTCAAACCTTTTTACACCAACATGCCTTCACTGAATTCATTTGAATTTCGTGGTGACCATGATAGTACATTGCATAGTCCATCTATATTCACGTGCACACATGATACGATCTTTCGGGGACAATTTGCTCGTTTATGACACGTCATTTCTGAATGACCAAACGCTTAGCTACTTTATTTTCGTTTTATAGCATGAAAACAATAAAAGAGGAATGTGCAACCCATCATAAATTTGAAACGGATCAGTATTATGAGATCCTTATTATAAGTAACTACGACATTGTCAGGATAATAACCTAGCGTCAATATGAAAGAAATTAAAGTGGTTCATACATTCATCCGTATAAAAGCGGCACATGTATTTTATTTTATCCTTATATTTTTCATAGTGCGGTACAAGTGCTGCATGCATAAAGAATATTACTTAACACAAATTTTTAGTATAATATTTCGACCACACTATTTGAAATTCACAAAATACTTATTTAATTATTTCGACCCGAAAAATCATTGTTTTTTACGTTCGTAGTAACGTAGTACATTCCATTGTCGGTCACCTGTGTCAATTCACGTGCACACTACAATTGTTGTTGTATTTAAATCTTTCGGCCAATGAAATGAGACGTTACAAGTTGTTTGTGATACGCCAGAATGTTATCAATGAATTATCAATCGCTAAACTTGACTGCATTTCAGTGTACCTATTCAAAAACGTAAATGCAAATTTCACAAGGCTTGATCCAAATAGCCTTTTTACTGTCTAATAACTTGCAAGTACGAAAAAGACAGGAAAGAAGTATATTTTGTCTATATGTTTTGTGTTTGCACACTTTTTAAAGTTGATCATGCATTCGTTCTAAAATAAAATTTTGACCAGATAAAAGTTAAAAGATGACATAATTGGACAACCGCAATTGTTAAATCGCTTTGACGTCCGAAAAAAAGATAATAATCAACACATCCATTGTAACTTTTAAAGCCAGTTAAATCCTTTTTTGCTGAAAGAACGTCCGATATCATAAAAATTCATTATCAAAACATAACAAAAACACAAGTAAAGAACGTTTAAGTATTCAATATAAATCAAAACACAAAGGTTATTCCTGATTAGTTTTTTGAATTATTTTATTTAGGCGTTGAGACCCTTTGGTGACCCCACAGTTTAAATGTCTATAAACAATACGTCGTGAGTTGTGGGCGTTACAGACGAACGTTCACCTAATCTGACCCAGTCAATGGGATATTTTAGCGCGCCAATCAATGGTCTCGGCTACACTGTTTTGCACATGATTCTATATGGCCTTTCAAATAAGAAACCATATGAATAAAATTGAGAATGGAAGTGGAGAATGTGTCAAAGAGACAACAACCCGACCAAAGGGCAGAAAACAGCCGAAGGCCACCAATGGGTCTTCAACACAGCAAGAAATTCCGCATCCAGAGGTGGGCTTCAGCTGACCCTAAACAAAATGTGTACTAGTTCAGTGAAAATGGACGTCACACTAAACTCAAAAACATATAATGAACTAAAATTTAAAAAAAATACACGACTAACAAAGCATCATGAGTATTGCAACCCATCCGTTGAGTCTCTGACCGATGAAAAATCGAGCTATTAACACTGGACACTTTTAATTTGCAAAACACTCATTTGCAAATCCGCCGCCGCCTCTCCTTAGACCTACAGTGTCATGTAAATAACCAAAATGTGCGGAATTACATGGGATTCAATAATTTCATTGCTTTTCTGCTGTTATTATTATATATATTTTGTAATTTGATTTAGAAAAACATGGGATTTTCAATATCCCATGGGATAAGGCAAATCCCATGGGATTTTCAATATCCCATGGGATAAGGCAAATCCCATGGGATTGACCATTATCCCATGGGATTTTGGTTAAATCCCATAGGATTTTTTTGGGTCCCATGGGATAATTGTAGTCCCATGGGATATTTGTTGTCCCATGGGACTATAATTATCCCATGGGATTTTTACTATCCCATGGGATTTTTAATATCCCATGGGACAAAATATAATCCTATGGAATTCAAATTATAAATATACAGTAATGCGTATGTTAAAATGAATTCTGTTTGGAAGTAAAAAGTTTATAATATATATATGAGTGTATTTTGGTTTTTTTTCATTTTGTCACAAACATGTTTTTAATTTGTTTATATGACAATAAAGATTATTATTATTTTGGAAATATAATAATATTTAAAGTAAAAAAATAAAATCCTTTAACTGAAATAAAATGATGACGTCTTAATAAAAGAAAAAAATATTGATTTGAAATCTTTGTCTTCTTTGTTTTATTATGAAAAATAGAACTGAAAAAAATATTTCATATTCTGACTGAATAAATTGACAAAGCACAGTTAATAGTTTACTCTTTTCATGAGGTAAAGTTTTCTTTGTTATAGTTCCATTGCAATACATGAATATGCAAACGATTTGAATCTTATTCCTTTGTGCTGTTCATAATATTACATTTATATTTGTAAATTTATAAAATAAACACTTTTCCTGTTAAGTTTTAGTTTTCTTGTTTCAGCTTGCTATGAACAATTATTCAGTCCACTATATAAGAGTCAAGTAAATAAATTATTTCATCCACTAGAATATTCCTACAATTCTTAGACAAAACATTTTTGCAATCTGTTCTTCAAAAATCTTCCTCCGTACATCTTTATTGGATGGAGCGATTTAAATGAGTGGACAAAGCAAGTTCATTTGGACAACAAAATACTAATATATTTTTTCATTCCTCCCTTCTTTCAATTGATAATTACGTTGTTGCATTTACATGATTAAGTTCTTGAGCATCTATGATCATGATGATATGACTCCTTTTTGTTTATAGTCATTATGTTGAAATTTCCTCTTTCTTATGTAGGAAAAAAACACATTCCATTTCAAATTAATAAAAAAGTCACACTATGTAGAAAAATATCAACTTTAAGTTTGCTGTTCAGTATTGAACTGTTGAATGATGATCATGAAAACCAAGATGTCTGACCTACAAATACACAAAACTCAAAAATTATAAATGAAGAGAAATACAGCAATAAAATGGCTATTTTATCATGTTTATGTACATTTTGATAAAAATTTCATTTGAATATTTAAAATTGTAAGAACTCTTATTTCAGTGCTTTGTGTCTATGGTTTTCATATTAGTTGTTTTTTGTGCCTTGTTGCAGTCTTTTGAGTTAAGCCAATTGCAACAAATGTTTACAGTTTGTTCAAATGTTGTGCTGTTATTAAAACCACTGTCCAAGGTTAGGGGTGGGTTGGGTGCTCACTAAATGTTTATTTTATTAGTTGATATTTGCTTTGAATTAGCGGTCAGTAACTGTGAGTACTAATAGATCTGTATGTTGAGTCTTTTTTGTTAAAGGGAAAGAATAAATTTCCAGCCACATCCGGTCTGTGTTTTTGGTAGCTGTTTTTCTGCTTTGTTGCATTCTAATGAGTTAATAAAATTGAGAATGAAAACGGGAATGTATCAAAATAACCTGACCCAAGAGCAGAAAAAAAACCCTTTACAACTGATTTTATAGTTTTTATATTGAACTGACACTTACACCACTGTCCTTAATTAGAGGAGGATTTGGCGCCAGCAAACATGTTAAACCATGCCACATTTTGTAAGTGTCTGTCCCAAGTCAGGGGTCTATTATTCAGTGGTTGTCAATTGTTGCTATATATCATATTTGTTTTATGTTTATTGTTTTGTGCAAAAATAAGGCACTTAGCTTTCACCTTTGTGGTGTTTCACCCAAGCATGTTTAGCATGGATAGACACCATGCCCTTTTTAAATGACGCCATGCCCTTATTGAATTGTTTTACATTTGTTATTTCATGGCCTTTTATGGATTACTATGCAGTATAGGGTTTGCTCATTGTCGAAGGCTGTACAGTGAACTAATTTTGTTAAATTTAATGTCATTTGATCTCTATTGGAGAAAAGTCTCATTGGCAATCGTACCGCTTCTTATTTTTATATCAACCCTGCCATATTTTTCCTGTCATTATTTACAGGTCATCATTAGCCTCTAATAAGTAATTACATTGCTTACATCCACTTAATTGAACTCTGGTGGATAGTTTTCTCATTTATCATACCACATCTTATTTTCATAATAATCATTATTCAAGGGCAATAACTTTTATAGAAGTGGACTTACAATTTAGGCTTTGTTGACGTCTGTAAATCTATTTTTGTTGATAATTTCTTTTGTTTATAGTTTCCCTTTATCTTTAATGTCCTTGCCCTACACATAAAAGGGTAAACATTATCATTTAATGACAATAACTACTATTACATAATGAGTAGGCAACTGACAATTTTGGATCATTTGTATCTTGTCTTGCTCATCATTTTTTTCTTGATATTATCAATATTCTATGAAAATGAGGTCACAGTAATATTAAACTTGGCAGACAGACATCTTCTTATTTTTATATGACACATTGCAGTCATTCCATACACCAACAAGTAGACATATGCTTATAATATCTGATAAAATGAATAAAATGCTCCGCTGGGCGCAGCTTGATACGACCGCAGAGGTCGAACCCTGAACAGTTGGGGCAAGTATGGACACAACATTCAAGCTTGATACAGCACTGAATTTGGATTGTGATTAAATATTTGACACAGCATAGGTTTCTGACACAGAATGAATGTGGTCTAAGAACTTAAAAAATTTTAATTTACCTATTCAAACCATATCATTATTATTTGCTTTTATATATAAATCAGAAATAACCAATTTAAAATGGAAAATTTAAAGAAAAAAAAAAGGAAAAAAGGGGAAAAAAAATCCCCCCCCCCCAAATTTTTTGAACCCCCTTATGATTCATCACCCCAAACTCAATCCCAGCCTTCCCTTTGTGGTATGGTACCTTGCAGTACAATTTCAGAGAGATCCATACACTTATACACAAGTTATTGTCTGGAAACTAGAAAAATGCTCGTTTTTTTGGCCCCTTTTTGGCCCCAAATTCCGAAACGTTTAGGGCAATTACCCCCAAACTCAAACCCAGCTTTCCCTTTATGATATGAAACCTTGTAGTACAATTTCATAAAGATCCATACACTTACACACAAGTTATTGTCCTGAAACTAGAAAAATGCTTGTTTTTTGCCCCTTTTTGGTCCCTTATTCATAAAATTTTGAGGCAATTACCCCCAAAATCAATCCCAGCCTTCCCTTTGTGATATGGTACCTTGCAGTACAATTTCAGAGAGATCCATACACTTGAACACAAGTTATTGTCTGGAAACTAGAAAAATGCTTATTTTTGGCCCCTTTTTAATAAACATTTTGGGCAATTACCCCCAAACTCAATTCCAGCTTTCCCTTTGTGATATGGAACCTTGTAGTACAATTTCAGAATGATCCATACACTTACACACAAGTTATTGTCATGAAACTAGAAAAATTCTTGTTTTTTGCCCATTTTTTGGCCCCTAATTCCTAAAATTTTACCGCAATTGCCCCAAAATCAATCCCAGCCTTCCCTTTGTGGTATGGTACCTTGCAGTACAATTTCAGAGAGATCCTTACACTTGAACACAAGTTATTGTCTGGAAACTAGAAAAATGCTTATTTTTTGTCCCTTTTTGGCCCCTTATTCCTAAACGTTTTGGGCAATTACCCCCAAACTCAATTCCAGCTTTCCCTTTGTGATATGGAACCTTGTAGTACAATTTCAGAAAGATCCATACACTTACACACAAGTTATTGTCATGAAACTAGAAAAATGCTTGTTTTTTGCCCCTTTTTTGGCCCCTAATTCCTAAAATTTTGAGGCAATTACCCCCCAAAATCAATCCCAGCCTTCCCTTTGTGATATGGAACCTTGTGGTACAATGTCAGAGAGATCCATACACTAACACACAAGTTATGTCTGGAAGTTACAAAAATGCTTATTTTTGGCCCCTTTTTGGCCCCTAATTCCTTAACTGTTGGTACCATAACCCCCAAAATCAATCCTTATGGTAAAATTTCATAGAGATCCATTCACTTAAACTAAAGTTAGAGTGCGAAAACCAATGTGTCTTCGGATGAAGACAACGCCAATGTCATACCAATATATGACCGCAAAAAATTTTGCGGTCGTATAAAAAAACAAGAAAACTTAGCATTGACCAAAAAACCATAAAATGCGATCATGGTTATATGAATCTGCCAGACAGACATGCACACCTTACAATCGTTACATCCGCCAAATATAATTTACCTGTTGCTAAAAGCATATGATAAACTGACAAAACAATGCAAACTTTTCATTGACCAATGAAACATGAAAATGAGGTCAAGGTCATATAAAACATGCCAGACAGACATGTGCATCTCACAATCATTCCATTCACCAAATATAGGGGCCTTATTCATGTTATTGCTTACAGTATCCGAAAAAAAACACAAAAACTAAACATTGTCCAATGTACTATGAAAATAAAGTCAAGGTAAGATGAAACTTCTCAGTCAGACATATGCACCTTACAATCATTCCATACACCAAATATAGTTGACCTATTGCTAATTTGAAAATAAGAAAATAGAAAAACTGACCAAAAAACAAAAAAATAACACTGAGCAATGAACCATAAAAATGAGGTCAAGGTCGAATAAAACATGCCAGACTAACATGTACATCCTTAAAAATTTTCATACACCAAATATAGTTGACATGTTGCATACAGTATTAGAAAAACTGGACATTTTTACCTAGGAATAGTGATGTCATGGACTAGGAAAATTAGTCTGGGGACATAAATTACTGACATCAGACTAAATATACTAGTAAATTCTGTATCCATGGACTTTTTATACCAGTTATATTTGTCTGACCAGACAATTTATCTCTTACACTAGTCCTCAGAGAGACATGTCACCTTACCTTGACACATTATTCTGACTCTGAACAAACCAGTATTTGCTCTTACTCCTTAATAATACTGCGTGCTTAGGGGAGAAGCAGCAAATACCAACTTTAAAGTCTTTGGTTTTATCCGGTTGGGTTCAAAATAAACAACCTTCTGCACGTGAGGTGAACACGCTACCACGAGACCAGGCAGTATAATATAAGGAGTTTACCCAAGATTTAAAGTTTCCAAGTTTTTGCAAAAACTGGATCAAAATCATCATTGAAAAGCAATAACTTTTTAATAAGATTTAAGTTTCTCTTTAATTATTACAGTTTTCGAGATAAAAAGGCAAATTCAAGAAATATGAAGAAAAAAAAAAATGGTTAAAATCTGTATTTAAGGCAACAACTCCTATGAGTCAGCTGCCAGTTTTGATGCAAATGGACAGTAGATTTTTTTTTCAACATTCTGAACATTTCTACCCTTGTCAGATATTGCCTATCTATTTTAGCCTTTTGTAGCTTATTACGCAGTTTGGCTTTTTAGCCCATTGTTGAAATCTGTACGGTGACCTATATAGTTGTTAACTTCTACGTTTTTAGTTTCTGTGAAGAGCCGTCACATTGGCAATGATACCATATTTGTATATGTTTTTGTCATGTAGGTGTAAGGAGACAACCTTTTGATTTTCCGGTGGGATAAAAAGGGGAGACAGATTGTTTATCACCTGACCTGGTAAGTTTTTCAGGGTTCGTAAGGATAGAAAAGCCGGCAAATTGTAACAAACCCCTGTGGTATGACCATATTTGCCAAAAGATTAGTCCAAATAACTATGACGTCTTGCAAAGCTATTTTAACTTTTTTCTGGGCACGTAATAGTCAAAGTTGTGACTGAGTGCGGAAATATGAAGATAGATAGATAGAAAAATATAAAGGGACATAACTGAAGAACGGTACCCAAATTTGAACTTGATCTGAGTTTTGTGGTAATAAGCATTGTGTGTAAGTCTCATAACATTTGGTTGAGGCTAACTTAAGTAGAGAACAGAAACTAAAATTTCAGCAATTTTTCTATTTGTAAACACGCATAACTCTAGAACGGTTGTGTATAAGTTTTATAACATTTGGTTGAGACAAACTAAAGTTAGAGAACGGAAACGAAAAATTCAGCAATTTTTATGTTTATAAAGGGACATTACTCAAGAATAGTAAAAGTGTCGCCACCAAATTTCGTACTTAATCTGTATTATGTAGTAATAAGCATTGTGTATAAGTTTCATAACATTTGGTTGAGGCAAACTAAAGTTAGAAAACGGAAACAAAAAATTTGTACTTGATCTTAGTTTTGTGGTAATGAATATTGGGTATAGGTTTCATAATGTTTGGTTGGGGCAAACTTAAGTTACAGAATGGAAACTAAAAATTTGCAATCTTTCAATTTATAAAGGGGCATAACTCAATAATGGTTAAAGTGACACTACCCAAATTCAACTTGATCTGTGTTTTATCAGTGGAAGTCAAAATTAAACATTGCATTGTATAAAGCATTGATTGTAGTTGATTCAACTATAATAATGGACAAAGGAAGATAATTTCAATTTTAAAAATTACTCGATATTTAGAAGAAAATAAAAATTTTGCAATTTTTCCATTTATAAAGGGGCATAACTCTAGAACAGTTAAAGTGACGCCACCAAAATTCAACCTTGATCTGTGTTTTGTGGTAATAAGCATTGTGTATAAGTTTTATAACATTTGGTTGAGGCAAACTTAAGTTAGAGAACAGAAACTAAAAATTTTGAAATTTTTCCATTTATAAAGGGGCATAACTCTAGAACGGTTAAAGTGACACCACCAAAATTCAAACTTGATCTGTTTTTTGTGGTAATAAGCATTGTGTATAAGTTAACTTTAACAATTGGTTGAGGCAAACTCAAGTTAGAGAACGGAAACCAATTTTGAGACGTACGGACGTATGTACGTACAGACGGACAAGGGTAAAACTTAATGCCCCCACCGCTACGGCGTGGACATAAAAAAATTAAAAATATACAAATCCTTGCTAGACGTCATAATTATTTGGACTACCAAAAGATGTAACCTAATTCTTACTTGTTTGGGGAAGAGGGGATTAACCGAACCACTATTCAATCTAAATCAGTGAACTTAATTATTGTCTTTTGCAGTAGTCCGAGTCGACATCTGTAACTAATCATGCAAATTGATAGTCAACAGTATACCTTTTTCAGAATGCAGTTCACAAAGAATCACTGGTGATAGGGGAGTGTAACCGATAAATTGATCCTGAATCAGATAAGATTTTCCAAGGACGTATAACTAACACAATACGTCCTTGGATTTTCCCAGTAACGGAGAACCCCTTTCTTTGAGTGAATATAAATAGTGACGGGGGTCTCACAAATAAATTTAAATCTGAATTACAGGAACATCGATTAGCAAAGTAAACTTACATATTAATCTCGAAGTTATTTACGGTAAAGACAGACTGTGCTCCTGAATTAAGGTATTATACATTTGTGTATTTTACTCGTGGGGGGGGGGGGGCACTTCCTATATACAAGGTGATAGGACGTGCCGCTGGAATAGGTCACTTTTTCCAGCTTGAAAATATGGGAATAGGTGGGGAAAACTATCAGAAATATATGATAAGGTCGATAAAGTTCCAATTACTTGTATATGAAAAGCCCTGTCATTTTTTCACAGCCGAAAGTCTCGCCGTAAGTAAACATTACATACAGAATCTTAGCCTTGAATATTCCACTTTTCCAACACACCCCACGAAAACCAACCAATATGGGAAAAGGTTACAATTTTACCCACGCAATATATGAAAAGGTATACATTTTTAAGATCTAAATTATATGAAAAGGGTGGGGTAACAGAACCCCAGCGACACCCCCTATCAATTAAGTATTGAAGTGCCCCTCCCCCCCCCCCCGGAGGTATTTTACTGCTACAAGATATTTGATTTGCTAATCACGCACCCGTTGATGAGCAGAGAACCATACTTTCAAGCCAGGGGCAGTCTATACTAACAGTTAGTATAGAAAGTCCCTGTAAAAAGGCAGGCAAATCCTAATAGTTCTGTAACTTAATGATACATGTATATCAAGTTACAGCACCTCACCCAGCACAGTTAGCACACTGGTGTGTGTCAGTCTTATAATATAAAACTGAGTAGGTTCATATCGTTTGATTCAACGTTTTTTCGGATATTTTTTAGGGCCGTTGTCAACTTGACATTGTCAAATCCGACCTGCCACTTTGCAACCTGACCTGCAAAAACATAATTCGACTAAAAACAATGTCAGTCAAAATTGCTTTTTGAGACTGGGCGACTGAAAAAGTTTTAAAATGTGACCTTGTGACCCTACTTGGAATTCTTCATTCATCGGCGTGTGTCGGTTTGGCTAAAAAGGGGGCATTGTTTTTTTTTTCTTTGGACAAAAAATTGTTTCTATCTTTATTAAAAAAAAAATTAAGACCAATCATAAACTTTTTTTTCAAAACTCAGTGTCGTATTTTATTGTTTTCCCAACAATTTTTAATAAAAGCTTTAAATATTTGTTTCACTTCCCTCTGACTTCCCTTCTGATTTTTTTTCTCAATAAATTATAGAATCAGTAAATGGATATATATATATGTTTGTGGTCACCGTCATGCAGTTAGATAAGAAATTCCAGCATGCATCATCAAATAATTCATGTGTATTTGTGACATCAACATAACTGAAACATTATATTATTTCCCAGTAATTATGTAAATCATTTTGATTTACAATTATATATGTCTGGGACTTATGCATGTATATATCTCACAGGCACTTGTCTCAGAAAAAAAAATCCTATATACTTTAATAAAAGTATATAGGAAAAAAATTCTGAGACAAGTGCCTGTGATATATCTGTCAGTCCCAGAATAATAAATATAATTGTATCTTAATCTTTGGAAAAATCCGATTATTAAATTGTTAAATTCTTTTACGTCATAATTATATCAAAGTATACTTTTTAAAGTTTTAAATTTTAAAGTTAAAATGAATATTCCGTTTTGATCTGAGGAAAAACTTTTAAACTGTAATGACATGGTCAGTCAACTGATTTGTTGAATGGCTGATTACAGGTAATTAAAGCATGCAGTAATTTTCCATTACGACAGTGCGTGTACCCTGGGGTGTGTATAACCTATTAGAAATATCATAGTTTTCAAGAGAACATCCTGTCTATGTGTAATACAGATTGATGACATTACACAAATTTTTTTTCGTTAAATGTTGTTAAGTATCTGTGTCCATTCCCTATTGCAACACTACAATTCTTTCGAAGAAAAAAATGTTAAAATTAAAAAAAAAAAATCATTTTATATAAAATAAAGAAGAAAAAAGTAGCAAATAAACTTATGTAACTACGCATTGAGTAAACATAATTTCACTTTACATGTACAAACCCTTGAGAAAACGTATATATAGATGTGTTTAAAAAGGCCAATTCCCATTGGATTTATTTCACACTAGGACCACAGGCACTTGTCTCAGAATTTTGTTTCCTATATACCTTAATACAGGGACTTTCTATACAAACTTAGTATAGAAAGTCCCTGCTTAATATAACATTAAAAGTATATAGGAAATTTTTTTTCTGAGACAAGTGCCTTTGACTAGGAACTAAGATAACTAGAACTAAGTTCATTGGAAAGGCTTTTTGTCTGATACATGTATACGTATAGATAATGTACATAATTAAGAACAGCTTCAAATCTGAGACTACTATAGTAGTCTCAGTTCAAATATATGCCTATAATTTAACGGTACGTCTTAAAACCGCTCAGGACCTCCTGAGTGCAGACAGGACATAAAAAGTCACTCAGGACATGTATATATGTTATAGTGAGCGTTGAGGGTAATTTAATATTTGATCTTATAATTTTGGTTTTGATAAAATCAAACCAACATTAAAGAAGTTATTTGGGATACGTCATGCATGACCGATGATCATATTCAATACCAATCATCATTTTGATTACGACATTTGATCTTTGATAATTAGGACTGATTGGTGATGGTTATAAACACATACAAGTAAACTTTGCAAACAACAAAAAAAAAAACACGTTTCCTTGGAAAAATTATAAAAATACATGAATATTGTTTTTACAAAAAAAGTTAAATAAATTTTTCGTTTTGTATGTAATAATTGAAGCCATTTAGAAATATAAGAAATCTTCACATAGTCGGGAAATTTTCAATTCAAGTTATTTCATGTGAAAACGTTAACAAATATAGATCTTATTCGATGTAAAATGTGGTGTCCTTGGAGATCAAAACCCCGTTTAAATAGGGTTTGTCTATTTTCGTCTATTGCCGAACATTCTATAATCAAGGATTTTTACAAATCCTTGCTATAATATAATGAATCGCGTCGCCAATATCACCACAATTACATAAAGTACAAATACAATCTTCTCCTAAATATTTGGCATCTAACAATTACAATAGGAAATTTTGAGTCGAAACTGAAGTACCAAATCTACAAAAAGAATCACTATTTTTTGTAGTAGTAGGCGTTGAAAACTAAAACTTTTTTCTCCTAAATTAATTGAAACTCCTGAAATAATTTAACATTATCTATAGACAGCTTACATATGCAAATCTTTTTAGAAGTATGTGAGTGTATAGTAATAATTTGTTCATTAACCCCCCTTTTTCCTTCTATAAAATTACATTGTAATCGATTTTATTTCCTAATTTGTGTTTGCTAGGATTGACACTTAGAACGTACAACAAAAAGTAACAAGTAAAAAGTCACGATTCAGTTTTGGGATATTTTTTTCTTTGAATAAACTTAATTTTAAAAACGTTTCAGTATTTTCTGAAACATTTTTAAAAGTAAACGGAGTTGTAAACAAAATTTATTTTTGAATATTAATATGAACAATGATTGTTAAGAAAACAATCTGCCAAAGTGGTTTGGTAATTAACTGAAGTCATGCTGTCAAAAATATCTCCTTTTTATAAGTTATTGATAAAAAAAACTATTTGAAGGCGAATTAATCATTTCCTCAACTAAATACATTTATCTATAAATAAAATCAATTCGTCAAGAACTTTCTCTCATATATTTAAACAATTGTAAAATAATTAATTTAAACCTTTGTCCTGCGACTTTCTGTCCGTTTACCAATACTTATTCCTTGTTAAGTTTTTTCATATCCATTTACGAATACTTATAACGTGATAATTAATTTTTCCGGATGCTTTTTATCCTATTTTCATATCAAACAACCATGTTACCCGTAGAACGGAGTAAAGTACAAATTTAGGAATTTAGTACTTAAACTTTCAACAACAAAATTTTACACTTTCATTCACCTGGATTTTTTTCTACGCTTCGAAGCCGCCACCCTGTATCAAACTTATCCAACACCTCGCATGGCGTATTCACGATGTGGAGGGATTGACAATATACAATCAAAGTTAGCAATATACAGCAAGTAAGTAATTGGGTGTTGAATGCCAGTAGATCTGAATTTGTAAATTTTTAAATTGAATTTAACCTGTTTAGAACGTGTATTGTTGAATTGTTCAATAAAATTACACACACAATCTGGGCTGATATGCATAAAACCACTTTAAGTTCAAGGTATCAATAAAACTAGGTCTGCATGAAAAAATGACTTATCACATAATACCAGAACCTATGTTTAGCCTACTGTTACACGATAAGAAAATATAGCTGTAGGCCTAGTTGAAAATCTTAACAAATTATTTATTCTTTTAATTTCTGTTTGGCTGTCTGGGTGCTTCTTATGTGTTTTAAATGCTATAGTCAAGTTTTATAGACTGTTGTACGTCATTTGGTCGTTTTTAAGTTTTTGCCATGGCGTTTGTCAGTATGTCTTCGACTTATAAGTCTTATCAAGGATTTGTATAGTGAGATTGGTTTTATATAATCTGCATCTCTTGTGCTGTATTTTAAAATGTATTACAATTGCTGCATCTTTACACATTCATCAATACACCAAAAAATATGAATAAAGCTTTCGTATATATACAAATAAGGAGGTGTGGTACGATTGGTAATGAAACAACTATCCGCCAGTTCAATTCAAAAACCTGATATAAGCAAATGTGACTTACTTACTTACTTTAGTCAGAGAGATCTTGAATCTGAATTCAAGGATACGAAGTGGGAAGGGTTTAGAGGTGGATTAAGGTGAGGGCATGGGGGACCGCCCCTTTTTTGAAAAAAAAATGGTTGATTATTTAGAGAATCACTGAAGCGGGCCCCCTCTTTATGCATGACAGTTAGTGCCTCCTTATGACATTTGTTGGGTCCGCAACTGGTGAGGACTTCATAAAAAAATATTTAGCAAGTTTTTGTTTTGTGATAAATAATGTATTTAGACAGAAATAGGATAAAATAAACTACCGAAAGCTTAACTTTAACGCTGCCGGGATATTTTTTAGACAAAGTGCACGTATTAGTAGTCAGCCGAAACCACTAAGCATCCATACGGTTTTTTTTTCTGGATACTGCATGACTGCATAGTAAACTATCAATGTACTATAGTTAATGTTCTCGAGGGATGACCCTATTACAGAGACATATATACACATATGTGTAAATATGTCTCTGCCCTATTACGTGTCAGTAACCTCCTCGACACGGTTCATTTTTACGGCGGCTCAGTTTTGTCTTAAGAATAAACACAATTGATAAGTTTCTTTCCCCTGCATTTCTCGATCGCACTTGTAAATAGCACATTGGTCTCAAGACATTGGTCACAACACTTGCCGTCAGTACTCAAAATTGGAAAAATATTAAATAAGAAGGTATAGAAAACACACTATTATCAACCACAGACATGATGTTTTTCTCAATTTGCCTAAATCGTTATTCCGCAATACAACGAGGGTGAAAACCCACCACTTTGAACACAGTCACAGGCACCGGCATGCTGTGAACTTGTAAGTTTCCCAAATGAGTAACTATCCATTACTTTTCTAGTGTAAAGTTTTATTTAATACACATTTGATTTGAAATGGCATATCAGAGAGATATATAAACATATATCATAGGCTGATCCGGGGGGGAGGGGGGGGGGGGAGGGCTTTCTTGGGAAAAATTTGGTTGATTATATAGGGATCACTGAAGCATGACTGGAGCCGGCCCTCCCTTATGAAAAGTTCTGGATCTGCCACCTGTATATTCATAAAATAAACCAACAAATTATCCAAAATATGAATAATACTTAATACTTACAACTAAGATTGATTATAAGTATTCTTGAGTCGGTTTTACAAAAAAAAAAACTTACAATTTATCGTAAGTATACTGTATTGTACATGACTTAATTACTATCAATATTATTTGTAAGTTTTTTTGTGAAACTGACTGCTGAATTGTTTTTCCATGCTTATGGTACATCTAAGTCGTATGCTTTTTTTAAAACCACCTCCATGGTATAATGTCTGCTCGCCCATAGAATCTGTTTGTAGATATAGGAAGATGTGGTATGAGTGCCAATGAGACAACTCTCCATCCAAGTCACACAATTTATAAAAGTAAACCATTGTAGGTCAAGGTATGGTCTTCAACACAGAGCCTAGTTTTTATCAAAAATGAAATATATTGATATTAATAGTATACAGGTTGAATAATTTATTCATACATTTTTAATTGACTGACTAGATTATCATGATTATTGAGGAATTTAAACCATTCCTATTTTTAAAAAGGGACAAAAATAAAATTTATATATAATAACAGGGTGATACAAATGAGAAAAACTCAAGAAATTGTTTTCAATTAAGATAAATACATGGTTTTCAGTTGTTTTTTAAAGCAGAGGCAGATTTAGTTTAAAGTTGGAAAAAATTGTTTGTACCAACAAAAATAAATACACAAAGTTAATCCAGAATTATGTGTTTATCATTTTTTTTTATGTTTAGGTTGCCAGCAAGATGAAAAGAACAATGCAGTTCAAAAGTCAAAATGTGGATAAGCTGCGGTACAAGGTCCTACTTTTGCAGATTTTCATATTTTGCATGAATGAATTTGGAGTTTATATCATGGAGGGCAGAGAAAGAAAAGAAACACTTCAGTTTTCCTGCTTCTGAAGGATAAATGTAAAACATCTTGTTTGGTAAGTTTTATGCTCTGTTATGATAGTGTTTGTGCATCCATCTGTCTTTCTCTAAATTGTATTCACTTAAAGTTTTTAGCTCACCTGGCCCAAAGGGCCAAGTGAGCTTTTCTCATCAATTGGCGTCCGTCGTCCGTCGTCGTCGTCCGTCTTCGTTTACTTTTACAAAAATCTTCTCCTCTGAAACTACTGGGCCAAATTTGACCAAACTTGGCCACAATCATTATTAGGGTATCTAGTTTAAAAAATGTGTCCGGTGACCCAGCCAACCAACCAAGATGGCCGCCATGGCTAAAAATAGAACATAGGGGTAAAATATAGATTTTGGCTTATATCTCTGAAACCAAAGCATTTAGAGTAAATCTGACATGGGGTAAAATTGTTTATCAGGTCAAGATCTACCGTCGTTGGGTTGCTGCCCCTGAATTGGTAATTTTAAGGAAATTTTGCCGTTTTTGGTTATTATCTTGAATATTATTATAGATAGAGATAAACTGTAAACAGCAATAATGTTCAGCAATGTAAGATCTACAAATAAGTCAACTTGATCAAAATGGTCAGTTGACCCCTTAAGGAGTTATTGCTCTTTATAGTAAATTTTTAACCATTTTTCGTAAATTTTTGTAATCTTTTACAAAAATCTTCTCCTCTGAAACTTCTAAGACAAATTTAACCAAACTTGTCCACAATCATCATTAGGGTATTTAGTTTTAAAAATGTGTCCGATGACTCCGCCCGCGAACCAAGATGGCTGACATGGCTAAAAAATTAGTACATAGGCCGGCCTAGGGTAAAATGCAGTTTTTGGCTCATATCTCTGAAACCAAAGCATTTAGAGCAAATCTGATGAGGATAAAATTGTTCATTAGGTCAAGATCTATCTGCCCTGAAATTTACAGACCAATCAGGCAACACGTTGTTGGGTTGCTGCCCCTGAATTGGTAATTTTAGGAAAATTTTGCAGCTTTTGGTTATTATCTTGAATATTAATATAGATAGAGATAAACTGTAAACAGCAATAATGTACAGCAAAGTTAGATCTACAAATAAGTCAACATGACCAAAATTGTCAATTGACCCCTTAAGGAGTTATTGCCCTTTATAGTCAATTTTTTACAATTTTCATAAATTTTGTAAATTTTTGTAAATTTTTACAAAATATTTTCCACTGTCACTAGCGGGCCAAGTTCATTAAAGATAGAGAAAATAGTAAGGAGCAAGAATGTTCAGTAAAGTAAGATCTACAAACACATCATCACCAAAACACAATTTTGTCATGAATCCATCTGTGTCCTTTGTTTAATATGCACATAAACCAAGGTGAGCGACACAGCCTCCAGTTGGTTACAGTTCACCATGAACTTCAGTTAGTAACTTGTGGTTTTACATGTATATACTCAAAATTTAGTACTTTAAAATGTTCATGTATTTTTGTCGAGCCTGCAACTTTTGTCGCAGAAAGCTCGACATAGGGATAGTGATCCGGTGGCGGCTACGGCGGTGGGGTTAGCACGGGGGGGGGGGCTCTTCCTATATTAAGGTATATACATATGTGCCGCTGGAAGGGTCCCTTTTTTGATGCATCAAATATATCAATGGGGTGCAATTTTACCGAGGAAATATATCAATGGGTCATAATTTTTCAGTTTGTTGTGCAACGATCTTCACTTAATGGGTTATGATTTCGCTGTGAAATATATGTATAGGTAGGGATTTCACAATTATTCAATATATGAATTGGGGGTGTTTTTTAAATTCCAGCTGCACAACTGTACCCAAAATCCCATGTTGAGACCCCCCCCGTGGGCGTTAGCTAACTTCCAAAAAGCTTTATATTTTAGAAGGTGGAAGACCTGGATGCTTCATACTTTGTATATAGATGCCTCATGATACAAATTCTGTCTGAAACATGTCCATTGTCCTTGACCTCATTTTCATGGTTCAGTGACTACTTGAAAAAAAAGTTCAGATTTTTTGTAATGTTAATTTCTCTCATATTATGAGTAATAGGATAACTATATTTGGTATGTGCGTACCTTGCAAGGTCCTCATGCTCGTCAGAGAGTTTTCACTTGACCTAGACCTCATTTCATAGATCAGTGAACAAGAACTTAGTCTTAGATGCATGATTTTTTTTATTAGTTGTTAGTGGCTTTGTACTAGCTGTCAGTAACTGCGAGTACTCTCAGATCTGTACTTAGTGTCTTTTTGTTGTTCGGATGTACAAGTACCCGGCCACGTCCACTTGTATTTGTAGTATTTGTATTTTTATCCATCTGATGAGTTAAGCCTCTTTCAACTGATTTTTATACGACCACAATAAAAATTTTGCGGTCGTATATTGGTATGACGTTGGCATCGTTGTCGTCCGAAGACACATTGGTTTTTGCACTCTAACTTTAGTTTAAGTGAATGGATCTCTATGAAATTTTACCATTAGGTTCAATACCACAAAAGAAAGGTTGGGATTGATTTTGGGGGTTATGGTACCAACAGTTAAGGAATTAGGGGCCAAAAATAAGCATTTTTGTAACTTCCAGACATAACTTGTGTGTTAGTGTATGGATCTCTCTGACATTGTACCACAAGGTTCCATATCACGAAGGGAATGCTGGGATTGATTTTGGGGGGTAATTGCCTCAAAATTTTAGGAATTAGGGGCCAAAAAACAAGCATTTTTCTAGTTTCATGACAATAACTTAAGTGTAAGTGTATGGATCTTTCTGAAATTGTACTACAAGGTACCATACCACAAAGGGAAGGCTGTTATTGAGTTTTGGGGTGATGAATCATAAGGGGGTTCAAAAAATTTTGGGGGGGGGATTTTTTTTCCTTTTTTTTTTCTTTAAAATTTTCCATTTTAAATTGGTTATTTCTGATTTATATATAAAAGCAAATAATAATGATATGGTTTGAATAGGTAAATTAAAATTTTTTAACTTCTTAGACCACATTCATTCTGTGTCAAATATTTAATCACAATCCAAATTCAGAGCTGTATCAAGCTTGAATGTTGTGTCCATACTTGCCCCAACTGTTCAGGGTTCGACCTCTGCGGTCGTATCAAGCTGCGCCTCAGCGGAGCATTTTATTATTGTTCGTTCTTATGTTGTACTGTTACACCACTGTCCCAGGTTAGGGGGAGGGTTTGGATCCCGCTAACATGTTTAACCCCGCCACATTCTGTATGTATGTGCCTGTCCCAAGTCAGGAGCCTGTAAATCAGTGGTTGTCGTTTGTTTATGTGTTACATATTTGTTTTTCGTTCATTTTTTGTACATAAATAAGCCGTTAGTTTTTCGTTTGAATTGTTTTACATTGTCATTTCGGGGCCTTTTATAGCTGACTGTGCGGTATGGGCTTTGCTCATTGTTGAAGGCCATGCGGTGACCTATAGTTGTTAATTTCTGTGTCATTTGGTCTCTTGTGGAGAGTTGTTGTCTCATTGGCAATCATACCACATCTTCTTTTTTATATTTAAGGTTAAGTTTTGGTGGTCAAGTCCATATCTCAGATACTATAAGCAATAGGTCTAGTATATTCGGTGTATGGAAGGACTGTAAGGTGTACATGACCAACTGGCAGGTGTCATCTGACCTTGACCTCATTTTCATGGTTCATTGGTTATAGTTAAGTTTTTGTGTTTTGGTCTGTTTTTTCTTAAACTGTATGCAATAGGTCTACTATATTTGGTGTATGGAATGATTGTAAGGTGTACATGTCTAGCTGGCAGGTGTCATCTGACCATAACCTCATTTTCATGGTTCAGTAGTCAAAGTTAAATTTTTGAGTTTTGGTCTTTTTTTCTAATACTAAATGCAATAGGTCAACTATATTTGGTGTATGGAAACATTTTATGATGTACATGTCAGTCCTGCAGGTTTAATTTGACCTTGACCTTATTTTCACGGTTCATTGCTCAGTGTTAAGTTTTTGTGTTTTGGTCTGTTTTTCTTAATCTATAAGCAATAGGTCAACTATATGTGTTGTATGGAAGGATTGTAAGCTGTACATGTCTGCCTGGCATGGTTCATCTGATCTTCACCTCATTTCCATGGTTCATTGGTCAATGTTTAGTTTTCTTGGTTAAGTCTGCTTCTTAGAAACTATAAGCAATACCGGTAGTTCAACTGTATTTAGCAGTCAGGGGCGTTACTTAAACAAGTTATTTTTTTTAAGTTACTTATATAAGTAATTTTTGTTTTTAAAAATAATAAAATTACTTAATAGAGTTATTTTAAATTTCAATAGAAGCATAGACTAAATGTAGTTTTCATGAATTTTTACATCATTTTATATCATAAAATAAAGAATTTATTAGATTTGAGAGGAGTATAGAGATAAAGGGTTACTTTAAAAATAATGACAAAAATATTACTTGAATAAGTTATTTTATACATTTTTGAAAAAAATAGTAATAACACTTATTAAAGGAACATATGTAATTGATTTTGGTTACAAGTTATAAATAACTTCAAGTCTTAATTAATTCACAAGTATCTATCTATTTATATCAGTCTACCTTCAAGATTTTGGAGGAAAATGATAATTTAATAGTCCCATGAGACCAATCTTTGACCCAGAAGCGTCAGTATGAAAGATAAGTGCGTCAGAAAGTTAATTTGTGTTTCAGAAGGATTAGATTTTATATTTCATGGGAAAAATAACCAGATGACTGTGAAAATTTGTTAAAGCTACTAAAATCTGTATAATTGGACACCTATAAAAATAATATTCAGAAAAGTTACTTATATAAGTAATATTTAAAATAGCCTCGTTTTCAACATTACTTGTATAGGTAATTTTAATTGTTACTTATTTAAGTAATGCCCCTGACTGTTTAGTAATTTGAATGATTGTAAGGTGTGCATATATTTCTTGTCAGGTTTATATGACCTTGAATTCATTTTCTTGGATCATGTTGAGTTTATGTGATAGTTGTAGTAAAGCTTTATATTTAGGACTATCAACATGATATCAATGATTAGTAAAGAAGGCGCAACATTTCAGCATGTGCACTCTTGTGTATACATTAAACACCACATTTACTGTTTTTACCCTGATTTTATGGATCACTGAACATAGAAATGTCATAATGTGAAATTATAGTACATTCTTAGGTTAAAGTTTTAGGTTAAGGTACATAGCTTACCATGAAGTTGAATTTCATACACATGTGCATTATGTGGTGAATTTTTAAATTCAGTGCCAAACTAAGATTTTGAGCCTGATTACATGATTGACTAGACATTGACACATGCTAGTGTTTGCCAGGCATTGTGTCCTGTACTAGGAATTTGTCCTGTACTAAGAACTTTAATAGTACTCGCTGAGTATGGAGTTTTTGTGAAAGTTTAATATTAGTGAGATTTTTGCATGACATCCTGTCAAAACAAGGAATTATTTGAATCTGGAATAATTATGACTTCTGGAAAATTGATTAGAAATGTATGATGAAAACTAACCCAACTAAATAGGGTTAGCCATGCGCACATGGCTAAGGTTAATTTTAATTTCACTATCTTTTCAGTATGAACTAACTAACCCCCCTTAGCCATGCGTGCATGGCTAACCCTATTTAGTTTCTGTTATAAATTACTCATCAATTTTCCAGAATTCAAAATTATTCCAGATCCAAATAATTCCTTGTTTCAACTGCTTGTTGATCATGTTTATACATGTCTTAAAATTAATATCTGACACATTGGTGTTTTGTGAACTTGGAAATAAGTTATTTGATAGAATAATAATGTTTTGAGATTATCAAAATAAAAAATATCCCATTTTTACTACATTGTGTATTAATGATTAAGTATATAAAAAAGAAGATTTAGGATATATGTATAACCATATATAAAAATGAGACAGCAACCGAACAACACAAAAATAAGAAAAAAAAAACAATATAATTTTTTGTATCAATGTTATAATTTCCAACATGTCCAAAGAGTTCAATGTATTTTCTAATTGAAATAAAACACAAGTGGAACTCTTTCAGAACTTCAGAAGCTTAAAGAAGTGCTGTTTCTATTGTTGGCTTTCTGTATAATATATTGCAAATTCTTGTGAAAAATGGAATTTTATTGTAATTGCCTAAAGTTTTAACATTGATCTATATATATATAACTGGGGAAAATACCCAAATGTTATAAAGAAGAATACATAAATTGATTGTTATATAATAATAATTTAATTTTGGATGTAACGCGTCTTCTAATTGGCTGACGTTGTTTTGTTTATCAGCTCATAGACATAATTTTGTCATGTGACCGTGACGTCATCAACGTTTTTTCATGGTTTACTCGGGCGGTTTAAAATGGAATTTAGAATTAAATTATAAGAAATGACTGTAATATTTTTTCTGTCTATTCGAAAAAACATAAAAAATGTGGTGCACACTTTAGAATAACTCGCTACGAGGGTTATTCAGTGTGCACCACATTTTATGTTATTTCTTCATAGACAGAAAAAATATTACAGTCATTCCTTAATTAGAATAGGAAGATGTGGTATATTGCTAATTTGACAACTTTCCATCAGAGACCAAAGGATGTAGGAGGTTAGCAACTGATGACACTGGACAACCTTCAACAATCAGTAAAATCCATACCGCATAGCTATTTTTATTGAAAATCATATGTTCTTGCTACATGTATGCAAACAATTTTTTATTATCCATAACTTCGGATTTTATTGGTTCTTTTTCAGAAGGATTGAAATTCATCACTGAGAATAAAAGGAGAAAACACAGAAACAAGACCAAAATAAATTCAAAGACAAAAGTCAGATCAGTTATTATTTTCATCACTCAGCCAATGAATTGAAGTTCTATTAAATATCTAAAGATATTAAAACCACAATAATGACAATGTTCTGTGCTGAATGGCAAAAAAGTGGACTATACATTACAATCACACAATGCTGGATGATAAGAAACTATTAATTTTTTGGGTGGAGGGATATCCTGAAAAAAAATAGATTTATGTAAAAAGCTACTAGTATGTTAAGCCTATTAAAAGAGTTTTCATTGATTTCAAATGGGAAAAAATTGTGTTTCAAAAAAGTATTCTAGAATTCATAAATAAATATATATTGATACTTACATTATCTGCTTTGTTGTTTAAAAGTTTAGTTTTGAACAGTTATAGAACAATATAATTGTATTAACATTTCCAAGAAAAAAAAAGATATTCAACTAAAAAGATTCATCTTAAAACAATTTACTACCAAACAGAATTCATTGTAACATACACATTTATTTACTGTATATTTATAATTTGAATCATAGGATTTTATTTTGTCCCATGGGATATTAAAAATCCCATGGGATAATTATAGTCCCATGGGATTTTTTTTGTCCCATGGGACAACAAATATCCCATGGGACTACAATTATCCCATGGGACCCAAAAAAATCCTATGGGATTTAACCAAAATCCCATGGGATAATGGTCAATCCCATGGGATTTGCCTTATCCCATGGGATATTGAAAATCCCATGTTTTTCTAAATCAAATTACAAAATAGATATAATAATAACAGCAGAAAAGCAATGAATTTATTGAATCCCATGTAATTCCGCACATTTTGGTTATATACACGACACTGTAGCTCTAAGGAGAGGCGGCGGCGGATTTGCAAATGAGTGTTTTGCAAATTAAAAGTGTCCAGTGTTTATTCATTTTGAAGTTATTGCCCCTAAAATGTCAAATTTTGGTAAATTCCCAAGTTTTCGGCTAATATCTCAAAAACTAAGCAGTTAATGCAAATCTGACATGGGTGATATTGGTCAGTAGGTCAAGGCCTATCTCCTGCGGAATTTAGACAACCCTTTTTTGAGTTATTGCCCCTGAAATGTCATTTGTTTTGCAAAATTTGCAGTTTTTGTTATTATCTTGAAAACTATATCAGATAGAAATTTTAACTGAAAATGTCCAGAACAATAATATCTACATATAAGTCAACTTGGCAGAAATCGTCAAATGACCCCTAAAGGAGTTATTGCCCTTGAAAGACATATTTCACTAAATTTTGTTGTAAACTTTAAAAAAAATCTTTTCCTCTGGAACTACTAGGCCAAATTATACCAAAATTTACCTGCATGTTCCTTATGACATTTCTGTTATTATGTTGAAAACATTAATAGTTAAAGAGAAATTTAAAGAATTAAAATGTAAGATCTACAAATAAGTCAATTTGGCAGAAATCGTCAAATGACCCCTTATAGAGTTATTGCCTTTAAATGATGATTTTTTGCCTGTTTGCATTTTTTTTTAGAAAACTAATATAGTAGATCAAGAAAATCTTTCCATAGTAAAAGTCTTTTCAACAAAATATGATCTACAAGTAAGTACATGGACTTCAGTCAATTGACCCATTATAGGCGAATTATTTTATTCATTTTTTTTGTGTTTTTGTAGAAACTATAATAGATACAGGGAAAATTTACAAACAATTTAATCATGTGGAACTGCATATGAATATCGGAAAATAATATACTTTCGGATACTAGTATATAGCAAATTGAATATATTTTGTAGAAAGGAGTACAAATGTATAGAAGAGGGACGAAAGATACCAGAGGGACAGTCAAACTCATAGATCGAAAACAAACTGACAACGCCATGGCCAAAAATAAAAAGACAAACAGACAAATAATAGTACAGATGACACAACATAGAAAACCAAAGACTAAGCAACACGAACCCCACCAAAAACTGGGGGTGATCTCAGGTGCTCCGGAAGGGTAAGCAGATCCTGCTCCACATGTGGCACCCGTCGTGTTGCTTATGTTATTACAAATCCGGTAAATAGTCTAATTCGGTAAGTCACATTCGTGAAAAGGAGCCGGGGTATTGTAGTTACGACATAAAGAACATTTCCGATATCATCTGTGAAACGGTTATTCCATAACGGTCAACCAACTCGTGATGGCGTCCGTAAAATTTACGAAGGGATGACTTCAACTTCACCATTTGGAACTCTTGGATGTACGTAAATATAGAAAAATATTGAAAACATTGACTTTAAATTACCTTTTCTCAAAACTTGTCCTACGAATTTTCTCTAAAATTGATAAGTTATTGCCACTTAAATTTCTGTTTTATAAATTTGAAAGTTAAAGGGGGTCACCGAATTCGTTTTTTTGCTGTATAAATCATCCAAGTCTCTGTAATATCTTTAAACGTCGAAAAATAACATAACCAGCTACTTCATCTTTCTTTTTGCCTTTTAGGCGATTTTTCGATGCTTTATAAAAGATTCAACTACCAGTATTCATTTTCAAAAAACGAATGCGGTGACCTGTAAATTTTATATCAATGAAACGGAAATTCCAGTAGCAATAACATCATTTTTAAAGAAAATTCGTAGGACAGGATTTCAAGAAAAAAAACAAGTTTTAAATCACAATTGCTGAACTGTTTTACGATTCTTACTTGTATTCTGTACATTTGTACTATTTTCCGAACATTTTATCTTCTAAATCTCAGAAAGTGTCGATGTTCACGTGCAGTCGCTCATGCTGTAGTTATGCAAAATGTCATAAAATTCCGCGAGATCATCCATTCCAACGTACCCGTTTCCTCAACTTCGTGAATGATGATCATTTGCGATTTTGATATAGCAGAGTCCCCTCTTACTTTGTTGTCTTAATTGGTACCCAAAAGGAGCTATATTTTATATTTTAAATTTAGGTTGTTGCAAAAATACATATGTTGTGCCATCTTTGCTTTAGTTGCATTTTCTTTGATAATCTGAACAGCATAGATTTTATACTGAAAAGCTTCTCATTTTTGGTAAGTTCAAAAGAAGCGTAATCTGCGATCCTTTGGGCATTTATGGTGAACCCCGCCACATTCTACATGTGCCTGTCCCATGTTGGGAGCCTGTATTTCAGTGGTTGTCGTTGGTTCATGTCTGTCATATTTGCATGGTTTTCGTAAATTGTTTTGTCATAAATTAGGCCTGAGGCTTAATTGAATTGTATAATTTTTCATGTTTGGGCCTATTATAGCCAACTATACGGTATGGGTTTTTCTCCCCGTTGTTGAAGGCCATACGGTTGCCTTTCATCGCTTACATCCACTTCATTTTAACTTTGGTGGATATTTGTCTCATTGGCAATAACAGCACAAATTTTCTTATTTTTATATAAACTTGTTGAGTGCCTGGAGAGAAATTCTGGCTCGTTTTAATATAAAAAAAATAAGCTCAACTGTTCCAAGTAAGCTCAACTGTTCCAAGATGGTCTTGATTTTCACTTTTTGTGACCATTACTGAACGTTAAAGGAATATTGTGGGTAAGCATTAAAGGTGCATATACGGTTTTTTTTTAAATAAGGTTTACACACAACTGACGAAGTTTTCTAACAAATAAATATCAAAATTTTGTAAGAAAACCATAATTGATATTTGGTTGATGTTGACAGAATGGACAAATTTACCATAAAATAATAAAACACGCTCTCTGGAGCCATTCTATCTAGCATTACCAAACATAATTACATTGTTAAGCTTAGTAATTGAAATTTAAAATTGTTTCCAAATTGTATTAATAATATTTATATGATACTGTGTACAACTATAAGGTTATTATGATAATGATGGTTGGCTGTTTAACGTCCAGTGGCAAATTTTAAAAATGCATATTCAAGACGAGAACAAATAAGGCGACATGAGAAAAATAATCTGTTTTGCACAAGACCGATTCGCTGAACAACATTTATTTACGTGCTAGTTCACAAGGTGCATGTAACAGTCCACAGGAAGACGTGTCCGATTCTTAATTGGGGCAGACAAGTCTTTGCTTTGTTCTTACTCCTTAATATAATTATATTATAATAATAATTAGCAGAGAAGCAGCAATTACCAACGTTAAAGTCTTTTGGTTTGACCCGACCCGGTATCGTTCCAACATCCTTCCGCACTATTTATAACATTAAACATTAAACGTATACCGAATTGCATTAAACTAGTAGCCAAAGGTTAAGAAATGAAAACAGATATGTATTCATCAAGATAAGCTACGGCAACTTAAAAGATTTACAAAAGGATCCCAAAGAGAAGCCATAACAGTTCAATTAAAAAGGTAGGGTCAAGTTCAAGTTCACCTGAACGTATTTCATACCAAAGCAATTTTCAAAAAGTCTTACAATCGTTATACGTAACAATACAAAGCTCCATGTGCGTACTATCCAAAAACCGCAAATTGTGACAGAGATTGGCAAATTTTGAGTAGGTAAGATGAACATTCGTCACCAAAGCCAAAGCATGCTGGAAGTAAAGTTATAAATTGTCTTTCGGATACAAAATATTTCATTTTGGTCACATTTCAAGGCATCCTTCGATGCAATTAAAGTTTTACAAAATATGTTAATTTGCAATTTTGTATCGAAATGCTCTAATAGCAACATGTAGTACTGAATGGCTTTTTTTTCTCTTCTGAAATATGTAATAAAAAATAAACATCAACTATTAGTATTAGTATAGACTCTTTACCAACTAAATTATGAAGGATTTGACAAATTTTAGATTTTTGATCCTGCGAGTGCAACCAATAAATGCGGAAAATGGCCCTACCACTTTATTTTTACCCAGTAATTTAGTTTGAACCCCTTTTTTTAAGAATTACTAAATGTTTTATATTTTGAATGTTTCGGCAATCATTTCAGTATACATATTGGTCAGGATGATTACTTTAGTTGGAAAAGACTATACATGATGTGAATACACCTAACAAAACAATCCCATACTATGCCGATGCAGTTAAAATTGTAAAAACGTATTTCAAATGTATTCGCTTATTTATTTTCCTAGTTATGGACATTATTCATAAGAACATTTCGAATTATTTTTATACGACTTTCATTTCAGGTAGGATTGTATTGGAAAATTTATAATTGCAGTTTATCAATTTTCATCACCGGGCATTTCAATCTTACTTTTAATAAGTCCAAACATCTTGATATAATGCTTGCCTACTTTATATGTTTGATTATCAAATCCTTTGACATACAGTGTTTCATAAAATTTGTTGCAAGTCTTCGCTAATTTTTTGCAATGAAGACTAGACGTATGAAATAGAAGCAGCAGATACCGAGGAGATATCCAAAAACTTATAAGTGAAATAGAAACTGACAACACCACGGCAAAAGACGAAACGACTAATGTGTTCTTCCTGTGATATATATAATGCATATTTTTGATATATATCACCTTTAAAATTTTAGAAATGTACAAGTTCATATCGCCCATTACTATTTTTATTAGAAGCATATCTATGCAGTCTGTGTTGTAAATACCTATATAACCTACGTCAACTTTGAAATTTTAGAAATGTACAAGCATTTTTGTGTTCGGATTTAATGTATAAAATTCAAGATTGTTATAGTTAAATCAGAATAGACTGATATGATTCATTTAACATCATAATCATACTGATGAAGGCTATCTGTTATCCGAAATATTTATAGATAATTACATTTAAAGTTTCCTTTTTTTATTATTGGTGTTGTTTTGTACACTTTTGAGGCGTTTATATATATATATATATATATATATATATATATATATATATATATATATATATATATATAATATGTGTTTATATACATATATAATATGTGTTTTCAGTCGTGTATCACCTTCACTGGTGATCCAATGGATGGATCTGTCGTAGAGTTAGACGTACTTATCAAATAATTATTTCTGTGACTGCATCTTACGATCCTTTAGGACAGATAATTTAGCTAATCTGCAATCAATTCCATCTAAATGCCTAATATATCATGCACTGTGTTACAACTCTAGATTCTACTGACGAGGAAAGGTAACACTGGCCACCGAAAGCTGAATTTTTAGTTCAGTCTATTTGGCCGAGTGGTCTAGAGCGCTGGACATAGTGCAGGCGGTGTTGTCTCGATATCCCAATAGCATGAGTTCGAATCCCGGCGAGGGAAGAACAAAATTTTGAATTTGCAAATTTGCAGATTTAACATTGTTGTGCTGATATTTAGAGTAATTATGAATATAATATGTGTTTTCAGCCGTGTATCACCTTCACTGGTGATCCAATGGATAGAACTGTCGTAGAGTTTTTACTGTTTAGACGTACACATACATAATTATAAAAGTACATTGACCTTCTTTTGAAAGGAAAATCGAGAGTTGATAGAACATTATCTATAAAAATACTATTTTTAAACCACATAACTCACATTATCCTACTGGATGTAATAGGATGGTTTTTTTTGTTTTACCAAATGGTGGTTTTGTTGAAAAAAAAAGCAGGAATAAATTTAGTATCAAATCAGTTTTGATTCACATTTTCCTTTCTATGCTACGCAATCAATTAAATGACCTGGAACTTTCGATTGTGAAATATATCTGTAGAAAGTTTTAAATCGCGTTTTCGACCTTTTCAATCATGGTTCAAGAATTCTATCTGACGATTTGTCACGTTTCACCTTATCAGACAGCTAGTTCACTTTGGCTAGTTTTGTCTTGCTGTTATAGTCACTATGGTTCAGGTAAGATAACAATTATGATTTTTTGTATCAATCCTCGACAAAATTATTTATATTTTGATATAGACTACATTTTTCCTGTAAATTTGTTTGGGGGAAATGTACTCTTTTACACTGTGACCCCTTTAAAAAAAAACCAAAAGACTACCTGAAGAATCATTCAATACATTTTGATAATTGTGTCAACTTGAATACATTTAATGTGCAATTTTCTTTTTAGACGATTTCATTTTGATATTGTCGTAGTTCGTTTTAGGTATAAAAAACTTATGATCTTCGAAAATGCCGTTCTATTTCATTTTCACTAAAACCTAATTTGTACATTATAAATAAAATCAATGATTTCTTCCAAATTGTTAAAGATTACGCCGTCCTTAATGATTCTAGGGTTTTGTTTACAACTTGTATACAAATTATCTAAAATCACTATTATATATATATATTTCAAGAAAATGAATGTTCCGGCATTGCTGTTGGTCGCATACTTTGGTCTTGTGTCCTCCCAATTTCCTTCGCAATCAATATTTACCGGAAACAGTACTAATAATGGAACCAATAATCAACAGACCGTTGTTACTCAAGGAGGTGGTGGTGGTAGATATCCCATGCTTCCTCAGTTTCCGGTTCATCATCCGCAAGTTATCCATTTTATAGGAGCAGGGTACGATTTATTAAAGGTAATAATGATTAGAAAAAAAATATTATTAATATATATTTGGTAGTTATGAAGTTTTGTTTGTTTTCTGTGTATTATCTCACATATCCACATGCAAGGCATACCGTCAATTTTTGGAATATCGAAAAGGTATTAAAAAGAAGTTCCAGGTGTAAGCAAAATTTACGTACGCAAATAAATATAAGGTATGTATTTGTGTATGAGTGTGTTTAATTTATTCTATTTTGTCCTCATAAATATATCCCTGTAGGTGCTTAAAATCCATGATGATTTTAGCTTTCTGAGATTAACAATAGTTTTGACTTGAAATTTAAAAAAGAAATTCAATAGCGCCATACACATGATACATTTCGCAACAGGTCATCTACGGACCCCTCAAAAATGTGTAGAGAGCTTGCACTTTCCCGATATGGGATTCAGATTTAACGGTCTTTTTCTGACTGGACGATTGCAAATTTATATACTCTTCACAGCTGAACTGGCATTTTAGGGTCGAACAGGAGAGATCGATTTAACCATATATCTTTATCCCTGTCACCCTTGCTTTTCAATGAATTCGAAATTACAGCTTGTCGAAGTAAAAATGTAAAACCATCAAAGACATCTGAAACAAATTGTGTTTTCCCCATTTACGAAATGTATAAGAATACGGCGCTCTAATGATCTAATATTCTTAATTTAACATTGATTTCTTGTCTCTGGATCCACTTGTATCCATTTCGTTATCCGGTTTTAATAATAGAAAAAATTATAACAATATCCAACAGGCGAAGTATATATTTTTTTTCAGAATTTGAAAAGTTTTTTACGCTCCAATAAAAGTTTATTTTGCTGAACGTTAAATTGTTTTTCAGAAGTATAAAATCATCGTATTTCTCCGTTTGTTCCTAAAAAGAATTACGTCAGGATTTCACGATATGACATATAATATATTAAAAAAACCGAGTCCATTTACACGTCATTTTGTCTCCCTAAACGAAAAAATATCAAACGCTGAATATGTGGCATCCATCTTTAAATACAAAAGTTTGATACAAATCTGAAGTTGCATCATTGTGTATATTTTTAGGGCAACCCAGACGGCGAGTCATGGACAAGTTTAGGAGATGACCCAGGACTTAAATTAACTCAAAAAATTCTGACAGTGAGCCCTGGAAATAATCCAGTACAGATAGAAATAGAACACAGAGATTCGTGCCAATCTTCTCATTCCTACAACCTTATATATAATCCAAAGCAATATCAAAATAGATTGTTCGGAGCAATCACTACTTCTGGTAAGAAGTTCAAAAGCCTGTTAATATCATATAGACTATCAAACATTTAAATGCGTTTATTTGAAAATAAAACAAATTTGATTTTTAGCTTTTGAAAAATTGAGATATTTTCTTACTTCTTTTCATTATACTTAAAACTAACAGTCTTTTAGTAAACTGTTTCCTAGCTATCATTTAAAGTCATATGAAACTTCAAATTTAAAAAAAAATATGCGTATGTTTTTTTATTACTAAATGGCTAGTTTTTATTATAAAACTTATATACATAAACTTTTTTCTGAAGAAAATTCTTGAATTTGTCCAAATTAAGAAGACTTTTTTTTTAATTGTTTGCTTCCAGCCAACAATTCGCCGACAAGCTTTCCGTATGCAGTTCCCTCAGCGTGACCTTTCTCGTAAAAATTCGGAGATCGCAATTACGCAAGTGCGATGAGGAAAACCAAATTGGCAGAGAGAGTCAACAAACGTAAACATCGCTCCGTCATCCAAATAAACTCTATCTTATTGTACATGTTATACACATGCTTACCTGAATATTCATGCTTCTTTGTTGATGGTTTACAAAGGTGACAATCGGTAAACTTCGGTTTCAAAACACGACCATTAATTAGCTGCCATATTTTCACAACAACACTGACCAAGTGAAATATTTTTTTTTTACGATAATACGATGTGGATACGTGAAAAATGATAAAATCGTGCACAAAAGACTAAGTTTATGATATATGCATGCATTGGTTCAAGAATTGGATTAACATTATTTTTCACCAGTCAATCGTTTCATATGACTTTAAGCACCATTTATTACAATTACTTTTATTTTAATGCCCTTTAGATTTTGTAGCTTAAAAAACTTTATTGGGAGTGCTCCAATCAAGGATAGTAAATGAGAACGTGTTTAAGTACTAAATATTCAAAATTCGGTGTGTTTGATTGATATATTAATGCTTTTATCATATAATGCTTATTTTAGGTCCTACGGATGCTGCACTGAAACCATATGCTTTTACTTTAAGTACAGGTTTGTAACTTATCTTCAATATACAATCTGGATCCACATCTATCCCGATAATTGCCTTATTTCTTCAAGAATATATGTCTTAATTTCAATGTCAAGTTCTCGATTCTTATGAACTAAAAAAGAAAATATGAAAATATATAAACAAGACAGAATTTACTTTTATCTAATTTTAAGTACAAGTTTGCTACTTATCTTAAATATATTTTTTACGTCGGTCTGTATGTGATTCTCCCTCTGAGAATTCGGGAATTATTTCAATAATATATATCTAAGTATCAATACCAAGTACTCAATCCAAATGAAACGAAATAAGCTTTTATCATATATTAACCAGACATATGTTTCAATTACTCAATACGACACATATTTTGTTAAAGCAATATTGACAGTTATATAATGCGGACTATCTGCATGTATATATAATTATATAGTCTTTATTCTTTTAAAAATTTTAAAATAAAACGAACGTGTTTAATTAATGTTTTCTTCCTTAGGATATAACACAGCTTCACACCAACTAACACAACCATTGAACTATATGTACCAGGACTATACAACAATGTGCGACATGGGTCACGCGCGTTTGCGTTCTCATCTTGCCCAATCCGATCATCTGTCAGTCACTCGTGAGTTTGCAGCTTCTGTATGTTCACTGCCTGAAAAATATCAGTTACCAAATTACTTAAGGTTCATTGAAGAATGGGGAACGGTAAGTCTTTGAAATGTATTGAATTTCACTTTCAACTTTCACACCATTGTTATAATATGGACAACATTTCGAAAAGACTCAAGTCGAGAATAATTTACATTGGATTAGATGTAACAGTTTTTTAGATTACCAATGTTCAAATCTAATAAATCAATTAAAAAGTCACAAATCAATGTAAACAAATACTGATCGAGGGAATCGCACGAACTCCAAGAGGAGCGAGACCGGGTGTATGGACATAGTAAGCGTCTCGTGCTATACATGCATCACCTGCCATGTGAATTTGCACTCAGTCAAATTTTCACAATCGGGAACAGGACACAATCGAAGTTTACATATCAGACGACCATAATGTTATTTATAGATATAGGACCGTGAAACCATGTCTCTACGGAGTCGCATCGTATCAGGCGACCAATTCGTGATGATGACCGTACAACGTATGTAGTGTCGATTTCAGTCGTTTTCCTTAAAACCATGTTGGATGAGTTTTTGTCAAGAGCACACCGCTGTTAATGAGATAAAAAAAAAAGTGTCAATATACACGATACATGATCAAGTAGAGTATGCGTAACTTATGAGAAATGGGAGTTGACGATTGGATAGTTGAAAACAACATTCTAGTTTGAAGTCGTCCTACTGTGTCGATATTGAGTAAAAGGTCAAGATAAGAAGCAGAGCTTCTAGTTTCGGTAGTATCCATAATCTCAAGTTCACTGGGATATATAAGACGCAGGCACTCACTAAAATTCTGATAAAAGTAGGCAAACATGTCTTATCTGAAAATCTGTTGAAAAACATGTCAATGTTCTGAGTGTCCTTTACATGATTTAAATAGAACTTTCGCATCTAATAATAATGCCTCCATAACAGAAATCTGATAAGAATGTCGCATCTTAAACCAATACCCTTCTTAACAAAATTCTCATAAAAACTGTCGCGTTTAATACCAATGTCCTTCTTATCAGAATTCTGATTAGTCTGTTGCATTTAATACCAACGGCCTTTTAAATAGAAATCTGATGGTACTGACTTGATATCTATATCTTGCGTGGTTTATCACTTCTAGTTCAAACAATATAGTGCAGTGAAGTGATCATTCTTATATATCCTAGTCAATTTCATGTAATCTATAAATAATATGTTCTACTTAGATATTCAACTTACAATGTGATGTGTATTTGAATTACCGTACTTGTGAAGAAAACTTTTTTTAAAACAAAATTACGTAATATGAATCTGGTATAGAAATAGTTTCAACTGCATATTGCACAATTATGAAGATACCTCCAACTCAAATTTATAATTTGTTTAGCTATAAAACTCTTCTCCTCGACGTAGACGCAGTCATGGTCATCGTCATTATACATTACCTACTTTGCATGATGTCTCTATTAATGACTTGTTGCTATTTATACAAAAGCCGTTAGGTATTCATCACATTCGCACGAAACTGTATTCATTACCCCTTTCAAACAACAAAGGTCTCGATGGCGTCAACTTAGGCAATATCCTTCATCACAGATAAGTTCAGTCGAAAATACCTCCTTATTTTAAAGATCAGTCTGTACCAATAATTTCTTATACCTATACCAAACCAATTGCAACTAAAATTTTCAATTACAAACACGTTTTGCAGGATCTCAACATTGACGACTTCAAGTCTAAACCTCCTGATTGCACCTTTGCTAGTTCCCAATTCACATATAATCCGGCTGGCCACGTTATTACCGGAGACCTCAACATTGTCAATAACACTTCCCTGCGAAATTTGTTATCCAAAGGTCCGAAATATCGTGATCCTAAATCCATCAATTGGAAATACAACTTCAAAAAACTGATGCATTCAGTCAGTCGAGGATTATGCCAGGCAATGGGCTAAACACGAGAAAGAAGACGTAGATACTCTTTCCGAATAGATTAAGGCTGTGAGGTCGTTGATACAAATCCGAATTAAGAAACTAAATGGCCCTATCAATATCCACGCTACGTACTGTATTGGATACCTAAACTACATAAGTGTCCTTACAAACAACGGTATATTCCTGGGTCTTCCAAGTGCTCCACGAAACATCTTTCTGAATTATTAACATCTATTTTATCAGCAATTAAAGCCGGGCTCCAAAGTTATTGTGAAACTGCCTATTCTAGAGGTGGTGTGAATCAGATGTGGATACTAAAAAATTCCAAAGATCTTTTAGAGTACATACAATCTAAGACTCTCTCATCTTGCAATAGTATTAAAACATTTGACTTTTCTACACTTTACACAAGTATTCCCCATTCCAAAATAAAAGACAAATTGAAAGAGTTGGTATTACTTTGTTTCATTAAAAAGAATTGTGAACGTAGATACAAGTATCTTGTCTTGGGGAGGGATAAATCCTACTGTGTAAAGAATCACTCTGATTGAATAAAAAATTCTCTGAAATTGACATTATCAAGATGCTTGATTTCTTGATTGACAACATATTTGTTACGTTTGGAGGACGTGTTTTTCAACAGACTGTCGGAATTCCAATAGGAACCAATTGTGCCCCTCTTCTTGCCGACTTGTTTCTTAATTATAATGAGGCTGACTTCATACAGGAACTTCTTAGGAAGAAAGATAAGAAGTTAGCAATATCCTTTAACTTTACGTTCCGCTATATAGATCATGTTCTCTCACTAAATAATACAAAATTTGGTAACTATGTTGAACGAATCTATCCCATCGAACTAGAGATAAAGGATACTACAGATACAGTTAAGTCTGCCTCATATCTTGACTTACATCTAGAAATTGACAATGAAGGTCGGTTGAAAACAAAACTTTATGACAAAAGAGATGATTTCAGCTTCCCAATTGTGAACTTTCCATTTCTATGTAGCAACATTCCAGCAGCGCCTGCATACGGAGTATACAGCTCCCAAATGATACGATATTCCCGGGCTTGTGTTTCCTATCATGATTTCCTTGATAGAGGATTGCTGCTCACAAGGAAGCTATTAAACCAAGAGTTCCAAATGGTGAAGTTGAAATCATCCCTTCGTAAATTTTACGGATGACCGTTATGGAATAACCGTTTCACAGATGATATCGGATATGTTCCTTATATCGTAACTACAATACCCTTCCTTTTTCACGAATGTAACTTATCGAATTAGACTATTTACCGGATTTGTAATAACATAAGCCACACGACGGGTGCCACATGTGGAGCAGGATCTGCTTACCCTTCCGGAGCACCTGAGATCACCCCCAGTTTTTGGTGGGGTTCGTGTTGCTTAGTCTTTAGTTTTCTATGTTGTGTCATCTGTACTATTATTTGTCTGTTTGTCTTTTTATTTTTGGTTATGGCGTTGTCAGTTTGTTTTCGATCTATGAGTTTGACTGTCCCTCTGGTATCTCTCGTCCCTCTCTTTAATAATTTTTTTTTTAAATTCACAAAATTGCAAAATGCAAACAATTACTCTTCAGTGCTCACAAGCACTTTGATTACATTGTGTGGAATAAGGTATGACGTAAGACGTACTTATAATGAGACTGGCTGTGTGCATCTATATTATCTGAGCTATCAATCGAGAAATATCATAGAGTTCACGCAAGTAAAAAGGAAAGATGCATTGAACAGACGTGACATTGTATATCCTTACAATCGCAGAATAGACAGACGAGGTTAGGCATCATCCGACTGAAAAAGCTATACTTTGGAACAACCCAGTTGATCGAATTGAATGGTAAAAGGCACTGGAAGACTGCTATCCGTTAACAGCTTGAGTTTAAATTCCGTTGATGGATCGACATAAATTTGCAAAATCAGCAATCAAATTGTTGAGCTCAATTCGATATTCATGGTTTCACCATAATATTGTGAGGTACATACTTGTTTAATTAAGCCCTTATTCCTTTTGTAATTGTTTGAAGTTGAGAATTCTTAATCATATTTCATTAAAAAAATTATATAACAGCACATGATAACAGAAGTAGAAGTAGGAAAGAAGATTACATATAGATATCTGACAACCCTGGACAAATACTTTAGTTACCTTCTGGCAAATGTAAGTTGTGTGACTTTATTTCCATAATTATCATAGATAAACAGAGTTGCAGAAAAAGGCTAGTTGCTTTTCCGTTTATAATATATTTGTATATAAAGCAACATTCAAAATTAAGTCTAAGTCGCCAACAGACCGTTTCTGATTGTCTTCCTAGAAGACGATATGTTTGATACTTCGCACATTAGATCACAAAGTTTCAGTCGTTGATACCAGCAGACACTACAAAATGGGCTATTCCAGAAATAGTCTGTCCCCCCCTATGGAAGACATTGGAATTCCAGATTTTTTTTTCTTGATATTTTCTAAAATTCCAAACAAATTTTCTGTCTGGACCAAAAAATTCCAAACTTTTTGTCTGTTAGTGCACATGAAATTCCATGTATTTTCAAAAGGGACGAATAATTTCCATATAATTTTTACTGGTAGTCATTAAGATTTTCCAGAACAGAAATATTTTGTGACCCATAATTTCCAGGTTTAAAACACAAGAGTTCTGATTTATTCCCTATGTATATGTACATTTCTGGGGAGGGGGACAAAAGTCTGATACAGCATTAGAAGTTTAGAGAATAAAAGATATTGATACTATGGAATTTCATTTTGTAGGTTGCACTTTGTAAAAGCAGCTGTTTCACAGACTGCCTCTTTTGGGGGATACATTTGTATATCATATTCATAGATATTTTGTTTTGTATATGTACTAGTTCCTAGATATGATCTATATGTTTTATCTCTGACATAGAGACATAACTTGGGAATGTTACCAGTATAGGTAGATATTTATAGGTAGCGGCCAACTTGAATTCTGAGGAAGACCCAAAATGAAGGGAAAGGGGGGAGCAGTAGTGAATTTTATAAGTATAAGTTCAAACTCTTAGAAGTTCTGGACATGTAAATGTTGAAAATATGCCGCAGATCCCTATGGTTAGACTTTTGAATAAAATAGTTGTGCATATCAACAACTTTCCATTCTAGGATATAATTTTTGTTACAAAACTTCATAGTGAAAGTGGCACAGTTTGAGCTGTAAAGGGGGTTCCTATGGGAAATTGCATTGTCTTTATTTACAGATGTGCAACTTACGATTTTTATCTTGAATTGTTTCATGTATACAAAACTGTTGAATGTTAATCAGGTGCAAATTTCAAAATGATTGGATTAATAGCATCTATGATTAGCATCACTCAGTGGAAAATTATATCACATGGGAAGATAAAAACAAAGAAAATTTGGTTTGACAAATATTTGATGCCTTTAAATGACCTTTTTAAACACATCAAAAATAAATACTGACATCTGATTAGTTTCAGACTTATGATGTAATCAAGTAGATGATAATTTCAACCTAATTATATATTTAGAATTTAATCTGTATTTTTCACCATTAATTAACACCAATAAATTGTGCAATTTGACATCTCCTAAATTTTAGAATGAAATTTAGGGTTTGTCCTATATCATAAACAAATGCCAGATTTTGGGTTACTTCTAAATAGCCAGAACATTTACCAATAAACAGCTAATTGATACATCCTTTATTCAAACACACTTGTTTGTCTTCACAGCAGGAAATTGTCTAATTACCACAATATTGTAGATGAATGACCAGAAATGACCAACTGTGTACTATGACTCTACTATGGATTGCAAAATACTGTTACACATAAATAGATTGCTATCAGCATGATCAGAATCAAATGCAAACTGTCTATTGACTTTTGAATTTACACACAGAAGATCCCCCCTTTTTTTTTTTAAATTAATGCAAGGCAATGTGAACTTTTATAAATTGATTATTTGTGTTTAGTGTTTTATTTTCATATGAAAGCATATAACTTACTAAGATAAGAAAAATAAAAAAATAAGAAATGACTGATGTTTGAAGAATTAACCTATTTTCAAAAATATTTTTATTGTGTACTGGAATGAAACTTTAGAGGATATTGAATGCAATGCTCTCCTACCAATTGAATAATCTGAAAATGTATTCTCTTAACAATGATGTAAAATTTGATATGAGTTTTGAAATTTAAAAAGTTTATAAAAATTCATTACACAAAAAAACTGACATTCTTAAGTCATCCTGTTTTACAATTTACTATTTGTCAAGCCTGCAACTAGAGTTCCCCAAGCTAGACATTGCAATCCTTCTCTCTAGTGTCATCAACATTTAAAGGAGAAGTTCCAGTAAGGGCCAATTTTGGCCTCAAATTTCAGGTACATCTGATGAAAGATTTTGGGCACTTTTTAAACACATAAGTGTCTTCTTCAGTCGATTCAATTAGTTGATGTGAAAGATTTCAACTGATTAATGAAAGATTTCAACTGATTAAGTCATTAAAGACGGCAAAATTCAAGCTTATATATATGAAAAATCTATCAAATATGCCATAAAGTGTCACTTTTCAGATGTTTTTTAGTTAAAAATGAAAGTGGCCGCATTCCTGTTCATTCTCAACCCTTTATATATGTTATGTATTATCATCAAATACAACATACATCTAAATATTGAGACTGAACACAAATGCGGCCACTTCCATTTTAGACGGAACCATGACATTCGGTAGGAAAACTAACAATCATAGTCAATAAGGATTGGAGTTGAGGGCACCTGCCATGTGCGGGATTCAAAACCTCATAGTTGACAGGCTAAATATACAGCAGTTAGAATACTAAGACCTCTTGGGCACTAAGGCCCCTGGAATGATATAAATAGCTTCTTCAAGATCAAGAGTAAAATTTTAAAATATTTGTTTAATTTTTTATATTTTACAGATAAATGGCATTTTTGAAGTTATTATTTAGATATAGTATTGGGTTAAAGTATTAAGACATCAATAACTATAGAATTTCAAGAACAAGGACAAAAGTTTCGATCATATCTTCTTGACAAAAACATTGCAATTAAGAAAAAAATAGTTGGGTTTTTTTTGTTATCTCTTCTGTATATTACTGATGATTAGTTTCTTCATACTTGATAAATACCCGACATGAAGAGTAAAATTTTGAATTTTCCACCCATTCTTCCATAATTTACTAATAAATATTATTACAGTCAACATTTAGGTAAGTGAAAGATTTTGAATAACTTTTGTCAAACCTTTGTGGAATTTTACAAAACTTAGACAGAAGCATTCTTGTAAATCAAGAAATAGAACCCTGAACAAATTTTGATTGATAAAAACATATCTTGCAACAATTTAAATTGAAGAGATAAACACGGTCATATGCAGACGTGTATTTAGGGGGGTGGGGGGTGTCTTAAACATCCAAGTATCATTTTCTGTGATTAGGGATAATTTCATAGAATTTGATCCAATATCCACACATTTTGGTGCAAATCATATCTCTGGCCTTTCATGGATACTGTGCTATGTAGCAATGTTTTGGTTTTTTCCGGAATTGTATTTATAATTAAAGGGAAACCTTCATCAGAGACCACCCCTTTTGTTTTTGTTTTTCATTTATTTCTTTTTTATTACTGTTTAAAGTTATTAAAAAAAATTTAATATCTTTTTTTATTTATTATTATGGTAATTTTACCATGCCCATTTTATATAAATTTTATTGTTTATCAGTAAATTTCATAGTATAGTTTTATATGCAATATTTTCAAAATCTGTTTGTTTAGGATTTTATAACATGGGCTTTCATATTTTATTGTTAATACTTATATATGTGAAATGATATATGTTGTAAAGCGCTTAGGGTAATTTTAATATTATATAAATCGCTGTTATAAATACTGTATAATAATAATAATAATAATTATAGTTTTTTGATTTGTTAATTTAAATTTGAATTTTGATTTTTTGATTTTCTAACTATTTCAACCTATTTCAATAGAATTTAATGTTGAATTAAGTGTTTCATGGTAAGAATTTTGTCCTAAGAATATCAGTTTACTTGTGTGGTTTACATGATGATGGTCATTAATTAGTTCTGCACAGTAAAATATTTTATAGGAACTGTGATGTTCATACAAATAATTTTATAGCTCATTTCACTAATTCACCAATGTTCTATTTCTTTTGAATCCTATTGATAGGTTTTTATGGGATCTGGCATCTATTGTAGAATCTGTTTTAAAAAGATGCCAGTATTTCCTGAATACTTTTTGAAGTTTTTCTGCTTGAGAATGATAATATGTAATGAATGATACATTTCCATGATTACATCTATTTTCAACTTTGTTCTTTTTCTTTTAAAAATTGGGTGGTTTGAGTTTTTATGAAGATATTGGAATTTTTCAGTATTCTTTCAAAAGCATTTCATATCTAAAACACCAGTATTTTTCGAAGGGTTCATCTTTGAAGATTTATGGAATGATTATTGCATTCATAAGTGAACTTTAGCAATAATTTGCATTTTCAAACAGGAAATCCAATTTCAATTACTATTTATTTAGTGGCAGGGATGAGCTGCTAAAAAGGTCACCATGGTCACTATTTCAAGCTTCATTATATATGATAAAATCTGGAAATTTAGATGAAGGTCAAGTTTTCAACTTGCCTATTTATATCACAAGTGTCTGAAACAAATCAGAGGTCAGAATCTTTTGATGTGGTTATAACAACAGTTGTAAATGTATCCAATAGTGGTCAAATCAATTATCTCTCTATTAATTTTCCCATATGCATTCTAACCAGCTATTAACTTGCTGTTTGTGCTTTTAATCCCATTGTTTAGACATTTTCACCTAATTAACATTAAAAATTTGTAATAATGTAAAACTACATATTTTTAATTTTACACTTTGAGAGTGTTGACCATAAGAGAAATAGGTTTAACAACTTGAGAAAATTGGATATCGCTTGATATCAACTCTTGTTATTTAATTTAATTACTAATAATAAACTCGCCACAGGCTAGTTTATTATTATATTGAAATTAAATAACTCCAGTTGAAATCAAGCGATATAATTTCAATTCTCACTTGTTATATGAAACCTATAAGTACAACCTTCAACATGGAGCCTAGGCTCACACAGCATAGTAAGCTAGAATGGGCCTGAAAATGACTCAGTGTGAAACAATACAGACGAGAAAAACTAATGGCCAAATTGATATACAAAACAATAAATGAAAAACAAATATGAAATAAAGTAATAAGTGACAACCACTTAAATTACAGGCTTCTGACTTGGGACAGATATATACATGTATATATTTATAGAAAATATATGCAGCGAGGTTAAAAAAAACTTGTGCGCTGGATCCAAATTCTCCTGGGATAGTGGTGTATTTGTCTGCAATGACAAGAATTTATATACACTGGTAAACATATTGGCTAACAGTTCTTCTAGTCGGGGATTTGTTTGCGCTTAACTTTTAAACACACTTCTTTTGGTTATGGCTGCATATATGTTACATACTAAGTATGAAATTCCAGTTTTTTTGGCACATTTAGAAAAACACAGATAAATTCCAGACAAAAGAAATAATATCGATGTCTTCCATAGGTATTGCTTCTAATCTTTACACAAAAATTTCCAGACAAATTGACAGCATCATGAAAAAAATTCCAGTATATTTAAGTTTTTTAATGCGTTTAAAATCTGGAATTCCAGAAAATTTTGGTAATGGTGAAAAATATTTCCATGGATTTTTTTTTTTACATCTTATGTCTTCCATAGGGGGGGGACAGAATATTTCTGGAATAGCCCAATCAAAGGAACAAACAATTATATCAGTATCTACAAACACTATCAGGTAACAAACCACTAGAAAATTATTGCATATGTGCTATATTATTCGGGTTAACAATAAAAATGACACATGTGTCTGGATTAACGTTCGTCAATAGTGACGTATGTGTAAAAATCTAAATCCGGAAGAATGATTAATTTAAAGACTCTTCAATAGTTAATTTCTTGCAACAGGAAATATTTATGTTTTGTTTAAAGGAAAATTCGCAGTTCAAAGGCTTTTTTTAAATACAATTGATTAATCAAAAGAATTAACATTTTGTTCCTCTACTTAATGTTTTTACACCAGACTAGCTAACTGCTTACATCCACTTCATTTGAAATTTGGTGGATAGTTGTCTCACTGGCTATCATTGCATACCACTTATTTTTATAGTGTAGTTTTTATCATGATTAATATGAATAATTGGAAGACGACAGTAAGAAATCAATCGACCGTACGAAATTTCACTAGAAAAGTAGACAATGACGATTTTAAAGGATGAACTAACCGCAATCTGCGTGCAAAAATCTGAATCCAGCCAAGACTAGAGGGTTTGTGACTGAATTCAATATAGACGATTTTAGACATCAACACTAAATTGTTTCAAGACAAACAAAATCAAAACATAGATTTTGAGATTCCTGATTAGTGGAGGCACGTTAATGAAAAGAAGACAGCAGTTGTTAAAATGAATGTCCGCCAGATGACTGGATAAAACAAAATGGCATATATACAAAGCGTATAAGCTAAAATAGGACATCACGATAAAAGTTTCAGAGGAAAAAGTTCTTGGTGAAGTATACATGCTCCCATCATAAAGTCATAAATCAATATAAGTCTAATAAGTAAAATGAAAATAACAATCAAAATTTCATGCGACGGAAGAGCTTTTCATGATTTACCTTCTTCAGGAACGCTCAAATCCAAATATTTTCAAGCCAAGGATGTACAAGTCCTAAGCACGCGAAGGGCTTTATGACCAACAAGAACATAAAACATTAGTCAAGTTCCTCTAAAGTCAACTTTGCTTGAGGAAGTTTGAATCTAAGTGTCTTTAAAATTTCTTAAGGTATCATCGGAAAATTTAAGAAAAGTTTTTATTTCAAGCACTGGCTACTGAGTTTATGATACCCTCAGGGACGAACAGTCCATCAACTGTGGTATTAACCCACTGCTTGTAAATTAATATAACTCTATTGTACGTCTGAAGCGCTGTACTAGATTCACCATCATCAGGAATGCCCAAATCAATTAACGATGGAGACCTTTGTAAAAGTAAAATAACAACAAGTTTGAGCTGTCTAAAAAGCTGTGGACTGCTTCGCTCTATCCTAATTTAAGGTGATATGTGTGCATGTTGTTGTTGATTTAGTATTGAAAATGTGGTATTTTTAGATATTGATTGATATAAAATGGATGTCTTAGACTTGGAATATCGATTTTTGTCTCGCCTGCGACGAAAGTCGCAGAAAGTGAGACATAGGTATTACTATCCGGCGGCGGCGGCGGCGGCGACGGCGGCGTAAACTATTTGTATAAAGCTTTATATTTCAGAAGGTAGAAGACCTGGATGCTTCATACTTTGTATGCAGATACCTTATGTTACGAACTTTCCGTCTGTCATATGTCCAATGTCCTTGACCTTATTTTCATGGTTCAGCGACTGCTTGAAAAAAAAGTTTATTTTTTTTTGTTATGTAAATTTCTCACTTATTATGAGTAATAGGATAACTATATTTGGTATATGGGTTCCTTGCAACGTCTACATGTCCATCAGACAGGGTTCACCTAACCTCAGCCTCATTTCATGGATCAGTGATCAAGGTTAAAGTTACGTGATTAGGTCCGTTTCTCAGATACTACAAGCAGTAGGTCAGCTATATGTGGTGTATGGAATGATTATAAGGGATACATGTCAGTCTGGCAGGTTTCATCTGACCTTGACCTCATTTTCACGGTTCATTGGTCAATGTGAAGTTTTTGTGTTTTGGTCTGTTTTTCTAATACTATAAGCCATTGGTCAACTATATTTGGTGTATGGAATGATTGTAAGGTGTACATGTCTGTCTGGCAGGTGTCATTTGTCCTTGACCTATTTTCATGGTTCATTGGTCAATGTTAAGTTTTTGTGTTTTGGTCTGTTTTTCTAATACTATAAGCAATAGGTCAACTATATTTGGTGTATGGAATGATTGTAAGGTGTACATGTCTGACTGGCAGGTGTCATTTGTCCTTGACCTCATTTTCATGGTTCATTGGTCAATGTTAAGTTTTTGTGTTTTGGTCTGTTTTTCTAATACTATAAGCAATAGGTCAACTATATTTGGTGTATGGAATGATTGTAAGGTGTACATGTCTGTCTGGCAGGTGTCATTTGTCCTTGACCTCATTTTCATGGTTCATTGGTCAATGTTAAGTTGCTCTTTTTTGGTCCTCTTCTCAGATACTATAAGTTATAGGTCAACTATATGTGGTGTATGGAATGATTGTAAGGTGTACATGTCTAGCTGGCAGGTGTCATCTGACCTTGACCCCATTTTCATGGTTCAGTGGTTATAGTTAAGTTTTGTGTTTTGGTCTGTTTTTCTTATACTGTATGCAATAGGTCTACTATATTTGGTGTATGGAATGATTGTAAGGTGTACATGTCTAGCTGGCAGGTGTCATCTGACCTTGACCTCATTTTCATGGTTCAGTGGTCAAAAGTTAAGTTTTTGAGTTTTGGTCTTTTTTTCTAATACTATATATGCAATATTTCAACTATATTTGGTGTATGGAAATATTTTATGATCTATATGTCAGTCACGCAGATTTTATTTGACCTTGACCTCATTTTCAAGGTTCATTGCTCAGTGTTAAGTTTTTGTGTTTTGGTCTGTTTTTCTTAAACTATAAGCAATAGGTCAACTATATTTGTTGTATGGAAGATTTGTTAGCTGTACATGCCTGCCTTGCATGGTTTATCTGACCTTGACCTCATTTTCATGGTTCATTGGTCAATGTTTAGTTTACTTGGTTAATGTTAAGTTTATGTGGCAGTTGTAATAAAGCTTTATATTTAGGACTATCAACATAATATCAATGATTAGTAAAGAAGGCGAGACATTTCAGCGTGTGCACTCTTGTTGTATATATATTAAGATGAACTTTTCTGAAATTTTAAACTGGCTGTTCAGTGTTTAGTTGTCAATGTGTCTTTGTGGAGAGTGGTTTTCTAGTTCTTTCAGCTGGTCATTGACTTGCGATTTTTATTGCTAGTTATGTATATAATTTATTTAGATATATATGAATGTTTAGTATGTTGATTAAGAGTAACATGATTTCGAGTGATGAAGACAATAACAATAAAAAACAAGGAGTAAACAAAGACTTGTACAACCAAAAGATATTTTCAACAGTAAAGATAAATAAGAAACAACACGAACTCTCGTGACCAAGGATTTATATACATGACTAAAAACTTACCCGTACCTTGTATTTTTGTCCATTGTACTCCCATATGATACCTTCTTGTTTTTTTAAGTTTTACAAACTCTATATTTTAGGTGTCGCAAGATGTTTTACGAAGTACAAATGGAACCCTCGACGTGTTAACTGTAAACTTAAATATGTTCAAATATAGACCAGAATATAGATATTTAATTGGTAATCATAATGATTAATTGATTTTATATGTTATAACTTGTGTATCATTTCCTTACATTTATTCTTTCATTATGGTGTCCATGTGTAAGTCGAAACTGAGTAGGACTGACATCAAATTAAGCAAACTAAACATAATTTTTCCCCAAAAAATATTGCCGTGTATATAGAATTCCAACATTTTTTTAATTGTAAAATTAAAATACTATTGACGGTTAACTTAGTTGCATAAAATGGGTCTGTGTGTGAACGTCTTGATAAATATTTAAACATACTAAGCCAGAATAAAACGCCGAACGTTTTATACATTTTATATACGACAATTTCATGTCTAACCATGCAAACGTATATTAACAATGAAATCCGACGTTAAATCAGTGTTAAATTTTTATGAACCATCCGTAGGCAACGGGGGCATTAAGTGTTACCTTATGCCCGTCTTTCCGTCCGTCCGTCCCAGTTTTTTGTCCGCACACTAACTTTAGTTTGCCTCGTGCAAATTTTATAATGCATACGTAATGTTAAGAACCAAGACTCACAGACAGAGTTTGAGTTTGTGCAGTGAGTCATTTACTGTTCAAGAGATATGCTCCTTTATAACTCTGTCTTAGGTTTTCCTCATCCAAATTTCGTGAAACATATACACAATGGTAAAAACAACAACACACAGACAAGGTTTGAATTTGGGCAGTGAGTCATTTATCGTTCAAGAGTTATGTATCTTTTTAACTTGGAAAATGACAAAGTTGGAGCAAGGCCATTCGTGTCCTCAGACACATTCTTCTTTTATTTCTTTAAATGATAACATATTAAATTAAAGATAAGCATCGATATATCTCCCAATTGAGGAATCTGCAATGATTTGTTTGCTCCATTAGGGCGAAAATCTTGATTTATGAAAAATATTGTGCAAAGTTGAAAAGTATTCCAGAAGTCGCTTGAAGCGTTTGACTTAATTTGAAATTTTGTATATATTTTTGTATATTTACATTTCTTTCGGGTCTTGACTTGTATCTTGTTGAACACGTTTGTCCAATATATTTTGAAATACAGATATTTGTTGCTGCATTGATATCGAAAAAGAAAGTTAATCTTCAATGAGAGTCATTGCAGAATAGGCGATTGCTAATTAAAACTAAAACATTTTACAAACACGATTCATTATCTCCACAATCATTCACACAAAGAGTCTGCAATGACAAACATTTGTAAATGTTTCTAATTAGCAGATATCACGAAAAAGAAACATTGTAAATAGTTAATTTTACATTGTATAATTATGTTCAATACTTGTATCTATGTGATAATCTTGGCATATCTGTGTATATTTTAAGGTCAATACCACGACGCTTTTGGTGTGGGTAATCCAATGTATAATGACGAGGTTGAGATGAGTATGGTTACAATTGACAGCATGTTAGATTCTAAATACTGGTTTTACATGTCATACTACATTTCACAAGGTGTTTGTGGAAATGATGTTAGTAAATATACCGTTAGGACACCATATCACAGCTGACACAAAAAGTTTTTTCGATAAAGAAAAATAAATTCTCATAAACTGTCTATACCTTATTTTGGAGATAACGTTGTTGTTTGATTACATAGCTTTCCAATTGACCTAGTGTGTAATATCGCCAAATTGAGTTTATAAATGCAATAAGTGGTAGAAAAATCAATGCTTACCAACGAATAAAGTTTCCCTTCAATAAAGGCAACAGAAGTATACCGGTGTTAAAACGTCATAAATCGATTGAGAGAAACCAAAACCAAGGGAAACACATCAAATATAAGAGGAAAACAAAGGAACAACCGGAACGCCGAAGTGCAACAAAAACAAACATCAACACACATGAAAACGAACTATTTGATAACAACTGCCATATTCCTGACTTGGTATAGGACATTTAAAAAAAACTCATGGGTTGAACCTGGTTTAATGGCTAGCCGCAACTCTCGATTTATGACAATGTTAAAAATTATCGCTAAAATGACAACACTACGTGACAGAAACACAGCACAAACACACGCAAGAACATTCATAACAGAGAAACGCACAAACAAATAATATAATAGTCGATTTTTAAAAGTGATCAAATTATCAGTAAGTGTAGGCAAACTATTGTAATTTGTTTTTACTTACAAACAAGGTATTTGTAATTTTGACCATATTTTTTGTAGGCTATGTCTTTGTTGCCAAAATGGCAGGCAAATATGGTCACAGCTTTAAAATTTTATCCTTACCGTAAAAGTGCAAAACTGCCTCCTGGTATGTATGCAAATATCTGTTTTCGTTATTGTATCACTATTTTGTCTCATACGTGATCTTTGTTCGAGATTCGATATTTCCTGTCACTCATGCTCGTCTGTTCCTAGTCAAGTGAGATTTTGATGTACAAGGTATTCTAATTAATAAAATAAATTGTAATCACGTTCTAAACTAAGATTTAGCCATGGAAAGTGGCCCCAAGATCTTTTTCTTATTAAGTACGAGAGGAACTGTGTGGACAAGTCGAATTCCACAGTTGACTCATTTTGATAACAATAATTTTTACCCTTTTTGCTTCTACAAATTTTCCGCTATTGTTTTTATTCTAAGAATGAATTAATGTTAAAATATATACCACACTGATTATTATGTTGTTGGCTTCACTACAACTTAAAGAGTTCCCAGTATTTCCTATTCCCATAAAAACCTTTGTAATAGATGGCTATTCTACACATTATGATAAAATTTTTGTCTAAACATTCAGATGGCAGGTTAGAGATACCACTTCTTTGGCCAAAAGGAACTTACTCACTTCAAAAACCAACCTCAGGGTGTCCTGGACTTTTCAAATGGTCAGAAGGCCGAATCATGGTAAATATGACGGGTGCACAGATGTCAGCAATGAGCTCGTTTGAAGGTTGGTATATATTTTAATATATATTTTGATAAGAATAAAATTAGGTTATCAGATAGTTGAGAAAAAAATATATTTTTCAATGTATCATTACTGACAGTGAAAGTGAAAAACAGAATTAATCTTTAAGTGGAGTCATAAAGAAGTATGTTATCGTCTCATATAATTTTACATATGACGTGGCTCTGTACTTATACTTCCCGTCATTGTGTTATTGTTCTATGATAATTTTTGTATTCTTGTTTTCATTTTTGCTAATATGCTTTGTCTTATATATGCCTTATGTGTTTCTTTATTACAAATGACGTGGCTCTGTACTTATACATTCCGTCATTGTTATTGTGCCATGGTAAAATGTTTGTTTACATATTTGTTTGTTTTTATAGTGATTAAGTTATAACACAATGTTGACTGCTGTACCCCTATTTTTGACATTTTTACCTATTATGTCTGTTTGTTTTGTTTACACATCGTTGTCAATATAATGGAATTTTATGCGACTGTCATACAAGTGAAAGGCTTAGCTAAGTAAATAACCAGGTTTAATCCACCATTTTCTACATAAGAAAATGCCTGTACTAAGTCAGGAATATGACAGTTGTTATCCATTCGTTTGATGTGTTTGAGCTTTTGATTTTGCCATTTGATTACGGACTTTCCGTTTTGAATTTTCCTCGGAGTTTAGTATTTTTGGGATTTTTCTTTTAAATGCAATTCGAACCAGCAGAACATATTGTTAGATATCCGATTTAAATGCACCCTAAAGAATATATTTTTATCTAAAGATATCCAATTCGCAAAGATTACTTTAATGTCATCGACTACAATTCCTGAAATTTATATTGTCATCACTATCGCCCCCCCCCCCCCCCCCCCACCAAAAAAAAGTACTTCTGTGTTGAACGAGGTGATTACAAATACCAAATACTATTTTCATATCTCGTGGAAATCATATTTATAAAGAACCACACTGATTCCAACAACTAATAGAATAAAGTAGACATTTTTGAAATGTGGAACTTTCCAACTGACAGTCTTTTTGTTGAGATTGTTGCCTACATTCAATATTTTAGTGTTTTGGATTTTGTCGTTATATTTAGTACTTATATACTCTTTATTTGATTTTTACTTTAGAAGTGTATGTATGATGTAAGAAGATTTCAAAATAGTAATATGTTTAGCATACATTTTTGAATCTAAGAAATATTCATACAGGCGACGTTGAACAAACCTCCTTTACGCTGAATTACTGTGCCAAGGAACGAACTGAATCACAAGATGAGTTAATATGGAGTAAGGGAGACTATTGTTTATTTCAGCAAGATTCTGATTGTCCTACTGGTAAGTTAAGATGGGCATTTACCAAAATAGTTTAAACAGTTCACTGCAATACAAAAATTCTTTGAATCTTTCACTGTCATACAAAACGCATCTGTGACTTTTAAATCGTTCATATTTAACGTTAAACAAGAAGTATAAGGGGGAAATAATGAAGTAATCTGTCCATCAAACATACTACACATGATAAGAATAACTGGAGGTAATGTATGCAAAAGCTAAAAAAATACCGACCTTTGAAATGTCCATACTGTGGAAAAGGAAAACCAAAAAATAATTGAAACGAAGAACAAAAAGGCTGGTGTATTTTCGCATTATATGGCAAAGATTCTGAGGAATTTCATCAAATTCTGAATAGGGGTTTAGGAGAAGAGCAGAATAAAAATGTGTACTGTAGCGTGAACATGGTTTGCTTAAGGAAAACGCAAAAACTGTATATATGGATAATATTGTGAAATGGTTTCAATAAACTGTAATAAGGGGTTTAGTAGGAGTTGGGGATACAAAATGGACATCTCCTAAATAAAGCAATGACAACCTCAAACATGATTCTGATCAATAAATAAAATATGAGGTACATAAAAGCATTACATGGTCAAGATTATGAGGAGGTTTTTAATACATTGTAATAAGGGGATGATGAGGAATTGCGGATACTAAAAGGGTTCACCCAAATGTGAACCATAGTGTGCAGACATGGCTATGTCTATGTCAACCTAAAGTAAATCCTAAATCATTCAAAGAAATGAAAAAAAGAGGTACAAAAGTATATTATGTGATTAAGATTCACAATTCTGTCAAGCGTTTCAGGGTTAGTTGCGGAAACAAATTATGGGACATAAGAACGGCCTTTCCTATCACTATGTATACATGTACATGGAAAGCAGGTATATAAAAAGATGTGTAAGTGAACATATTCCCTATCACAGTTCAGTAATGAGGAATACATTTTATCCACAGAAACCAACCCACTGTCAATTATAATTTTGAAACAAATTATCTGGGTTATCATTAACAGCTTGAACGTTGATGGAATGTATCCCTTTTCTATTGATATAAGTATATTTAATTTCCACCAGGTGCTGATTGAAATTTGATATGAGTGCCTTCAATTGTTCCAATAACACCAGAAAAATTTGCTACCTCGTAAAACCCTGTTTAATTCTGTTTTTTTCCCTCGTTAGTGGAAGGTCATTTAACGTTAGTGGAAGGTCATTTAAAGGAATTGCAACCAATTTTTCAAAAGGAGCTGGAGACATCTCTGACTGCCCTAGACACACTAGATATGTAGTAGCCCATTGGAGTAGCAGTTGCATAATACCGTAAAGCCTTTTGCACTTGGACTTATAGCATACCGCCTCAACGTTGGTCTGCACAAGTCTGATTCAATGATATTTTTTTATATATTCCACACTCTCTTTAAAAAATCTAAATCTAATACTAAATTCCCTGTCATCATAATTTAGGTCTTAATGGCGATTAACTCTTTGTTTGTCATGTCTCTGCAAACATATTAGACAAATCTTGCAGCCACTGTTGTATTTATCCAATGAATGATAAGTAAGATGGTTGATTTTGTCGTTTATATTTATCATGTAGGTAAAGAGATTTAATCAATAGTTAAGTTTTGAGCAATAAGAATTAACCATAGGCTAAAACTTAACCTCTGGATAAGCTGTTTATCTACCGGATAACTTTATCTAACGTGTTTAGCAACTCAGTCTAGAACATTGCAAACGTCCACTTGAGCCATAAAGAAAAAAGATTCTGTTTTTGTTGTGATGTGTTCTTTAAATTTAGATACATCGGATCTCGATTCATCCTAATGACGTGCTCTAGTGACCTTACATAATACAGACATTAAAATCTCACCTGAAGTCAAAGGAAAGCTCTTCCGGGATAAATTCGACCGAATTTGAAATAGCGTAAATTCAATCCATTTGTTCCATACATTAACACAATCATCGGAAAGAATGCAAAATGCTCATAAACAGTTGTTCCAGTAGTACTATGTCGTTTCGATGTCTCCCTATAGCATGGTTGCTTGTATTCAAGGGGAAAACAGGTTTTCCCCTTTCCGAGGCACCTGAGATCACCCCTGGGTTTTAGTGGGATCGTGTTCATGCTCAGTTTTTTGTTTTCTATGTTGTGTTTTGTGTACTGTTGTTTTTCTTTTGTTTTTTGTTTTCTTTTTTGCCATGGCGTTGTATATTTATTTTCGACTGATGAGTTTGAATGTTCCTTTGGTATCTTTCGCCTCTCTTTTCCAACACTAACTTTAATCATGTATATTAATCGTAAGGATATAAAGGTAATGTTTGAAATAATTTTAATATGACGAGAAATGCAGTGTTTCTCTCTAATTTATAATCATACATTCAAACTGATTTGTTTTTAAATCAACAAAAAATTCTTCAATAGTTTAGTTTTCAGTCAATTTTGTAAAGCCTCAAACTAAATGACAATAATTATATTATATGCAATTTGTATGTAAACAGACTTTAACGTTGACCCCCAATTTGTCTTAATTTCCTTGCTCCATAATTCGTTTGTGGGTTAAAATCCGTTTTTTACATTTGAACAGGGTTTACTTCATCTTCCATCAGATATCAGGACAGAGTTCATCCTGCAACCGTTGGTGTTACTCCACATGTAGAATATAAAACTGGTCCTCAATTCAAGTATTGCTGCAGGTAAATATAAATGGTTTTTAAATGTTCATATTATAGGTTTAAAGACATGTTGCCAATAGAACAAATAAAATACAGTATGTTGTTGAAATTCAACGTATGATCCTGTTTTCATAATGCGCTATATTCGCTTCTGCAATAACGGTCGTCAGGTACGCTCGGGACCATATGTTTGGGAAGACATATGCACCAAAAGTGTGGAGCATCCAATGATTTATAAAGACATGAAAAGAACAGGGAAAAGTGCACAAGATATACTTTGACTCATTCGAGATGAATTCATTTGTTAAGGTTGTTTTTCTATTGGGTCAACCATGAACTCTTTATTAGCTATTGTTAATATATAATAATAAACATTTTAAAAAATTGAGCAGTTATATTTAGAAGAGAAATTATCATTACCTAAAATTTTGAAATATTCATTCATAAACACACGAAAAAAAAATCGATATTCATAAAAAAAAAACTTGTATGATTTGATACTGTCGTTGAGCAAAATTTTTCAAAATACATGTTTGTTTACAAGGAGCTAGACCGGGAAAACTCGCATGAACATGTTCCTCACTCAATAGTATGTTGACCAATTTAAAGCATTGTTATTTGTGAGAAACTTTGAAACTATTAATTTCTCAAGACTCCAACAGGGGTATGTGAACAATTACAGATAGTTACAAATCACATTAACAGTAACATTTGTACCGTGTATCTGGGACTATTGTACTAATAGTCCCAGCGTGTATGTTATTGTACTACATTATGAGGACATTTAAAATGTAAAAAAAAATATATGTTGACATGGATTTTTACAATGAACGGCAAACTTATTTAATTCTGACTGTATAATTCTACAAAAATTGCTTGTTTCATTTCGATCATTGTTCTGACTAATGGTCTTTGACTCGCTGCTGATCTGAATTACTGGATATAGATTGCTATCTATATGTTTGATAGTTATATATTTTGTTATTTCTATCAAAGCTAAGGGTTAAAGTCAACCATACTTGGTTGACCATAGATAGCTATTGCTGTTGATGTTTTTTGTTCCAAGTCTTTTTCATTTTAACACTATTATGCCTAACAGAAATCTTTTGTACCTGGAAATAGTAGATACAGATTGTACTCAATAAACTTGAGTATTCAAAACTTTTAAAATAGTAATCATTTTCACAATTATCGTTTCCTCTCATATTATAGTTCATGTCAACCAATTAAAAGCACAACAATCATTCTGTAATTTTAGAAAGTTTTAGAGTAATTTTTTTTGAAATTTTACAGATCGGATGGTTCATATTTAAATCCAATATACTTGCCAACAGCCAAGCCATTCTATCTATTGAAATATACACATGGTTGTCAACGTGTAGATGGTATGGAGTTTAAGGAACAGCAATTTCTTTACCCAACAAAGCAACATATTTTCGTCCATAACTCGCCATCACATACTACCATCAGTGGAACAGGAGTGAACTTAGATTATTGTTACTACACGGCCCTCAAAGTAGGCGGGGGTATAGGTATAGGTGTTGGAAAATAAAATAAAAGGCGAATATTCTTATAATTTTTTTATTTGCTTATTTAATTATTTGTGAAATGTATTCACCGGGTTCGGGATTTTCTCGCTGTGTTGAAGACCCATTGGTGGCCTTCGGCTGTTTTCTGCTCTTTGGTAGGGTTGTTGTCTCTTTGACGCATTCCCCATTTCCATTCTCAATTTCATTAGTTTAGATTCACAGACGTTAAAACTGCAATATCAAGATGTAGTTAAACGACAAGATACAGATATGAACTTGAACTAATTTTATTGATTATAGGCCTTAATTACACTCATCTTACATGAACAAAACATTATATTGCTTGGTCTGCCGAATCGTTTTGTTGGTTACCAACATCTATTTTATCAATAAGCCAAGAATAACAATGAACTACATACTCTATGCTCGGTTAAAATGAGATGTTGATTCTTAGAAAAAAATCCTACAACCTGTTATATTTTGTTTTTATTTTGACATTGTAACCAATTACACAAGTATTTCTAATTTCTAAGTTATCGACAGATTGAAAGAATAAGTACAACTTTGCTTCATTACACACAGTCTAAAATATCCTGTTTTAAGACGGGAAACTTATAATTTCCAATATAACAAAAAGTTCTCTGAAACAGACATCGTGAAGATGCTTCATGTTGCATTTAAAACATTTTGCAATGTTCTGTAGAACTTATTTCAAGACATTCGGCATTCCATTGAAATCCGATTGTGCTTCTCTTCTCGCCTTTTTGTTATTCTATACTTTTTGAGGAGGCAGTCTTCAAACTGAAGCTTCTCAAGAACGAAAAGAAGCTTTATTATTGTGTATAATTTTCAAGTTTGACTATATAGATATATCTTCAGTGGTAAATTCAGTTTAATGAATGTGTGATTGCATCAATCCAATTGAACATAAAATGGACGATGCCACAAAGTCTGCTTCATGCTTTATATTACAACTTGATGAAAATTGTTAGTGAGTGTCGATTGGGAACTTTAATTTTCCGTTGTGACTTTACCAAAAAGTAAAATAACAAAAATACCGAACTCCAAGGAAAATTCAAAACGGACAGTCCCTTATCAAATGGCAAAATCAAAAGCTCAAACACATCAAACGTATGGAAAACAACTGTCATATTCCTGACCTTGGTACAGATATTTCCTTATGTAGAAAATGGTGGATTAAACCTGGTTATTTAGCTAGCTAAACCTCTCACTTGTATGACAGTCGCATAAAATTCCATGTGTGAACAAAACAAACAGACATAACAGGTAAAAAAGTAAACAAATAGTGGCACAGCAGTCAACACTGTGTTATAATCTTAATCACCATAAAAACAAACAAATATGTCACCAAAGAAAAACAAAATGGCATATAGACAAAGCACATAAGCAAAAATGAAAGACAGGAATACAAAAAATGACTATAGCACAATAACACAATTGCGGGATGTATAAGTACCGAATCACGCCAAAAGGATATTACCAAAAATGGACTAAACAGTAAAGGTTCATAATTTACAAAGACAAATAAAAGAACACTATAACACGTAATTAAGATGATAAACAACGTCAGTACTTAGAATCAGTACTTCAAGACCATCATGTATTATTTGTGAAGTTGATATGGAATATTTATCAACAAGGTCTTGGTATCTTCCGATGAATTTTTTCTAGAAAAAGGATGAGACGTTCTTTAACATTACCCTGGTTCATCAACTTTCTGCTCAGACACTGGTGACGTTTTATAAAGTCTGAGTAGCAGCTGCAAGCTCTTAAATACCGAATCAGTTGGGAAATGTATAGCCCATATGCAGGTGAAGTTGGTATATTGCTACTAAGGTGAGGAAAATTTATAATTTCAAAGTTAAATAGTCTCGTTTGTCATAGATACTAGTTCTGAGATGACCGCTTATGTCAAATTCGAGGTATAAGTCTAAAAAATGAGGCAGAGGAAGCCGTTTATGTTGTTTCTTAATTTCTAGTTCTGGAGGATATATTAATGGAACCCAATCAGAAAAGTTTGGATTGATAATCGAAAGATTGATTGATTGATTGACTGGTGTTCAACGCCACTTCCAACACTATTGTGCTATTTAATGGCGGTCAGTTTTTATGGGTCCCGGAGAAAACCACCGACCTTCGGTAGGAAAACTAACAATCCTCGTCAATTAAGATTAAGATTAATGGAAAGAACAACATCAATATATCTGAATGTGAAATTAAATTATCTGGCTTCTTTGATCTTCTTTTTGACAAGTGTCTGATGGAACTCGGACTCCTATGAAAATAAGAAGAGGTCGGCAAGGAGAGGCGCAGTTCGTTCCCATAGGAATGCCGACAATTTGTTGAAAAGTCTACCTCCAAATTCAACAAATATGTTGTCAATCAGAAACTCCAGCATACTGATCACGTGTTCCTCTGTGTAGCATGTTTTACCTTTCGTTCATTATTAACAAAATATGCCAGCTTTTATGTAACAACATTCCAACAGAACTTTTATATGGAGTTTGTATCTTATAGATGAAAAAATATTCTAGAGCGTATGTTTCATATAACAATTTCCTAGACGGGAAGATGCCACTGAAATAAGTAAACACTATTATATAAACTTGGTGCGTCAAAAGCACTTTTCTTAAAACAACTTCATCAGAAACAATCAAAACAAAAGCTAGAGGCTCTAAATAGCCTGTGTCGCTCACCTGTATCTTCAACAATAGCAATTTTTGGTAAAAATCATCATGAAAGGGCAATAACTCTATAAAGAGTTAACTGAAAATTTCAGTCATGTTGACATACTTGTAGATATCTCGTCTTGTTTATAATTGAGAGAAATCGTTATTCAAGCGCAATAACTTAAATGAGCAGTCAGTCAACTGACGATTTCGGTCATGTTTGACTTAGTTGTAGAAATTGACTTGTTGATCATTTTTGCAGTTTAAAGTTTCTTTCTATCTAGTATAGATTTAAGGCATAAACGCAAAAACATGGTAAAAATCGTCATTAAAGAGCAATAACTCCAATAAGGAGTCGTCTGATGATTTCAACCATGCGGACTTATTTGTAGATCCTGTATTGCTTATCCTTTTCCTAATAAAAATTTCTCTGTATCTATTATAGTTTCCAAAATAATAGACAACTAGAGGCTCTAAAGAGTATGTGTTGCTCACGTTGGTCTATGTGCATATTCAACAAAGGACACTCTCCAACATTGTAGACAAGAACAGAATTCATTACAAAAATCTCTGTTTTGTTGATCCTGTATTGCTGATCATTTAGTCTGTTTAGTTTCTCTCTTTATCTTCTTTAGTTTTTGCTCAAACACAAAAGAGGGTAAAAAAAATCATCATTTAAGGGCAATGATCCTATAAAGAGTGACAGTCTACTAACTATATCAACAAAATTTGACTTGTTAGTAGATCTTTCCTTGTTGATCATTTTTGTGGTTTAAAGTGTCTATTTATCTATTATAATTTTTATCATATAAGGCAGAATGCAAAAAAATGATAAAAATCGTCATTAAAGAGCAATAACTCCATTCCTCCATTCCTCTTTATTGAAGATCTTGTCTTGCTGATCATTCTTGCTTATTTAAGTTTCTATCGATCTATTATATTTTTTGAAATATAAGGCAAAAACAAAAAATTGATCAAAATCGTCATCAAAGGGCAGTAACTCTAATAATGAGTCGACTGACGATTTCGACAATGCTACTTGTTTGTAGAACTTGTCTTGTTGGTCATCTTTGCCGTTTAAAGTTACTCTCTATCTATTATAGTTTTCAAGATAATAGGCAAAAATGAAAAAAAAAATGGTAAAATTTGTCATTTAAGGTCAATAACTCCTATTAGAAGTCGTCTGACAGTTTTGACGTGTATGAACATTTTGTAGAGCTCAACATTAGGAACATTTTTGCTCCGTCTGATTTTCTCTATTTATAACGGTTTTCAAAATAATAGACAAAACTTGCATTACCCTTATATTCAATTTTGAGCCATGTCGGCCATCTTGGTTGTCAGGCGGGGTTATTGGACACATCTTTTAAACTAGATACCCCAATGATGATTATCACCAAATTTAGTTGAATTTGGCCCAGTAGTTTCAGAAGAGAAGATTTTTGTAAAAGTTAAGGACGATGATGAAGGACGCCAAGTAATGAGAAAAGCTCACTATCTGCCCCGTCAGATTTTCTCTATTCATTGCAGTTTTCAAGATAAAAGACAAAACTTGCATTTCACCCCATGCGACACTTCACCTTTTCGACAGGTGAGCTAAAAATGAAAGCCAAAGATGTATAAACACTTCAGGAGCTTTATGACTTAAAGAAACCTTTACAGATGAGATGATGGCTGGCTGTTTGGGGAGTTAAATCTTCCCCAATTGGCTTTCAACTTATTTTGCAGGATAAATTTTACAATTAGGGATATTTCATTTTACTACTTATGATTTGAATAGTTTTTATAAACTATAATTCCTATACTTCACTGTTTTGCCTAATTCAAAGTAGCATGAAAACAAGATATTTGTACTCTCGGTTTAACATTATTTTTGTAGAGATATCTAAGATGTACATACTGTCCCAATCACTTAACTTCTTGAACCACTGAACTATGAACATGAGATCATCATCAAGACCATGTGTTACTGTCAGAGAAACATATAATTCTATATACAATTTGCCTGTTAATTATAAAAATTCGATATCTATGACCACTTACTGCAAATGACCTACCAAACATGAATATTACCATGTGTAAGACTGACATGGGACCTACTGAAGCAATAATGGAGTACTAAACTGTAGAGAAGGTATAATATTTTGTTAAAAACGGTCAGTATGGACTTTATCATCATCACTTAACATTAGGATGTTACCAGAGCCATAAAATCTATGTTACCCAAAACGGACATTTGCAAGACAGAAATTTCAAAACATACAGCAATTTTCAAAGAATGCATTATTTAGGGCATCTGTCATTTGAAAAATAAATGTTTGCACAAACAATTAAAACTGCCATTACAGCAATACTATGGCTCATCTTCAACAACATTTTTGCAAGGCAAAACAAAAACAACTTATAATGTGTAAAACTTTAATTATTGTGATATGTCATACCTGACTGAATTGACTTACATGGATAAAGCCACAGATGTAGTTAAAGACTGAAGATTTCTAAGTGATTTATTTGATAAGAAAAATTGATTTTCATGAAATAAAGAAATACAAATATCTTTTAATTGAAAAAAAATACTAGTATCTATCCGTGTTTTGATTCAAAATCTAAAATTTATTTGTAATCCAAACATATAAATAGAAGTGTTCTTTTTAAAACAAATCAGAATTTGTTAAATTCTAAAAGTATTTCTATAAAAAAAACCACTTTCTTTACATCATTTTTATTGTATTACTACGTCTTTTATTATTACAAATTTAAATAGAAAAAATCACTGTACAGTTTTTTTTTTTATTTTGAAAAGTATATTAGTATGTGGAAACACATTGGCAGACTGAGCAACTGTACTTTTTAATTTTAAATTACAAATAAATTATTATAAAATAAATACTTGATGAAATATATAAAAACAAATAACAAATAAAAGTTTAAAAACAAATAAGAAAAAAAATTGGTCTTGCCTACTGGCAGATTCTCAAAATATTGGCAATTTAAGGAAAATAGATTGCTTTCACAATAAAGAAACATATATATATATATATATATGTATATGTTTGAAATGTATATGGAAATTTTATGTAAACAGCCAGAGCTTTAGAATTATAACATAAAAGCTATAAGTTTACTAGTAATACCTGTAAATCTGATAGTCCTAGTCCAAATCAATGAAGGAAATGTTCATGTTTAGCTATAGACAACCTTAAATCTATGCCAGAAGTGTGAAATTTTGATTTTTATATATAATATTTACACTGAGATTCAGAACTATAAATCTACTGTCTTAAAAATATCACAGCTTTCATACAATATTTCTAATTATAAACTATTGACACAGAGATATGTCTCGTCTGTATGTAGTTTTGGCCATATTATAAAATAAGTAAACTGTTAACACAGGGATATGTCTCGCCTTTTTGTAATTTTAATAATGCAAATGTTGAAATTAAAATAGCAATACTTTAACATGTAAGTTATGCAAATATTCAAAGTCAATGAACCATGACTGAAGATACAGGGCTAAACAATCTCCATCGAAATGAGATGTGCCAATGCTAATACCATTGACTTATCATAAGTCGTTCCCTTTAAACAAACCTAAACAGAAACATTAACTTGTAAAACTATGTAAAAGTTTCAAAGTCAATGAACCATGATGAGGGGGTGGGGCTATATAATCTCCATGGAAATGAGACTTGCAAATGCCAATAAATTTGCATACCAAATATCATTGACTGAACATAAGTGGTTCATCTTAAACTGATCTAAACACAAACTAAGACATGTAAACTAAGCAAAAGTTTCATAGTCAATAGACCATGACTGAGGGGGCAGGACCACATATTCTCAATGAAAATGAGATGTGCTTATGCTCAAATAACTGCATATCAATTAACATTGGCCTACCACTAATGGTTCTCCTTGAACTGACCTAATCACAAACAAATATATGTAAACTAGGCAAAAGTTTCAAAGTCAATAGACCATGACTGAGGGGGCAGAGCCAAATAATCTCCATGGAAATGAGATATGCCAATGCCTATACAACTGCATACCAAATATCATTGACCTACCACTAGTGGTTCCCCATAAACTGACCTAATCACAAACTAATACATGTAAATAAACTAAGCAAAAGTTTCAAAGTCAATAGACCATGACTGAGGGGGCAGGGCCAAGTAATATCACAAACTAATACATTGTTGACGCCCCCAACGCCATAAACAGCATACATGTCTTGCTTTTTGACTCCACCAAGGCGAGACAAAAATAACAACACTTTAGCATGCTTGTAAACTATTCCAACCTTTTAAAGTAATTAAGCCATGACCGAGGATGTAGAGCCAAATAATCTCCGTAAATTAAACATTTTCATGCTAATACAACTGCTTACCAAATGTCATTGACCTACAATAATTGGTTTCTTTTAAACCCATCTCATCACAAACTTTAACATGTAAACTATATGCAAATGAAAGTGTCCATGCTTAAACTACCCCATACTGAATATCTTTGACATACTATGAGTGGTTCCCCTTAAACTGACTTAATCCCAACTTTTAACAAACTGTTGACAAAGCTGATGCCTCCTTAAACAGCAAGCCTATGTCTCACCTTTGTGACTAAGTCAAAATATAAATATAAATTGAATAATACATTGTAAAACAATATATGTAAAGTTTTAAAATATAAAAACTCCTGTCATTCATAAATCATATTCATCTTATATATCATGTATAATTAAAATATATGTAATAAAGCGAATAAATTTTTTTCCATAAATAATAATAAAAACTTACAAAATGTACAAAGGAGTAAGTTCGGTAAGGGCCATATTTGGCCCCAATTATAAAGTTCAATGTTACAAGATAAAAAATGTTTTAAGTTGACTTAAAGACATGTGAGAAAGTTAAATAGAACTATTTGTGTCAAAATTTTATTCTAAAGCGTTGATTTTTACATCCCAAATAGGTCAAAATAAGAGATTTTGGCGAAATTTTACAAAATCAGCCTGATTTCAACCAAATTTATGACAAAGAAACATAGAGCGCAGGCGTCGACAAACTAAATATTCAAGTAAGACATTATAAACAATATTGTCAAAGATCTTTATTGTCGACATATGTGCTCTATGTTTCCTGTCCAATAATCAATGAAAATTTACTCAATTTCAGTGATTTTTCGTTGAAAATCAAAATGAGTACCATTTATGACCTCATGAATAAAACGCAGGAACATAAATTTTCAACAAAAGAATTATTTCCTATCTAGTCACTGTATTAGCTATGATTCATTGTGATATTAGTCAATAAATCCTAATTTGAAATTTAAGCTAAAAAAAGGGGCCATTTTAGGGCCTTATCAAATGTAACTTTCCTCAAGTACACAAGTCCCTATGTGAACAGATCTTAGCAATTCTACAAGATTTTGAAGTTTTCTTTCTTTCTAATAATTAATTTAAACATTATTCATATACTTCCTCCAGTTAAAATAAACTGTTAACATAGAGATATGTCTTGCCTGTCTACAGAAATTTCAGAAAAAGACAATCTGATGGACAGCAACATTGCTAATTAATTTAAAGTCGCTGGACCAACTAGTGGGCAGGGCCTTGAAATGGTTGACAAACTGATATGTACTGATAGTAAAGCAACTTTATACAAATTATCATTGATCTATCACAAGTAGTTCCTATCAAACTAACTTAAGCAGAAAACTTAACAATTGTCGTCAAATATTAATGAAAAATTTCTCCAGAAAAGCAATCCCCATCTCGCTTTCCACGACTTTCTTCGCAATTGAGACAAAAACACATCAACAGCATCTTTCACATATTTGAAAATCCACTGAAAATTTATCATCTGGATAAGACCAGAATATGCTACTGTATGCTCTCTAATTCTTAGCTGATTTATACTTGCCCCAAACATGTGATTGTTTATAATCAACATGCTTTTTGCTTGTTCACAGTTCTTCATTGGTCTAAACACAATTGACATAAACTTTTCTTTCTTTCAACTGATTTCCCTATTGTAACATCTCACAGAAAAAGCTTGATTGTTCTGTTGATCATTGAAAAATAAAAATAAAGTTTGCCTTCATATTGTCTAAATTTCATAAGAGAAATCAATTCCACCACCATAGATTGTGTAATACTATATTTCTCCACTCTTGACAATAAATATTTGACTGTCTTGTATTGGCAAATATAATGTTGCACTAAATCCACTGGTAGAATCTATATTTACGCCACTGGTGACGTAAAATAGAATCACTTTCTATTGTCTACATTTGATTGAAAGATATGTTAGATTAAATACTATTTCACACAGGTTAAAAGGACATCTGTCAGTAAATGATGGACAATGTAGAAATATATTTTTCCTATGAGACGAAGCATCCATATCTATATATGTTGATTGTTAAACTGAACAGCATAAAACAGTGCGATTTTTACACCTAAGATATCAATTGATTAAACTCAATAGTATAATTTTTCATATAGATATAACTGAAAAATCAAACAAGTTATCATATATTCAAACATTGTTTTTCTTCATATTTTTTGAGCAAATGGTGTATTTGAAAGCTTCATAAACATATTTAAAATTGGCTTGAAGCAATGTTCAAGTTTAATTACAGGCTAAAAAAATATTAGATTAAAAGTTGTCTTTTCAGTTCATGATTTCTGACCCTTATTTAAACAGTTTATCTTTATATTTGTAAATTTAAAAATAAAAATAACATTTTTGCTTTAACATCATCAAAACAGTAATAATCTTAATATACCATGGAGATTCTACACATCTTTGGAAAAAAAGACACAAAATGTCTTTAAATGACTAGAAAATGGTATTACGATAGCACTTTAATTTTGATTTAATATATATGAAAGCTAAACATTTATTACTTCCTATGTACAATTATCATGAAACTCTATTTTAGAAAGGGCTTGAATTATTCGAGTTATTTTAGAATTTGAAATCATTTCCAAATACAATGTATGTGCCCCTTTTTTGAAGAATATTCTAATAAATAATATAAAATTATACATAATAAATATACATGTATAATGTTCTACAATACATTAATGCTTTTCTATTATATTTTATGGTCTTTTGAAAGCACATGCATATGTTTCTTGTTTGGATGAAATTGTGAACTCCTGGTTTCTTACATAACAAATCAAATTTTTTTTAATTTTTTTTCTGGGATTTTTTTCTTTTTCAAAAGTTGGAAGCTGCCAAATTAATCCAATACACATTCAGTTACAAGACAACATGTTTTTAACTGATATATTTGCTGTCTTTGATAAATTAATATTTGACGAAAATGCTACTGCAACAGCACACACAATGTTCTTTAATAGTTTGTTCTTCAATACACTAATATAAAACTCATCTTTTTTTTATCATCATAAAAACATTTAGAAAAAAATGCCTTTTGGAACTCTTTTTAATATAAGGTATGTCTCAACATTTCTCACCTGAAAATTTGCCTATATGAGTAGCAGACCTCCATAATGTTTAAAATTACATTTGATATGCGTAATAATTATTCCTTTGTAATGTTGAAATCTATCCCTTCTGAAGTTCAAAAATGATAAGAATGCCATTTGGAAAGATTGGAAAATTGAGAAAAGGCGCCTTTTATGAAGAAAAACAATGTAACCAATGTTACATTTAAAAATAATTATTTCCTGAGCATAAACTGAACTAACTAAATCACAGTTAATTGCAAAAAGTAAAAAATAAATATCAATGTAAGTTTATAAAAAAACAAGTTCCTCTTTCATTCTTCTAATGAACATTTGGGTACAACATTATTATCAAAAGCATGAAAAATATGCTTTCAATAAGGACATATATACTTTCCATTCACATTTAGCTTTATTCTTAAACAATTTTAGAAATTTAAAAAGCAGCATTTAACTTGTCTGCCACCAGCTTGACATAGTAAGCATGGGCAGCATGTAATGTCATATTAGCTCTAGCTGTTAACCAAGTCACAGCATCTACACTTTCACCAGCCTGAAAATAAAAATTTAATAAATTATTAAAGGTTCACGAAACAAAAAGTTTTTTGTGACAACTAAATGTTAATAATGAAAACTTCTATCTTTGACAAACAAATTTATAGGAACAGGATATAAGAAAAATGCTTCATTCTAAAGCAATTTTAAAAGATCACTGCCAAAATAGAGAAAACTTGTTACATTAATGGTAAATGTACCAATTTTATTGCACCAGATGCACATTTCAATAATTTATGTCTCTTCAGGGTCTGCTCAAGACCAAAATATCTGAAAATTAAAAAAACCTAATAGACCTTTGAAGAGCTCATATAATCATAAAAAATAGTTGCAGTTGATGACCAAATCTTATATAAGAAAAACTGGTAACAATCCACACATCAGATGAGATCAAACACTGTCTAACACAAATAAAGAATTATCACTATCATCTCCTTTTACCAGAGATTTTACATCTTGAAGAAGTTTAGTTGACGGTTTAAGATATTGTTTCTTATTTCTCATATACAAATATTAGTTACCAAATTACAAAATATAGCCCAGTATTCCATTTTTGAAGTTGATAGATACCTAAATAAATGACTCAATAACATCAAATATTGGAAATCCAAAACTGGGCATACAATTAAATTAATACAATTTATAGTCAAGGCAGAAATGCTTAACAGAGTCCAATCATAGAAAAGAAGTGCATTGACTTCAAAAGATATATCAACATTAATTAAAGGTTACAACATTTTCCACCATACTGAGAAGCACAAATACTGACTTCAAGGGGTTTGTATTTTGGTACTGGCATGGTTAATAATATACTTTAACTTTAAATTCAATGTTTGAAAATGTCTACAAACCCTTAGGTTCCTGTTCCTAACAAAACATTTGATTTTCTGTAGCATGAGAAAGATATTTTCCTTAAACTATTGTTAAAGTCATCATTTAGTTTAGCAAGAATTGAAATTATCTACATCAAAATTAAAATGTTTCCTGATTTCAGGTCATAAAACTGCCATAGATAAGAATTATGCCAAATAATTGACACTATTCTCTTACAAACATATACATGTAGCAGGAAGTCAGTGATTGCTACCTGATAGTTAAAAGTTCAAATGTCTTAAGTCAAATGGTTTGAATGGATTGATGAATGTCATCTGTACTACAAAATTACATCATACAATAACAATGTATGTATCTTATTGAATATACAGGAAATAAAATAGATGTGCATGACAGAAGTACATATAGAGATCATCCTTATACTAACGAGTACATTCAACTACTATACAATATTAAATTATACAAATTTAAGGCAAAACCATTTTAGTATTAATAAGCTTTTTCTTTTCAAATAGCAATTAAAAATGTCTGCGGATAAATAGCCAAGCATCAAGTGAGCAATTATATGTTGTCAATTTCTTTTGTGTGCATTGTCATCTACTGTGAAATCACATATTTTCGTTGGTACCAACTTTCGTGGATAATTTGTGGATATTTGATATCATAGTTTAGCCAAAGTCTTCAAGTCTCTTGAAAATTTATACTTGGTTGAAAAATTAAATTTGTGGTCTTAACTAAACCCATGAAATCAACGAAAATTGGTATCCCACGAATAATGCTAAATCCACAGTAAAGATTATTATCCTGTTTATGCTAAAGAAATCATAGCCATTTAAATTATATCATATAAGGATGATGGGTTAATAATTTTTATTGAACTATGATTCCAACTGAGAGTAATTTATGATAGTTTTGTCGTGATTACAACAATTGCATGTACTTACACGTAGTCCTTGATTCTAATAACATATACCATATCAAAATTCAATGTTTAAAGCAATAACAGAAAAACATATCTTAAGCTAACTAGTAAAGGCCTTCTACTGATCAGCAGGATACAACAAAATTGACATGACAAGGGCTGTTAGAAAACATATAAGTTGAATTACCAAATATATCCATCCCTCTTAATTTGGCACAGAAGATCATTGTATTTAATACCAGAATAATGTCAACTTGACCAGAAAAAAGATATATACATAAACATGATAAAATAAATGGAGAATGTGTCCACAGGACACAGATGATGCCTCCCTTGCATATAATGTTATAAAGGGACATAACTAAAGAACAGTAAAAGTGTGGACACCAAAATTTGAACTTGATGTGAGTTTTGTGGTAATAAGCATTGTGTATAAGTTTCATAACATTTGGTTCAGGTAAATTTAAGTTAGAGAAAGGAAACGAAAAATTCAGCAATATTTCCATTTGTAAAGGGACATTTCTCTAAAACTGTAAAACTGATGCCACCCAAATTCAAACCTGATCTGTGTTTTGTGGTAATAAGCATTGTGTATAAGTTTTATAACATTTGGTTGAGGCAATCTAAAGTTAGAGAACAGAAACAACAGATTTAGCAATTTTTCCATTTGTAAAGGGGCATAACTCAAGAACAGTAAAAGTGATGCCACCCAATTTCAAACTTGATCTGTGTTTTGTGGTAACAAGCATTGTGTATAAGATTCATAACATTTGGTTGAGGCAAACTAGTTAAGAAAACGGAAACGAAAAATTCAGCAATTTTTATGTTTACAAAGGGGCATAACTCATGAACGGTAAAAGTGACACCACCCAAATTCAAACTTGATCTGTGTTTTGTGGTAACATAAATAAGCATTGAGTAAAAGTTTTATAACATTTGGTTGAGGCACACTAAAGTTAGAGAACGGAATCCAATTTTGTGGACGTACGGGACAGACGGATGGGACCAACAAGGGTAACACTTAATGCCCCCTTAGCCTAGCGGCGGGGGCATAAAAATTTGGATAGATGTTTAACATATAGTATTATAAAATTAATAAATCATCATCAGGTATGATTATATACAATCTAAGTCAATGGATAGACAGGTTGGGGCTTACATACACTGAAAGATCAAGTATATAAACAAACAAAATATAACTGTTGATTGAGATTAAATATGTTTCAAATGTTTCCCCGATTTTTTTTTTTAAGGGGGCTGCCTCAATAACATTCACCCAACATTTTCTTTTATTTATAATTATAGTTGTGAAATGCAAATTGTACTGTCAATGCTAAGTTAACACATTTAACAGAATTATGATATGTCTAAGATGTCAGGTTTGGCAAGATCCTGAAACTAATTACCTGGATTTGAAATGGGTGCAAGACTGTTCCTGTGTCATCATGGTAATTATACACCAGTGTTTCTAACCAAGCATTATCTGTATTTCTTGGATCATCAGCATAACCTTTATACATCTAAAATATTAAGTTGTATGTATACTTTATAAGTATGTTCAGGATGTGTGCCATTAAAACCGAAGTATTAACTGGCATACAACTGTATAGAGTACTAATTGACTGAGAGAAGTTTAACTATCATATGCAATGTACTGTTGGAATATTTAATTGAATGGAATCATGATAAAACAGGCAGCAATATGGCACTTAATTTATATGTACATACAATTTTATATGATGCAATTTAAACCCCCAAAAATGTAATAACATAGAATAATTATTGTTATACTATTACAGATTCTGATCATTTTTATTGACCCTCTACCCTTCAGAGTTTCAGGAGCAATTCCTCTAACCTTGAATCAATTAAGAATACAGTCAGTTAACAACACTATTCTTACAGAGAATTGGAGTTGTACAGATGGTAATACAACTTCAACTGGTACCAAAGATGAAGACTTTATTTCCTTCATTTGAGGTTTACAGATGGTAATACTTATTCAAATATCACAAACCAAATCCTAATCACAAAACTAACAAGCTAATACTAAATACTAATATCTAGTCAAGTGATATTGTTTAAGCCAAGACCGAGCAATTGAAAGAATACATTTTTTCTATTTACCAATTCTCCTTCCTCAAACATGATTTTTAATTTATCTTTAATTTCCTTTTTATGTTCTTCATTGTCCATCAGACTACCAAGAGCCTCTTCTTTAAATTCTGCTTTTAAGCATTCATAAACATTTTGTCCTGGATCAACCATACCCTATTAATACAGAAAACATATATAGTTGTATCAAAATATGCAAGATATATCTGATAACTTTCACAATAAAAAATAATTCTAACTTAAAGTGTTCCAATACATTAGATGTGAATCGGTCGATCAGGAGTTGTCTCCCATAGGCCTAGGTCTATAAATTGATTAAGAAACGTATTTTCTCCAGGTCACAGTGGCTTCTAAAATGACTGAATGTTTTGTCAATGACATTGTTTATAATTATGTTACTTTAAAAATCAAATTGAGAATGGAATTGGGAAATATGTCAAAGAGACAACAACCAGACCAAAGAGCAGACAACAGCCGAAGGCCACCAATGGGTCTCCAACGCAGCGAGAAAATCCCGCACCCCGAGGTGGTCCTCAGCTGGCCCCTAAATAAAATTGTGTACTAGTTCAGTGAAAATGGACGTCACACTATACTCCAAAACATATAAATGAACTAAAATTAAAAAACATACAAGACTAACAAAGGCCAGAGGCTCCTGACTTGGGACAGGCACAACAATGCAGCGGGGTTTAACATGTTTTATGAGATCTCAACCCTCCCCCTATAATGTGTATACAAGTTTTTGTTTAAATGTACTTTATTCACTCTAATTATTCTAATCATTTATTGTGCTTTATATTTGTATAGCTCAAATTTTGGGCACCATGATTGGTTAATAAAAATATCTTGTGAAAGCACAATCAATGACTTAATAGTAAGCTTTGGTAAACAACAATTTTTTTAATCGGGGCATTATCTTAAACAGCTGGTAATCCTGTATCATATAAAAAAAATCTTTTAAATATTCTTTCAAAATATATAAACATTTTCAGTTGGGAAAGTCCAAAAAAATATTAATCTCTAGTACATAGTGATGTAGGTAGAACAGTAACTTTTAAGCTTACAACCATTATCAAATTACTAAAACCTTACTATACATCTACACTGGTACAATCTATTTTCATATGAGAGTTTTTACAGAACATATCAATAAACACTAATTTGAACATTTTTGTTTACATACACTAGTATTTAGTTCAAGTAATATCATTATAACATCACATTGACATTTATTTTCTTATCTCTGCTTCCTGAAAATTAGATGTGATAATAGCCATTATTTGTCCCCAGAAATTGCAAAAATAGTAAAAAACTTCTAGTCTTTCAAAATTATGTTAATTTCTTTGATAAATGAATATGGAGACCTAATCTTGGATAACTAAGGGCACATTTTACATATGTGAAGACAAAATGGAACATATTAATCTAAACTTAATCACAGTTTTGGGAAAAATTAATATGAGCAAAAGGCCTTATCAAAAAGATATACACATTTACATCTTTGTATAAGATACCTTGTAGCAAAATATCTTTCTGGCTTAGGCTTTAGCTCATATTTAACAAGATCTCAAACTGAGCCTTTTTGAAACTTTTGCCGTTTTGCATTACATGAAGCCATAATAAAAATATCAGTGACAAAATTGAAACATAGTGAAACAGATATTTGACAAACTAAAGTCATGTGAACATCTGCAGGATGTTATTTACTAGATGCATAGTTCTTTTATATTTTCAAATTCAAGTGGCAATAAAAAACTACTTCGCTGAGCGCAGCTGGATACGCCCACAGAGGTCCAACCCTTAACAGTTGGGGCAAAAATGGACACAATATTCAAGCTTGATACAGGTCTGAATTTGGATTGTAATTAAATATTTGACATATTATAGGTTTCTGAATAATTGTAGTCAAAGAACTTGAAATTGGTTATATGAATTGAATTTATATTCAATTAAAGATTTCTTGCTGTTGTGCAATACACTGTGCTGTTGGGCAATACTTAGTAAATCTATTCTCAGACTATAAACAAATAAAGTTCAATTAATTCTAAATGTCATATTAGAAATTTATGAAAATCAAAAGGGATCTTACATCAATAAATATAAACAATTCACCAAAGTTTCATGAGAATTGCTGACAGCGTTTTTGAGTTACTGTCCAAAAACTGGAAAATCCCCCCTTTTTTAATGAATAAAACCCCATAACTCAGAAATGTAAAATGTAAAATTTATAAAATTCTAAAGGGAGCTTACATCAATAGATATAAACAATTCACCAAAGTTTCATAAGAACTGCTGAAAGCATTTTGGAGTTTTTGTCTGAAAACTGGAAATCCCCCTTTTTTTATGAATAAAACCCTGTAATTCGCAAGCGTAAAATCTAAAATTTATAAAAAATGAAAGGGAGCTCATGTCAATAGATATAAACAATTCACCACAATTTCTTGCAAGTTGGTGAAAGCATTCTTGAGTTATTGTCCGAAAACTGGAAAATCTCCCTTTTTTTAATGAATAAAACCCCATTACTCGGAAACGTAAAATCTAAAATTTATGAAAAACGAAAGGGAGCTCACGTCAATAAATATAAACCACTACCAAAGTTTTATGCAAATTGGTTAAAGCATTTTTGAGTAAATGTCCGACATGTTGACGACGGACGGACAGAGGTATACCATAATACGTCCTGTAAACGGGCGTATAAAAATGACTGTATTATATACCTTCTTATTTTGTGACAAATACAAACACATGAACTTTTATTGAATATACATGAAACCTAACAACATAAAAAATCTATTGACAAATACTTACGCCAGGTAAACTGCATAATTTGTTATCACTTCGAATAATGGCAATAAATTCAAACACATATTTTCCATTCTCCTGTATTTTTTCCCCATTGGCATTTCTCTTCCATCTTTAAAAAATAATGATAATTCCTGTGAGCTTACTACATGTACTTAAGGATGTAGTCAGGTTAAATTAAAAAATCTAGAATTTAAAATTGATACTATAAGTCCGAAGAGCATTAGTTAAGGAACAAAATAAGCTAAAATATTGATAGGTTATGGAACTCCTTTTTGAGATATTTGATTTTAAAACAATGGTGGAAAAAAGGCCGACTCTGACTTTTACCTTATATTTAGTATTGGCATTATTTGGGTCTAAAATCGTAAGAAAAGAAATCTAGAGTCTGCTTAAATTTTGTTAATGACCTTTTATTAGCTATTGAAGTCTTCTATGAAAAGAAAAGTGGGTGATATGGGGCAAAATATTGTACCCTGTATTGTAGGAAATTCCCAAGAAGTCCGAACATTTGAGAAAAATTAACAAACCTGACATGACTACATCCTTAATAACATTTTCAACATAAACAGTTATAAACTGTATCCTAATTTTCTGGTCTTTTTGAAAGTATCATGTTAAACAATCAAAGTGATCAACATCACTGATGTAAAGATTGGATGATTTGTGTACATAATCAAACTAGAGGCTCTAAAGAGCCAGTGTCGCTCACCTTGGTCTATATGCATATTCAACAAAGGACACTCTCCAACATTGTAGACAAGAATAGAATTCATGACATCTCTGTTTCGTTGATGTTGTATTGCTGATCATTTAGTCTGTTTAGTTTCTCTCTATCTTCTTTAGTTTTTGCTCAAAAGTGGGAACTAAAACAAATCCTAATTTAAGGGCAATCTCTCCTATAAAGAGTGACCTTCCACTAGCTATATATCAGCAAAATCTGACTTGTTAGTAGAAATTGTCTTGCTGATCATTTTTGCTTATTCAAGTTTCTATCTATCTATTATAATTTTTATCATATAAGGCAAAAAATGGTAAAAATTGTCATAAAAGAGCAATAACTCCAATAAGGAGTTGTCGGACGATTTCCACCATATAATTTTAATTTTAGATCTTGTCTTGCTGATAATTTTTGCTTATTTAATTTTCTATCTATCTATTATAATTTTTAAGATATAAGGCAAAAACTTTAAAAAAATGGTAAAAATCGTCATCAAAGGGCAATAACTCTAATAAGGAGTCGACTGTCTATTTCAATCATTAAATTAATTTGTAGAACTTGTCTTGCTGATCATTTTTGCCATTTAAAGTTTCTCTCTATCTATTATAGTTTTCAAGAATGTAGGCAAAAATGAAAAAAAAAATGGTAAAATTTAAAAGGAGTAGGCCCAGTAAGACCCCTTTTTGGCCCCAAAATATAGCAGTTCTACAAATTTGTTAAAGATGTAAACTTTTAGCTATTATTGAAAGTAGAATACTTCTATTACACAAATATGGGCTGTTTTTGACAATACAATGCACATGCATCAGGTACTAGCATCATTAATTCATGTAAAATTACTTCACAATTTTATCATTTGTGCTCATTTTTAGGCGGTATTTGTCTAAAACGGAAGTGGACGCATTTGTGTTCAGTCTCAATATTTAAATGTATGTTGTATTTGATGATAATACATAACATATATAAAGGTTTGAGACTGAACACGAATGCGGCCACTAAAATTTTTGACAAAAACCATCTGAAAAGTGACATTTTATGGCATATCTGTTAGATTTTTCACATTTAAGCTTGAAATTGAGAATCCTTAATGACCAAATCAGTTCAAATCTTTCACAGAAACTAATTGAATCGACTGAAGTAGACACTTAACTGTTTAAAAAATGTCAAAATCTTTCATCAGATGTACCTGACATTTTAGGCCAAAATTGGCCCTTACCGGACCTTCTCCTTTGTCATTTAACCTTGTCATTAAAGGCAATAACTCCTATAAGAAGTTTGTCTAACAGTTTTGAGGTAAAAAAGACAATTGATATAGCTCAACATTCCATACATTTTTGCCCCTGTCAGATTTTCTCTATTTATAACGGTTTTCAAAATAATAGACAAAACTTGCATTTTACCCCTATGTTCAATTTTTAGCCATGTCGGCCTTCTTGGTTAGCAGGCAGGGTCATCGGACACATTTTTTAAACTAGATACCCCAATGATGATTATGGCCAAGTTTGGTTAAATTTGGCCCATTAGTTTCAGACGAGAAGATTTTTGATAAAGGTAACAGATGACGACGGACGACAACGATGGATGATTGTCTCCAAGTGAATAGGAAAAGCTCACTTGGCCCTTTGGGCCAGGTCAGTTAAAAAGAAAAATGTGTCTGAGGACACGAATGCCCTGATCAAGCTTTGTAATTTTCCAAGTTAAAAAGCGCATAACTCTAGAACGGTTAATGACTTACTGGCAAAATTGGAACTCTGTCTGTGTGTTGTGGTTTTTAGCATCGTGTATGAGTTCATTAAATTTGCATGAGGCAAACTGAGTGTGAAAAAGAAAATGGGTCAGACAGAAAGACGGAAAGTCAGAAAGAAGGAATGACGGAAAGACCGAAGGACGGAAGATCAAGGGTAACACTTAATGCCCCGTTGCCTGAGGCAGGGGCATAAAAATATTCTTCCATTAAGGTTCGTGAAACAAAAAACATGATATAGCACTATATAGCAAATAGTTGCATTACTGCCATTCTTCAGAAAAAAGAGAATTTTTTTCAGTAGATAAAATGAGCTTAATATGTTTCAATCTCTGAAGGTTGCTAAATTTGCATAAAATTTTACCAAATAAAGAAATCTCTAAAAAAACAAGATTACATTAAATGTATGGGAAATAATGCATAACATGTAAATGTTCATTGTGACTTCTTTCAATTTTCCATAAATCAAATCAAATAAGTCTGCAAGTGAACTTTTGAAAACCAAGGTCTCAATAATGACCACTTGCATGCATTTTTTTTTAATCTTAAGTTGAAGTGCATATTTTTTTTTTCAAAAATATTGCTATCTGAGTCTTCAATCTTGTGCTTATACATAACTATTGGTCACAGTTCTAAAGGGGCATTAGCTACAATTTTGACAAACAAATAACTTACTATTCTATTTGTTTCATGTACACCATGTATTAATAATTACATTACATGTATGTTTCAGAAGAATCCGTTATTTTGATTGGATAACAACGCTTGCACGTCATACTAAAATTAACCTTCATATCCCAATGAAGTGTAACATTCATGATGACATGTGCCATCACAATAAAGTGCACAGGTTAATTAAAGAAATAAATGATAGAAATCGATTTTTCATGACCCTAGCATAAAAATGTAATTATAAGAATTGAATGCTTCTTTTAGTAATTTTATATGGTTGTAAAAGTGTTGATCGTGAACACATTTCTAGAATGAAGCGCTTCCGCGCTTCATACAAAATGTGCTTCGGTCAACACTTTTACACCCCAATAAAATTACAAAAAGAAGCATTCAATTCTGAAATAAAAGCGAAATTTTGAAATAATATTTCGTTATAAGCAGTCAGTTTGGCCTAAATTTGCTGATGTATTATTGACTTGCAAGTCAATAATTCAATCTCATTCAAACTGTATTCTAATGACCTTCAATTTAACCCCTTAACTGAAGATGAGTTACACATGTACAAGGCATGTTCAGCTATTAAAAGGAAAAGAATGCCAACAAAGAAAGTGAAACAATGGTGAACCATTTCATTGACTGATTCGATCCACAATGATTCTAAAACGATGATTCACCTATTTTTTAACCTATAACATGAAATTGTAGAGACCTAGAATAATCCAATTACAGGTGTTTGCTATCTCTTCATATTTATATTTATGTTTATATCAGGTTATATGACTGTCAGCAGTCTTCAGTGGTCATCTCGATGATTGATTAGATGTTGAGACCCTGTATATATAATATGGGGTTAGTAGGCATGGTTTATTTTAATACATGGTTAGTAGAGATGTTACGTCCCTTTATAAAAATAACATGGCGTTGAGGAAAAATCTGAAACATTTCACCTCGACAACAGACAAAGAAATTGATGATGAACGATTGAAATAAATGAAGAAAACATATTAAAAGCTATCAAGTTGTTATTGTTGGCATTTTTTTGGGGTACAGACCAATGGAAGTAGGTTCTTTATATTGAAGACTTGATCACTTTGATAGGCCACTAGTCTAAATGCCACATGTTAAGATAGTTGGTAAGATAAATTCTTTCCACAGTGCGCTAGGTGACCTAAAAGGATATATATGGGGTCAGTAAATTCCTGACTGAACTTAATGACCCCGTATATATCGTATAATGGTCCGAGTACACAGTTATCGTCCTTTGATTTTCGTTGTCCACGAATATAGTCCCTAGTGTGGACAGTGTGTTACTTGCTAATTTTTTTTATACCCCTTCCAAATTTATTTCTCCATGTTTTATGACTCAAATAGCAAGTAGGGGGGTGAAATGACACTGTAAAACAATTTGGGTCATGAATTTTAAAGTAAAGTAGTGATTTGGTCCAGCTGAAAAATGTCAAAAATTAGCACTTCGGAAGCTGTCAAAAGATTTGAAGACCCCCTTAACATAAAATTGTCCATATTTTGAGTTAGAGCCGATGAAGTTTTCTATAATTTTGATATAATTTGTCCCAAAAGTAGTACAACACACTGTAAAAATATTATTGAGAAAGCGCAGGTGGGATTTTTTTAATTTTCATTTATTGTCTAAAAGAAATGCACTACGAAATAACTGTGTACTCGGACCTAAGAGGTGAAATCAGGAAATATAGAATCTGTACTTTGGCAACTTCCCCGAATGATTTGATGGTGTCAATTTGTCAAATAGCATAAAACTAAAGTATTTAAACTTTTATTTCATAGAATTTCTGCAAAAATGACCGATTTGGGCATTTTATGGTCAAAATAAGCATTTCATAGCTTTTTCAATTTTGATGCATAAGTGGCATTCTGACTTTCTATCTGACAGGTTTTTATGTGTCAATATTTGTGTTTCTATGCTTCAATCCAGTTGTATTACTCATTTGTGAACTCTGAATCTACAGAAAAGAAGATTATCTCATACAATATGTGCAAAATGTGTTGTATATATGACCCTCGTCTAACGCCCTGTTTGGATCAAGTTAAATGTGAGGAGCTTGGAACATAAAAGTTGAAGTCCATAATAAAGACCTCACTAAATTTGTATAAAAAGCACTTAACAATGTCTTTTGTAGCTGTTTCATGTCACATAATATCTTTCTTTTCTTCTGTAGGATAGCAAGTGGTTCAAATATAAGCCTGTTGAGACTAAAATTGCAAGCATGTTTTTCACTAAAAAGTGAAAAATCTTTGTATCAGACCATACTGTCTGAAAAAAAAGTTGAATGCAAGAGTCTTTTTGTGCTCAGATTTATTGTATCATGTCACCTGAGTATAGAAATGATAGAAAAGACACAAATTTTTACTTCCTATAGCTTCAATATGCATTTTTAAATGTATATATGTGCTACGGCCTAAATTGACCCTAAATTATTTTCAGTCTTACTTGGCCTGAGACCCTTTTAAACTAATATGATATGTTATTTGTAAGTTTTCTTTCCATTTAAAGTACATTAAATACATATGTAAGGATTATTTATAGCCAAAAAGCTTTACAAATTTAAAATTGCTGGAAAATATTACATCTTCATGTAAGGCCCCCCTTCATTGGAAAACCTCCATTTTTAGGCACAGGCTCATATAAATTTGACTTTTTAATAATTATGTTAAGTCTGATAAATCAAATGAGTACTCTATTGCTTTTAATACATAATATATTATATATTAAGGCATTTCAAAAGTTTTTTTTTGCAATATTTTAATTTTTTAAGCCCTAAATGTTGATAGTTGAAATTTTTCAATTTTAACGTCTAAGTTTAACACACAAAGTGGAATATAGAATTAGTCATATTGTCTATAATATATATCCTATTGCCATGACACTTTGTAAGCAGTGTTATAATTTATTAAGCTTTGGTCATACCAAGTTTCATTAAGATTGGTCAACTTTTTCTACCCTATTAGGTCCGAGTACACAGTTATCGTCCTTTGATTTTCGTTGTCCACGAATATAGTCCCTAGTGTGGACAGTGTGTTACTTGCTAATTTTTTTTATACCCCTTCCAAATTTATTTCTCCATGTTTTATGACTCAAATAGCAAGTAGGGGGGTGAAATGACACTGTAAAACAATTTGGGTCATGAATTTTAAAGTAAAGTAGTGATTTGGTCCAGCTGAAAAATGTCAAAAATTAGCACTTCGGAAGCTGTCAAAAGATTTGAAGACCCCCTTAACATAAAATTGTCCATATTTTGAGTTAGAGCCGATGAAGTTTTCTATAATTTTGATATAATTTGTCCCAAAAGTAGTACAACACACTGTAAAAATATTATTGAGAAAGCGCAGGTGGGATTTTTTTAATTTTCATTTATTGTCTAAAAGAAATGCACTACGAAATAACTGTGTACTCGGACCTAATTCACTAGCACACTGTGTAACTAATAATATTAATGCAGGTTAAGTAACAAATTGCATATGACCCAATCAATCATCCAAAGAGATCTTTTTTTTAAAACAATATTTTCTATCCACACTGCAGATTCTACAGCCCCTAAGTTAAATTAAAAAAATGAACCATTTTCAACAACAATTAGTCCTAACAACATTTGTCATATGCAGAGAAGAAAAATCAACAGTGTAAAAAACATCTATGCTATGTTTGGTTTTCAATCATTTCAATTGCTTAGAAGAGACACAACATGAAATGCTAATAGTAATTAATGGAAAGACAGGCAGCAGAATAGGAAAAAACCTCTGAAATATACAAGATTTATAACATTTTTCAAGTGAGGAAGAACTGCTATATTTTTTCATTAGATGAAATACAGCAGAAACTTTTTAAATCTATTTTATTTTAAAGTACAAAGGTACATAACCATACGCAAAAAATAATCCTCTTTTTTATCATAATTACCTTGTAACTATAGGATCACCAGCATGGTTTGGTCCCCATCTACCAAGCAGACCCCTTCCTATCATTCCTGTTCTACCCATTGGGTTTCTGGGTACACCATCTATTATTTGATATTCACCAAGATAACTGGTTCTGTTGTATTTACAAGACTCATCATATTCATTAAACTTAATTTTCTTCAACCTCTTCTTTGGTGAACTACAATTAATTTATAAATTAATAGATTTTTAATCTTAATGTTTCCGTTTGATTAGAAAATAACATCTATATTGAGAAAATATCTAATGTGTCTAGTGGTTCAAATGAAACATGAATTTAATGCCTAACATAAAAAATACATATTTTCCATTGATTTCTAATGTTTCTGTAGAAAACATTTTCAATCTTTTGCTGTTTACGGAACAGTGAAGTTATACTTATTTGCAAAAAGGGGAACTGTAAAATGTGCTTTGTCTATGACCTTATAAGGAATGATTCTACTATATGATTTAGGAATGCCTAGTGGTTCCAAAATATGTTCACTAAAATTGAAATTAACAGCTATTATTTGTATAATATAGAATATCATTACTTACAGTTCTAACAGATTAACATGATCTGCCCAGGAAGGATTAGCTTTAACCTCAGGAGCCTCATAATACACAGGCTTGTACTCTGACCATGTGATCTACAAAACAATTCTTACACTTATGGTGTGCTTGCTTAATTAGTTTGTAGTGTGTTATTGGAACACTATCTTCAACATAAAATCATTCATTAGTAGTACAATTTATTTCATAATTGATCAATTATGTAATTATCATTTCAACATTTGCCTTTATTCTGACAGTTTCGACAAATAATTGTATGGGAGGTGATGCTCACCCAAAGGCACTTAAAATAAGATGTGATTGGTGGTGTTTGTTAAGACCCCTCAATCTGTCAAAAAGAAAATAATAGCTAACATGTAATACATTGCGAAATAAAATAAAAAATGGCTTTCAAGCCAATATTCTTATACATTGTAAATGTTCATGGTATTCATGACAACTAAAGGCAATAATTCAGAGCTTAAATTCAAATTAGCCACATGGTTTTAGAAAATAAATATTAATGTATTTTTCAATAACAACCTTCATAAAATTATAGTACTATTAACTATCATTGAAACCTTCATGTAACAACATACAATACAGTAGCAAGGGTAGATAATTAGGCATCTAAATTCCCAAAGTTGTTAATGATTTGCATAAAATTTTGTGGAAATTACTTTTGTCTTCAAATCTGTTACAAGCATTCAAAATCTACTGTGGAGGTAGAAAATTTGAGACAAATGAAAACTGTTTACTTTTCTATCACCAATAAATTCGCACATGGCAGTAATTAATAATAGTGTTTTGATATAGCTGGAATAGCTGCATGACAGTGAACTTGCATTTAGAATACACTGGGACATAAAGCGCCAAAAAAGGGAAATGTGATCTCCATTTTAAACACTAGGTTTTCTATTTCTAAGCTAAAAATGAGCACATGGACTCCCATATTTTTCTTTGGCAATCAACTATTTACTACTTCAAAAAATGTTATATCTAATTTGCCTTGAAAAAATCAATGGAAAATTGTTCCTGTATGCATTTGTATTGGCAAGAAAATTGTCTACAGATTTTTATTACCAATAATTGAAAGATTTCACAAAAAATAGTTGGAAATCAGAATATTTGTTTAGAAAAAAACCAGAACACCCATGATCGGCAATGACCACTTGCCAATACCAAACTAAGTAAAAGTTGGCAATAGCTTAAATGGGACCCATTTTTTAAACTAAGATACCCAAAGGATAATTGTAGCCAATTTTGGCCATGTAGTTTCAAAGCAGAAAATTTGGGAAAAATTAAAGAACGACTGAAAACTAACACTAAACACCAACTGATAGCAATAGCTCACAATGGACCTTTTCTTTCATTCATGTTACATTAAATTTGATTAAAGCATATTCTTTCTCACAGTCAAATCCAAATCTATCATGGGCTGTTAAGAAAAGTGGTTACGGAATACACACAAATTTGACATCAACCAAACAACACAATAAAACCAGAAAAAAATCACACTGCTTCTTCCTGAGCTATGTATGTATACTTTTGAACTCATTTTTTCCTCTTATGAAAGTAGTTTTTATTGTATAGTATGGTTTTATTTGTAAAGTGATTTTCTACTTTCAATTTATCATGTGTACACTATAAACTTACTTCCCAGGAAGCCATATCTTCTGGTACAGGGAATTTCTTTATTGAAGTACCACCATAATTAACAATACGAGACTTAGTCTGAGTCTCTGTCTGCTGGCTAATCATACTCTGTACATACATTGAATCTTGTTCTTTCTGCAGCTTTTCCATCTTCAACTCTGAAGAATAGATATTATTCAAATATTGTACAAATGTAACACCATTGTTGACATAAATAAAACAAAAAAGGTATTTTGATACAACTAAAAGCATAGAGGTAGAAAGTGTTCCATTGTCTTATGCAATGGGACACATTCAGGCTTTATTTTGAATTGGAGATCTTTCTTTGACCTTGAGCCTATTTTAGATCAGATAGGTTTTAATAAAATTATTTTCTTGACAAGTATGATCAAAGTTCAAACACATACACATCATTATGTTACTTGAATATCTGTGTATTTTATTATTAATAAATTGCTTGACATGGGCATGGATCAAGGCTTCCAAAACGGTCATATATTCCGGACATTTGTATAATGTCCGGTAAAAGTCCGGCTGGGAAAAGCATGAAACGGTCATCTACTTTTTAGTTTTCAAGGCTTTCTTAAGAGACGGTCATTTTAACATAGTTCGCGATCTTTTTGACCCAACCTTTTGCCTTTAACAGCCACACATTTCCGGTCATAAAAGTGACATGATCATTAAGTACTATCAAAACAACCCCTACTTTTAATACCTTCTCATTTTAATCAAGGCTAATTAGTTGTCAAACAGCTGAAATTTACCTGTTCAGGTGACAGGTAAACTATTTTGAACCGGACATTGATCGGTCTATTCAAAGTTATTTTCGGCGGTTTGCATCTAATTAATTTAGTCAAAAAGATTTAAATTATCAGAAATACGTTTACAAATATGATTTGATGAAAAAATTAAAAAGGTGAAAATGAAAGAGACATGTCTCTGTTTGAACTAGTACATGTGTGCGCATGTGCGCAGGTGTGAAATTTAATTATGCATCCTAATTTCTTCAAAAAATGCTTAAATTATCATTGATACCTTTATCTCACGTTTATTTCGAATATTTTCTTGAAGAAATAACGTAGAAAGAGCTACTTACACTCATTCATGCTTTGCAAAAGTACACAGAATTTACGTATCTGTCTCTGGTCCATGTTTTACCATTGTCAGGATAACATCAGGTTTTAGATTTAAAAACAAAAGTAAAGTTTTTGACAACATTATTTTGCACAAATAAAGAGTCTAAGGCAGATATAAGTACGCTGATGTTGCACACTTCGAAAGATGCACTGCCAATTAAACAGTTTACGTCAGAAATTCGAATTTGAATCAAAGGAAGTTTAATATCGTTTTTTTTTAAAGTCAATCATTCGAATGGCCAACTCGGCAACTGATTACCATAATTGCCTTTGGTTATTTAGTCTTTAGGGATTAAAATCGGGATAATATATAAAATGTCCAGCTGGCTGAAAATACTTTTGGAAGCCCTGGCATGGATAGGATCTGAAGAAAATTGCCACCTTGCTGTACCACGATGTTTGAACTCTCAAGGCCTGAAAAAATCACTATCAAGCCAGTGATTATAGGGTTACCAAAATAAAAGAAGAATGTGTCTGAGGACACAAATGCCCCTGCTCAAGTTTTGCAACGGGCGGAAAGACGAAAAGATGGACGGTCAAGTGTAACACTTAATGCCCCCGTCGCCTATGGCAGGGGCATAAAAAATTATGATTTCATAAATTTCATATTCAGGAGTAATTTTGAACTGATGATCATAAGTATAATGACCTGTAGGTAACACAAATATACACCTATACCTTGTGATAATATCTGTATCAGTATTAGAAATTCGATGAAAAAAGTGAGGTTTACAAATCTTTTTCTTTCCTACTTTATTACAGTAAAATGAACATACATGAGTTTTGGAAAAGATGCATTTTTCGACTCATTTTTAATCATAAGCTTGAAAACGTATGCATTGACCACTATTTTTTAAAATGATATTTGACTTGATATGTATGAAAATTGTTTGTATCAATTTTTTTTTAACAAATCACCTATGGAAATTTTTTAAATTAGATATATATACCACAAAAAATACTACTTTTTATCTTAAAGTATGAAAAGTAAATAAAAAAGAATTATTTTCAAAGAATTGTTGCTCAAATTTAGAGCATACTTATGTCTATAAGATATTCCCAATGTTTTTATAAAAATCCTTTTGTGTTTGTCTTTTAAAAAAAGTTAGGTATGGTATCCAATGGATAGAAATATCTGAAAAACCGAAATTTTGAGTAAATGTCTAAAATTTGGACCTCATTTATCTCTAAAAGTATCACATGAAGGTATATTTATATTATATATTTCAATTGACTAGGTGAAAAATTGCTGGTATGCAAATTTGCTTAAAAAATCACTGCAAGATCAAAACTGTATTGTATGCCCTTAATTCATTGTTAAGTTGAATAATCCACAATAACTCACAAAACTTCTATTGCAAACCAAATGATACTTTTCCACAGATTCACTTGAAGGTCACCTGTCGATTTAAACTTTTGCAAGTTCTTTTGTCCCATTGAATAAATACAATAGCTATTGTTATCTGTGTAGTTTATTCACTGGGACCTTTAAATTTCTTCTAGGAGAAATCTATCACTCATTGATTAATTTACCTGAGTAAAAAAATTATCTTATAAATAGACAAAATTACATGTTTTATACTCAAAAACTGCAAGTGATGTTGTGTTTATTCAATATTAATAATATATTTTCAATCTGTTCAATATAAACACTGATTTAATCATAAAAAGTTTATTTCTGACAAAATTTTTAGCATTGTTCCTATTGAAATTTTTATTTTTTGTTGTTATTTAGTAATAGTAAACTTTTAAGAAGGCCTTAATTTGAGCATCATAATTTTCCAGTTTTTATTTGTCAAACACAAAAAAAAACCAAATCTAAATAGGAACAATGTTGAAAGTTTTGTCAGAAATCAACTGAATCACTGTTTACATTCAACAGATTGAAAATATATTATTAATATTGAATAAATACGACATCACATGCAGCTTTTGAATATAAAACATGTAATTTTGTCTATTCATAAGATAATTTTTTTACTCAGGTAAATTAATAAATGAGTGTTAGATTTCTCTTAGAAGAAATTTAAAGGTCCCAGTGAATAAACTACACAGATAACAATAGCTATTGTATTTATTTAATGGGACAAAAGAACTTGCAAAAGTTTAAATCAACAGGTAACCTTCAAGTGAATCTGTGGAAAAGTATCATTTGGTTCGCAATAAACCTTTAGAAATGATTGTAATGGGAGGAAATGGTCTAGGAAGGTCCTTATAATGAAAAATAAGTGAGTGGTTCTAATACATGGTTTAAAAGTGTCTATCACATCATGTCAATAGGCAAAATTAGAAATTCATTTATTGAAGTATAGCAAAGTCTAAAAGGAAAATGGAAATTGGATGCAATAATGTGGTGGTATTTTTCTAAATGTAATTCTCTTGTGATTTATATTTAGGCAATTATTCGCTGCATTAACAATGCATGGCTTCATGAAAACTGCAACCAGCAATAAAACCTACTTTCCTTTTCCTTCTTGACAGGATCATAGGCCTCAGGAGCAGGATCATCCAGTGATAGTTTACTTTTCTTCATCGCATTTACAATCCATTGAAGTGATTCTGTTGTAGTCTGAACCTGTTAAATAATGTAGAAATAAAACTTGTTGTCTTTATTTATACCTTCAAGCTTTAATTATTATAATTAAAGTTTTGGTCATTTGCAATATTTGTATTTGTATATTTGCTTGCCTTGATGACCATTAAACTAGAGGCTCTCAAGAGCCTGTGTCGCTCACCTGTATTTACTGATGCTTTGGAAATCATGTAAAATAAGGTTAAAATCATAATTAATAGTATTAGATATTAGATATTATAATGATATCTAAGATAATAACAAAAAACTGCAAAATTTTTGTAAAATTACTAAATCAGGGGCAGCAACCCAACAACGGGTTGTCGGATTTGTCTGAAAATTTCAGGGCAGATAAATCTAAATCTGATGAACATTTTTGCCACCTGTCAGATTTGCTCTAAATGCTTTAGTTTCAGAGATATAAACCAAAAACTGCATTTTACCACTATGTTCTATTTTTAACCAAGTCGGCCATGATGGTTGGAAGGCGGGGTCATCGGACAAATTTTTTAAACTAGATACCCTAATAATGATTATGGCCAAGTATGGTTAAATTTGTCTCAGTAGTTTCAGAGAAGAAGATTTTTGTAAAAGATTACAAAAATTTACAAAAAATTGTTAAAAATTGACTATTAAGGGCAATAACTCCTAAAGGGGTCGACTGACAATTTTGGTCATGACAACTTATTTGTAGATCTTACTTTGCTGAACATTATTGCTGTTTACAGTTTATCTCTATCTATAATAATATTCAAGATAATAACCAAAAACTGCAAAATTTCCTTAAAATTACCAATTCAGGGGCAGCAACCCAACAACAGGTTGTCAGATTTGTCTGAAAATTTATGGGCAGATAGATCTTGACCTGATAATCAGTTTTACCCTATGTCAGATTTACTCTAAATGCTTTGGTTTCAGAGATATAAACCAAAATCTACATTTTACCCCCATGTTCTATTTTTAGCCATGGCAGCCATCTTGGTTGGTTGGCGGGGTCATCGGACACATTTTTTAAACTAGATACCCTAATGATGATTGTGGCCAAGTTTGGTTAAATTTGGCCCAGTGGTTTCAGCGAAGAAGATTTTTGTAAAAAGCTAACGACGACAGACGACGAAGATGACGGATGACGGACGCCAAGTGATGAGAAAAGCTCACTTGGCCCTACGGGCCAGGTGAGCTAAAAAGAGCAAACAGATGTTTCCCCAAATTCATATGGATTACATATTCAACAAAATTGACCATTTAGCAGAAATTCTACAATAATCTTTTTTAAAGGAGCAAAACTTGTGGATGTAACATGTCTTAAATTCTATGCAGTTAAACAAAATATTCTGCATGTTATTCTTTCGCTCTTGAAGATAAACTGGTATTTTAATATTGGAAAATCAATTTTTGTGTGTAAATTTTCATTTATTAAAAGCACATGAATTAGTTGAAGCAATCATGGTGAAATCTTAATTCCAACTATAATTGATGATAATTTATACAAGTAATGTCCAAAAATATCAAGGATAATTATCAGAGACCTATTATATGAGGAAAAATAAATCAAATGTGTAATCTGGAAAACAAAAGTGAAGTTTGGAACAATTCAACATATGGATGAGAAGGCAAACAGACAAAGCAATGACTTTCTTATCCACCAATCATTTTTTCAGAGAACTAGTTACATTTCAAAGAACTATTTCAAAACCAAAAAAAGAGAGTAACACTGATGAATGAACCTAAACATTGCTTCAAACCAAATGAAAACTTAAAAGATCAAACAGCATTATTGTCAATTCCTCCCATATTTGCAGTATTAAAATTACTGAAATATTTTATACCTGTTCTTCTAAACTTCTGAGTCTTTTATCAAGTTGTTCAGGCATTTTAACAATAGGCTGAATATCATAATTTCTAGCTACTGGTACATGAGATGGTTGACTGGTTTCATGAACCTCATCCATCCTTACAAGTAGCTGGTCTAATCTGGGATACAAAATTATTAAAAAATAGTTAAAACAAGTGTGGAGACACAGAAAAGTCTTGCATGCTGACACAAGCAACTGTCAGACTGTTATTATTCTAAAGAACTTAAGTCTTTAAATAAAGTAATACCTTATTGCATGTATGTGTATATGTATGCATTCTGTTAAAATCCAAAGTTCTTTAACTCATAATTGTAATTGTATTAAATATGTAACATTGAGTTAATATATATATATATATATATATATGAGATATAATAAATATAATTTTTATCATAAATATATAATTATTAAACTTTTACAGAATATATATATCTGAATATCATTTATTAGGGGTTTATATGTTAAATCTGCACCATAAATCTCAATATCATTCTTTAAAGTGTTTACATATTGTCATCGAAATTTAATTTTAAATGGACTGGATACAATTGTAAGTGTATATGCTAGAGACTTTGCCTATGACACCCACCAGGTAAGATTCACTAAACAATAGTTGATACCTTTCATGTGTTAACTGCATTTTTATTTCGAGTCTTTCTAAATCCATCATTTCTAGTTTGTGCAGATATGCATCTGCAATCACATTTTCCCACTGTATCAACTGACGTTCATTTGGAAATCTCTTTACTGTAAAATAAAGATTGAATGTGAAAAATAAGGAATTCAAATACTTCATAGAAATGTTGGAAATTTTACATCTGTCTTTGACTCTTCATTTTGTAGAATTTGCAATTTCTTGCAAGAACAATTCATGTCATAAATTTCATATCAAAATTACGTATTATACAACTCTTATGCAGAGTTTAAAATATTTTGCTGTTTTTTGTAGTCTTATTTTATCCTATTCAACATTAAAAAAATAAATTCATACTAGGAAACATAAACAAAACCTTATTTTTTGTATCTGTAAATTTATTGCAAGTGTTATGTTATATTTTTTTAGGTTATGATTCTCTCAAACTGTTAAATTATTTGGCATTCCAAACATAGAGGGTAGGAATGCACTTTACCGTCAGGCATTAAACGGTAATTTTTTGGCTACCATTAGTGTCAAATTGGTTAAAATTTTATCCTGATTCATCAAAGTATCCTTATCATGATTCATCAGAGGTCTCAAAAAATTCTTTGGAAATAAAATATAATTATAAGGAGATGTCCAAGAAAACAAGATGTTTAACCCCTACTGTAGGTCTAGTAAAGCCCAAGATTTGTTAAAGGAAAACTCAAAAATTATTTGAATAACAAATAAGTCAAGTAAACAATGTCATGAGATATCAAAGATTCTGTGGAAGTTTCGGACATTGAAATCTAACATCTGATTAAGGAAGACTTGTGGATAATCAGTGTTCTCCCCAGGATTTTTTTAAGGCGCAAAATTCAAGGGCGCGTAACTCTTTTTTTAGAGTGAACGTTTGTGATCTGAAGCAATAAGTCATAAATCAAGACATGCAATATGAATTATAATGCTTTGTGTTATGTGTTTAATAATGCAGAGTATTAATGAATTACAAGAACATATATATGAAATAAATTGATTTTAAACACAAAAGTTATTTATATTCAGTCAATTAAAGAAGTCAAAATATAAATATTCATCTCTACTCTCTGCTCCTTCTAGGGATATTGTTTCAAGATAGTGTTATTTTGTTGGACAGTCTGTTCCTCAACTTTGTCTTTATCCTCTTCAGGGTTAAAAATTAAACCCCCACTCACAATAATTTTTGTTCTGCTTATACCCCCTTTAACATTTCTAAGGCATGAAAACTCAGTCAGCCACTTGTCATTGAAACCAGAAACATGGTGCTTGCTTTTATCAATTGCTAAAACTTGAGCGTGGTTGGGATTAGGAGAAGCAATGAAATCTGCTTATACTGACAGTGTAGATGGAGGTGTATTCCCCTTTTCATTAGAAGTCATTGGTCTGAAAAAAACTTCTACTTCCATCATCTACCTTTTGCTTATAATTCACCCCTTTGTTATTTGCAGAGAACATGTTCATTCAGAATTAATAAAATCGAATATGGTTAAGATATTTGGTATACAACTTTTTAAAACAAATTTTTTTTATAAATGAACAGCTGACCAGTTTCCGTAGTTTCACATTACGCTTCCGTGCCTAATATTGTTTAATCCTATCTTTGGCAGATAGATATAAACGAAACTTTACAAATTCGTTAAGTTAAAATCATTGAAATTATTTACCAGTGACATTTTACAGAAGCTGTGGCGATTCTGTACCCGTGTTGATTGTCACATATTTCCTGACGCACGGATTCACGATCGATGTTCAATGATCATTTTATTTCTAAAAATATGACAGTTTCAGACGAATTTACCTTGCAAGCAACAATTTTTTCACTTTCTATTAAAATAAATCACTCATCCTTATTTTTAATCAAACTTTATTTTAATTTTTTCAACTACTAATACTTTCATTCATAGTTTTCATCGTAAATATCTTTAGCAATGTGTATTCAAATTTATCATGTGTATTCAACACGTTCATTGGTCGTGTTTAAATAGATTCTTCTTCTCGACCAATGAAAAAATTTGTTATATAAATGGTCAAGTGATCACACACACGATGCGTAAATACAATGTATTTGCGATCTATTTCTTCAATTTCTGCACTGAAGTTTTTAAAACTTTTAGTTTTCTTCAAAAAATATCTATCTTCTTGATGATCATTTACGCTATTACCTGATAACATAGTCCGATAAGGCTGAGATAAGCGTGGCTCAGGTAAAACTAATTATCAGTTATTGCATAAAACACTGACCGACCCATCAGCAGTGATCAGTAACATGACAATTTTAACCAACATTTATAATGAAAATGTGACAATTAACACGCTGCGGGATCAAGTATTAAGGAACAGCGGCCAATTAAGACGCTGCGGGATCTACAAAAATATTATGAAGGCGCTGCGGCACGGCAGCGTCATATCAGCCTGGGGAGAACACTGTAATAAGTAGACTAACAAACAAACACGCAAACAGACAAACTCAACAATCTACTGCTGCTTACCGTAAATATGCTGTGGTATAATAAAGACCACATAATTAAATATAAACCTTTAGGAAACACCATATCTACAGAGGAACTTACTGAGGTCTGATTGATTAGTTGATAAGCATCTTTTACAACATTTTCGTGCACACCAACGGATGAATAAAAACATGTGACTTATCAATATCAATGGTGAAGGCAATGGTGGCTTGGAGTAATATTCATAAATTAGAATATAACGTTGGAAGTTCCAGTGCTGGTCAGTACTGTCTTGTATCCTCTGTATGGTGTAACTGAAATTAAGATAAATGTTGAGAGGTTCCTTCATTAAAGAGTGAAAATATGTATATACATTTAAAAAGTAAAATAACAAAAATACCGAACTCCAAGAAAAATTCAAATTGGAAAGTACCTTATCAATTGAATGTTCATCTCTGCTGTGAATAATGTATGATGTTTATTTTCAATACTTTGGTGAGAAGAAAAATAACATGAATATAAATAGTTGCTAAATATGTCAAAGTAAAGTTTAACCCACCATTTTCTTCAGAAAATGCCTGTATGAAGTCAGGAATATGATAATTATTTTCTGTTTGTTCCATTGGTTGTTATCGTCTTACATTTGATTTTGTCAGCTTTTATGGACCTCCCCCTTTTTTAATTTAACTTGGAGTTCTGTATATGTGTTAATGTTATTTTGGATCTTCTCTTATGAATAAGAATACACAAACAAAGTTAGAAAATCTGGAACTGTTACATAAATTGCAGCGAAAAACAGCTGAAAAATCTAACTTAATAAAAGTATCTACAATAAGTTGGTTTACAGTACATTTTTGGCTGAAATCACAGACAAATTACAGTATTCTCTGGTATTCTAAATCTTTGTTGATCAACAAATGACAAATAAAACAAGTGAAACTGCGAGCTACTGCTCACTGATAATACCCCTGCCCAAATACTTGAGGGTAAACAGGAAGTTGTTGAGTGATGAATCTGAAAACACATCACACGGTATAGCTGACTTATATAAACCCTGAAACCAAATTTCAGAAATCCTTTTAATGTAGTTCCCGAGGAAAATGTGACGAAAATTTTCAACTTGGATGTCATGTGTAAAATGATGTAAGTGTTCGGTAAACAGGAAGTTGTTGAGTGATGAATCTGAAAACGCATCACACAGTATAGCTGACTTATCAAAACCCCGAAACCAAATTTCAAAAATCCTTGTAATATAGTTCCTGAGAAAGATGGGACGAAAAATATTCATGGGACGGACGGACGGACTAACGGATGGACTGACGGATGGATGGACGGACAGACAGGGGTAAAACAGTATACCCCACTTTTTTAAAGCGGGGGTATAATTATTAGAGTATTGATTTGACTTATAATGAGTATAAGAGTGTATTGTAAATATTAGCTTAAAGTGATGTAATTCTTTTCTTTAAAACTTTATATATGTTACATTTGTCCTTTGTGTTTAAGGTGACATGTTTACAATAAAATCATATAAATATTATATTAACCTGAACATAGCAATAAGTAGATTGAGCAATAGTATATTGACAAATAGGACATATATTCCCATTAATACTGGTGTAGCATATCTTCCTACTTCTGTTGGACATCTTGGCATTCCATTGTTGTATGATGCCGGATCAAAACTACAGTCAGGCTCCTCTACTATAAATAAAATACAAATTTTGAACTTCATCATATTTCTTTGAGTGGGTGACGGCATGCTCACATTACGTAAATATACCATTAAAACCACAACTCAAACATGTAACCCTCTCATTTGAAGGCATTAATCTTGTATGTTTAGAATGTTCTCCCAATGAAAGGAATTGGTTAACAAAGGGTTTATAATGACCCTGAAAATCAAAGGTATTCCAAACTTGCACTATTTTGACAGAAAAATAATTAAACATATCAAATTGAATCAAAGATTGATTGAATGTTGATTGCTTAATGTCCAGTGGCAAATATTTCATGCATGTTCAGGACGAATAAGAATCAAAGTGAAACAACTCAGCTAATGCCATGCTTAAGACATCACAAATATGTACTCTCTACTAAGAAAATGTTATTTGTTATAAATCTTGGATTATTTATCTTTATAGTTTTTTATTTATGATACACTGGCTGTCAGATCTCACCAAAATGATTTGTGCGGTGAAATATATCATGATAAAAGTTAATTCCTACCATTTGAAAAGATATAAGAAATATTCAATAATGTGGTAAAAATGTAAATAAATACTAATATTGTATAATTATAATTATATGAAGTAATCCTTTCACCCATATTAGTTCATGGAGAAATTTATTTCCTGGGAATGCCAAATGATACCTCATAGAGTTATTTTGTATTGTTTTCCAAATCGGTATAGCAACAAAATGACAGGGCATATATTCTTGGAATATGATGCAAGTCATTTCTAGATGTCATATTGTACAATTATAGTATTGATAAAATGAAACAAATGAAATGGATTCTTTGTAGCAGCTATGTGAAAATTCATAGCTTCGTACATGGAGCAATATGGGACTATAAATGCTTCTTTTCGTGTTCTCCTTGCCATAAAAAATGTTTATTATGTAAATAAATGCATACAAAAATAAAAATAAATAAATACTCTTTCCCCTATAAAGTATAGAAACACAAAAAGAATTGCGAAAAAAAGATACAAACAAAAGTTTTCTACTTTGAATACCAAAGACTTGACTTACATTCTATATCCTCTATAAATAGTTCCCCGTATAAGTTCCAGTAACTCATTCTCAACACCTTCAATACTATATCCCATGACCAACTAATGTTTGGATACAAAATGGAGTAGGAAGCAACAGCATAAGATGTCACAAATACCATCAATATTACCATAAAATACGACAAATCTTTCACCTGAAATTACAAATAGAGTGAAACCTGTAAAATCAAAAACTTGTCTCAAGTGAACTTTTGTATCAAGAAAAATTTTCTTCAATCTAAAATTCTTTAATTATTTGACCTGAGTAAAGCAGATACTGTTGATTCATTGATTTTTGTTGATTGAGGAAAGATTGTACTTCTCTGGATAATTGAATTCGTGGTATTCAATGCAAATTCTGCATACACACCTTTTTGCATTTATATTTTATTGAAAACTTCATGGTTCACCTAAACCCTAAAATAATGTTGAATCCACAGTACTGGTCTAACTTGAGCTAAACCTTAAGCCATATATTATTTCTAAAATAATGTATATTTAATGAAATCTTAAAAAAAAAATCCTTCACCAAATATACTTATAAGATTTTGAAATTAAGATAAGTTCATTACATTTTTTTTTTCCAGCTAATTCTGAGAACTAAAAAATAATTATTGTTCTTAACGATCAGTTTATAATTTGTAATCGAAACAAAATGTTTTACATGAAATATGTGTTCACTCACAAACCCTTTTGACATGATAAAAGTAACAAGAGTGCACACACTGAAATGTCTCGCCTTCTTTACTAATCATTGATATTATGTTGATAGTCCTAAATATAAAGCTTTATTACAACTGTCACATAAACTTAACATTAACCAAGAAAACTAAACATTGACCAATGAACCATGAAAATGAGGTCAAGGTCAGATGAACCATGCCAGGCAGACATGTACAGTTAACAATTCTTCCATATAACAAATATAGTTGACCTATTGCTTATAGTTTAAGACCAAAACACAAAAACTTAACACTGAGCAATGAACTGTGAAAATGAGGTCAAGGTCATATAAAACCTGCGCGACTGACATAAAGATCATAAAATATTTCCTTACACCAAATATAGTTGACCTATTGGATATAGTATTAGAAAAAAAGACCAAAACTCAAAAACTTACCTTTGACAACTGAACCATGAAAACGAGGTCAAGGTCAGATGACACCTGCCAGCTAGACATGTACACCTTACAATCATTCCATACACCAAATATAGTAGACCTATTGCATACAGTATAAGAAAAACAGACCAAAACACAAAAACTTAACTATAACCACTGAACCATGAAAACGAGGTCAAGGTCAGATGACACCTGCCAGCTAGACATGTACACCTTACAATCATTCCATACACCAAATATAGTAGACCTATTGCATACAGTATAAGAAAAACAGACCAAAACACAAAAACTTAACTATAACCACTGAACCATGAAAACGAGGTCAAGGTCAGATGACACCTGCCAGCTAGACATGTACACCTTACAATCATTCCATACACCAAATATAGTAGACCTATTGCATACAGTATAAGAAAAACAGACCAAAACACAAAAACTTAACTATAACCACTGAACCATGAAAACGAGGTCAAGGTCAGATGACACCTGCCAGCTAGACATGTACACCTTACAATCATTCCATACACCAAATATAGTAGACCTATTGCATACAGTATAAGAAAAACAGACCAAAACACAAAAACTTAACTATAACCACTGAACCATGAAAACGAGGTCAAGGTCAGATGACACCTGCCAGCTAGACATGTACACCTTACAATCATTCCATACACCAAATATAGTAGACCTATTGCATACAGTATAAGAAAAACAGACCAAAACACAAAAACTTAACTATAACCACTGAACCATGAAAATGAGGTCAAGGTCAGATGACACCTGCCAGTTGGACATGTACACCTTACAGTCCTTCCATACACCGAATATACTAGACCTATTGCTTATAGTATCTGAGATATGGACTTGACCACCAAAACTTAACCTTGTTCACTGATCCATGAAATGAGGTCGAGGTCAAGTGAAAACTGTCTGACGGGCATGAGGACCTTGCAAGGTACGCACATACCAAATATAGTTATCCTACTACTTATAATAAGAGAGAATTTAACATTACATAAATTGTTAACTTTTTTTTCAAGTAGTCACTGAACCATGAAAATGAGGTCAAGGACATTGGACATGTGACTGACGGAAACTTCGTAACATGAGGCATCCATATACAAAGTATGAAGCCTCCAGGTCTTCCACCTTTTAAAATATAAAGCTTTTAAGAAGTGAGCTAACGCCGCCGCCGCCGCCGCCGGATCACTATCCCTATGTCAAGCTTTCTGCGACAAAAGTCGCAGGCTCGACAAAAACACAAAATAACAGAAATATTTCATGGAAGTTTCTTCAATAACAAATCTTTGTTCAACATTCATATTTCAAATCCATCATTTATTTTGACAAAAAAGTTAACTTACCATATTTCCTATCATAACAAGCTTTGGTCCTAATTCTCTGTGTACGGAAAAAATATGCAGGATACGGAAGAAAAATACTATAAAATTTATAGCATAAACTACTCTAGCTGCTTCAAATGTATCATCGTCGGGTATAAATCGTAAAACTAATGCACATATAAATAGAATGATTGTCAGTACATCTACCAAATTCCAACTGTCTGATAAATAACTTTTTAACTTTGCATTTATAGTTGCTGAGGAACCAGTAACAAGCTGTAAATAAAAAATAAAATAATAAATAAAACATGCATTTTTTTGTAAATATTTGAATTATCTTCAATATTCAATAAAGAAATTTAAACTATTGCATGTCATTCTTACTTCAGAGAGTGATTTTTTTAATGAAAATTTAATATTTAAGTATGCTGACATATATTGCAGCCTCAGCCATATTTTAGTTTAGAAATTGTGTATTCAATTAAAAAGATGAAATAACTTTCAATTATTTGAGCAATAGTTTGTACTAATGCGTTAAACATCATCTGCATATGAAAGAATGAAGATATTGGTTTTCAGGTCAATAAGACAGCTATCAAACAACACAAAAATAAAACACAAACACAACAGAGGTCAATAAACAGTTGTCAATAATCGACAAGTGTCAGTGCTATCAGTGCAGTTGTCAAATTTTTTCCACACACAAAAAAATACAATTAAAACATTTACATACTGAGAATGAATTTTTTTAAAGGATTTTAAACATCTATGCTTTCAATTTAAGTGGATAATTATAGGTTATTAACTTGATGAAAATAAAATGTAAATATGAGTTCATATTTTTTTTTGTTAGGTATAAAGTTTTTACTGTGACTTGATTGTAAGTGTTTCTCTCCATCTGTTGCAGTTTATTTAAAATTCTGACCAAATTGCTATTTATTTTATCAAACCAAACTGTTCAACTGGTCAGAAATTTTATCAAACTGCTGTAGAAAAACACAGTGAAGTGGTGAAAGTGCAAGGTGATAAAATAAAGCATACTTATAATCCTATAAGACTTTAATTCCATTTCATTGATATTATGAAAAATCGGTTTGACAATTTCTATGCAAATTTTATTGTAATTGTCATGCTAAAGGTGATAGGTAGTAATTTTTAAATTGCTATAAAAATGTCCAAACTAAGCTTTCAAACAATTTTTCTTTCGAAAAGTCTTCTATATTCATAAGAATCAGACATCATTTGAATTAAAACATCTTATATTCAGTAAAATATATGTGAAATTACAATACGTTGTTAATAAGTTTCCATGGGAGATAATCTTTTGAAATAATGATCTTATCTCCCTTTAAAACTTTAAGAGAATATATTAAACTTTGAGTATATTTCACCAAGCATTTTAGAGATTAATTAAAAAAAATCTTTGTAGCATGCATAGAAAAACACCATTTTATTAGAAATAATTCAAAACTTAAATTTGGACATTTTTTTTTTTTTGCAATTAAAAAATTACTAATTTACTATCTATCCCTTTTTGCATGACAATTACAATAAAATTTGTATAGAAATTGTTAGACTGATTTTTCATAATATCATTGAAGTGGAATTAAAGTCTTATAGGATTGTAAGTATGCTTTAGTTTATCACCTTGCCCTTTCACCAATTGACTATGTTTTTCTACAACAGTTTATTTAAATTTCTGACCAGTTGAACAGTTTGGTTTGATAAAACAAATTGCAATTTGGTCAGAATTTTGAATAAACTGCAATAGGTGGAGAGCAACACATACAGTCAAGTCACAGTAAGTTAAAAAAAAACTTTTTGGAGACCATTCAACACACAATAAAAAGAAATTCAAATATTACACATATTATTGTCATTTGATTTTCAATTGCACAAACAAAAATGTGCTGGTAAATATAGTAAGTCATCCATTTTAATTTTTACATTAAGAAAACAAACAAAATTAAACAAATCTGTTAAAAGGTGATAATTGGTTAAATTTAAAAACATAGAGCTGAAAACAAAATAAAAATATGACATCAGTCATGTAAAATAATATCACTCATTATTATCTATTTTTAATGAAAACAAAATAAAATATAATATGAGACAATACGATAAAAAGGCATCTTCAATTTGATACATCAAATGATATGTCAAACCCCATACAGTATTATCGTTCGGGTCGAGAAACATAAAATTATGTCACTACTGTTTCAGAGTCTGATGATAAGTACGTATTAAGGCCTCAGAAATGTATCATAAGATATTTTTAAATCCCCCTTTCAAAACGTTATAGATGGGGGATGGGGTGTATTCACCTTAAAATAATATTAGAACGTAAACTGATATTTTGATTTTAAAATAAACATTTTACACAATTTGGCAATTATAAATAAAAGAAGATATGGAGTGTATGTCAACAAGTCAGTTTTTTCCATTCTCTTGGTTCTTAAAATAACAGAAAAGGGATTATCAAATTTCATAAAAAATTGCAGGTGGTCCCGTCCTTATGCCATCTGTCCAATAAAGCTTCTGGTAAAAACTGGACAAGATTTTAATATCAAAAAACATAAAATTCAGTTTAAAAAAATAACCAAATGCCTACTTATTTATTAAGTAAAACTACATATATTTAAACTAAAAAAACTGCAAAACAACAATGTAAATAAGGCATAGAACAAAAAGTACATGCAATATTTGTTATGACAAAAGACATTTTAAAAGATTATAGAATAACTGTACATATAAAACAATGTTGATACATTTATAAATAAATTAAGGAAAAGGAAATTTGAAGAGGATTACAAGTATCAGACTTCAGTTACGACTTTTCTTCACAATTGAGGTTACTTCCCCTGTTTTTGTTTTTTTCATGAAGTAAGGCTAAAGGCCTATCATAAAATTCATAATGCTAGCAGATTTTGTATTACCCAAGATCTATATGTTTTTTCCAAACAAAACCATACACTCATCAAAACATTCCACTGAATTTCGTAATTTGCATCAAAGTATATCTGTGTGTTCACTTTTTAAATTTATGGACTCCTTATTTTGTTTTTAAACCTTTTCAAACATTATGATCATGAATTTGTGACAACAAGACTTAGTAATACATAGTAAACCCTAAATAGATGAAAAGACTGTTGCCCTAATCAAACATGAAAATAAGATAGCCCAAGAAAAAATCCAACAAGAAGTTTTTTTTAAATAATTTATATTGCTTCCACTTAACAAATGCTTATCATTATATTTTTTAATATAATTCTAACATACATAATAAATTGCTATATTGTATACCAAATTAAATCATTGGGAACATGGTACAATGTAGTGCATAGTTTCTGTTGAAAAACTATCTCAAATGGTTCATTTTAGTAATTACAAATGAAATTCCCTCTCTTATTTTTTTTATATCACAGTTGATTGAACCTTATTTCATTCAAATTTCAGCAAAAACTATAAAGAAACATCCCATCAGGTGATAAATATTTGTTTCAATACACCAATTTTTCTTTTAAACAAGAATGTGTCCATAGTACACGGATGTCCCACTTGCACTTTCATTTTCTATGTTAAGTGGACCGTGAAATTGGGGTCAAAACTCTAATTTGGAATTAAAATTAGAAAGATCATATCATAGGGAACATGTGTACTAAGTTTCAAGTTGATTGGACTTCAACTTCATCAAAAACTACCTTGACCAAAAACTTTAACCTGAAGCAGGACAAACAGACGCACAGACCGAAAAACATAATGCCTATAAATGGGGCATAAAAAAAGAATGATATGAAACAGATTTATATTATCTCTTATTCTATAATGTTCCACAATGATAATCTGTTATACATTTACTCATTTACTGGTATTTTGACTTCAGTCAAGACAATTTCTAATACAAAATTTAAAAACAGAACTGATGATTTCTTTCTGATATGAATAATGAATAATTATTATAATAACTAAAAACATCAATTCTAAGCCAGTCATATTAAATGCAAAAAAAAATGAAAAAAAATCCACTCTACATTACTAAAACTTTATTTACATATCTAGTGTCTTTTGAGTAAGTTGACATCTTAAATGATCCTTCCTGACTAGTTGCTTTCATCCGTAAAGCAAAGTGTGGATTCAAAAACTAGATTGTTTTCAAAAGAAAATGTAATAAATTTTTATCCATTGTTTCTATAGCAAAAACAAATTTGACATTTTGGTAAGAAACAGTTTTAGAACATGTGATGAATTACAAATATTAGTACCTTGTGACTTTTTATTAGAATGCAATAAACAAATGACTTAGAGTCAAGTGTTGATTATACAGCCTAACTGTTTGCATCAATGTCCGGCTAAACCCTTTTTAGCAAGTCAATTCAGAAACTATACTTTGGTATGAGCTATTTTTGTCCTTTTTTTCCCTTAAAAGGAAACAATACCAGTTAGATGAAATGAAGAGCAATGAGAAGTAACCTACTTCTTATAAAAATTCTAACATACGGTAATTATTTGAAGAGTGGAAAATTTTACATCGTGTAGTAAAGAACAATTTTATATGAAAAATACAATCTATTTCTCACAAAGCCTGTACATTCAGTGAACTCTTCACTAGAATGAGAGAAACTTGTATCAAATCTTAATATTAGAGTAAAACTAAAGCTATATTAGAAATAGCTATCAATACGAAGTTGAATAGACAAGATGACTTTCAAGCTGAATAAACAGTGAGGCAGGAATGATGTAAAAACTTTTTTTTCACAGTTATTCAATCTGTATCAACAAGGGGTTAACAAGTGAAAATGTGAAATAATTCAGGTGAAAGTCAGATCTGCTATTCATCTGTAAGAGCATGCTTTATATGTTTAGAGGCTAATTGTTTAGTTAAATCATTTACACAATAAAAGTTTAAATCTGGCAAAATCACATAATGTCTGCAACCCCTAAAACAATGCATGAAAATTGCATAACTGAAAATGATCATTTTTTTATCAATTTGTGGTATATGAAAAAAATTTAAGTTTTTATACACAATTGGATGCAATATTTGATTCGAAAAATCATATATATTTCCAGAGCAGATCTTACATTTGACAACTTCTGAACACATAGTATATGTAACACATAATTAGAGGAAAAAAAGGGACCATCAGTCAAAAAGTCAGTTAGCATGCTTATACAAAAATCTTACAGAATTTCTTCTTGGCTATGTAAGAGTTATAAATACATGATATATTGGCCAAAGCATTCCAGAAGTTAAATTTTATTTCCATATGAAATGCAACATCTATGACTGCACATGCTATCTGTGACAACATTAAAACAATGCATAGAAAAACAAGCTAAAGGCTTGATTTAACTCAGGATTTCATGGATATAGCATAAAATGTGATTATATGAATTGAATGCTTCTTTTTGTAGTTTAATAATAGGCCTGTAAAATCGTTGAATTTTCACACATTTTTAGTATGAAGTGCTTCTGCGCTTTATACAAAATGTACTTCAGTCAATACTTTCACACCCTATAAAGTTACAAAAAGAAACATTCGATTATAAATTAAATAAAGAGGTCTCCATTCCTTTTTTATACATATATATTTTTCCCACCTAATAAAGCTAAATTTTCATTAAACAACAAATGCAAAATATTATATTTAACCAGTTAAAGTCTATCATTAAACACTTATTTGATTTTTAACCAAAAATGTCTGAAGTGATCTATACATGTACTTATTACTGAATACTAGTTACATGATGATTACACAAAGGCTATAAATACATTTCCTATGTGAAAATTTGACTCTAACAGGTGGCAAATAGTTCAAGAATATCACTCACTAGTGGATGACTTTTTGATTTTAACTAATTAAGAGAGAGATAAAATTAATTATATTTATAAAACAAATGTTTTCAAACTAAAAAATCTCACCTGCTTACAAAATTATCTGGATATACACAAACAATAGTTTGGAAAGTTAGTTAGCCATATAATACTGAGGTCAAATTATACATCTTTTTACAACGAATATTGTGACCTAAAATCTATACACAATTTGGTTGACCAATGTAAAAAAAAAGGGATATTAAAGAAACTCATTTGTAGCTATTGATGCCACATGCCAGAAAAGTAATACCAAGGTGAGCATAACTGTTTTTATAACTACAAAAATTTCATCATTAATCTTAGAAACTTTATTGTATGTATGAAAATGTGGCCAATAAGGTCTTGTATCAGCTAAATACTCTGGTTTTTATTTTATTTATCTGATGAGTATTACTGTAAATTTTCAGGGTACTATTTGAACCTGATAGAAAATTCTAACCTTACAAATGAAGCTGCACTTTAGTCTGTATTTTTAATGCTAAGAGTTTTATAGTACTATGCCAAATCATAAGTGTTTTGTCTGTGTTTTAACTGTTTAAATTGTCCTCGCTTGTAGTCAGTTTGTCTTGCATAATTACCTGTCGCACTTCCTCGGCAAATATACTAAATACCCAAATCATCAGGATGATCTCAATCACAGATACATTGGTGGATAGGTCTATCAATAACATAATACTGAACAATGCTAAAAATATCAGGTAAGACAACTGAAAATAAAACCATGTCATTGTTGTAAGTATGTTTATGTAACAGACCTTCACAAAAACTTTCTTGATTTGATAGACAAAAGAGAAAAAAAATGTTCATAGTCTAACTCAAAGGCTTCCAAAACAGTCATATTTGCCGGACAAATTTAAATTTATCCGACATTTCCGACCGGGCCAAGCATGAAACGGACATCCTACGTAGGTTTGCCATTTCAACGTTCATGTGATTCTGAAAAATCAACCATTTTGACTTGACCTTGTGCCTTAAACAGCCACACTTTTCCGGTCATTAAAGTGACAGTACTCTATAAACAAGCCCTACTATAATCCCCTCTCATTACAATCAAGGTTAATTAAGTGTCTAACAGGTGAGATTTACCTGTCATCAAATAGTTTCAGGTAAACTATTTGTGCCAGACATCAATCGATCTTTTTGGAAGTTATTTTTTTATTTAAATTAAAAACATTCCTGGTGTAAATCGAACTACTTTTTTAGGAAAACAGATTGAGACTATCAGAAAAACGTATTTAAGACGATAAGATCATAATTTACACGCAACAGGTAAACTATTTTGTACCAGACATTGATCAGTCTATTTATTTAAAAGTTTTTTTTTGTGGTTTGCATCTAATCAATTTAGTCAAAAAGATTTAGATTATCGGAAATACGTAAATGAACATGATTTGATGAAAAAATTAAAACGGAAGTAATAAAGGTTGTAAGCAAAAAATCTTCAGAACCACGTTGTTTGAACTAGTACACGTGTGCACATGTGCACAGGTGTGAGGTTTAATTATGCATCCGAATTTTTCAAAAATACTAAAATTATCATTAATACCTTTATCTAACCTTCATTTTGAGTATTTTCCACTCAATCGTGCTTTGTAAACGTACACGGAGTTTACGCATCCATCTCTGGTCCATGTCTTACCATTGTCAATAGATATAGGAAGATAAGTGCCAATGAGACAACTCTCCATCAAGTCAACATCCGGTATTAGAAAAAAGCTAAGTTTTTGACAGCTTAATTTTCCAGAAATAAAGAGTCTAAGGTAGATATTAGTACGCTGATGTTGCACACTTCGAATGATGCACCATCAATTGAACAGTTTACGTCAGAGCATCGAATTATATCAAAATGTCCATCATTGTTTATATGATCCCCAACTGATTAAAATGCTTGTCTTTTGTTACTAAGTCTTAAGGGACTTAAATCGGGATAAGACAAAAAATGTCCGGCTGGCTCAAATATTTTTTGGAAGCCCTGGTCTAACTAGAAATTTCTATTTTGCAATAAAATTTACTTTCCCAATGGCAGCATTTTGATATAAGTATGGGCTGTACCCTTGACCTTTTTTATATCAAAAATGTAGAAAACATAAGACTGAGCAACACGTACCCCATAAAAACCTAGGGGTGGTCTCGGGTACTCTGGAACAGTAAGCAGATCCTGCTCCACATGTTTTATCTTTTATAGAGTAGCTCTTGCCACCACACCTTGATACTTGTTAAATAATTCATAATAATTGATCAATGTGCTGGTTATTACTGTAAATTCAGAAATTATTGCGAGGTTTTTATTAATATGAATAATGCAACTTGGTATGGCAATAATCATAACTCGCATTCTGATATCCGATACATATATCTGTATGTAGCTTTTAAAAATATAGCAATAATTAAACTAACATTTTTCTTAATTCTTCAAAAATCCCAATAATAAATGCACGCAATAATTTCTGAATTTACAGTATTACAAAACTGATATTTCCCAATATATATTTCCTTGGTCAATGTAATAAAGACAATAATTAGGTATAGTCGGTTTTCCTTCAACTTATGATTTTTGATTGTGCCTTTGTAATTTTCTGCTGATTTCTGCAACTGTTTCTAAATTGTATAAATGTTCTATATTGCAATGATACTGACCACATTGTGACAAAATATTATGACAGGTGCTGTGTAGAAATGATATAATTTCTGTAACATTGAAAGACTAGTTGGCTGTTCTTTCTCATCTTGCCTACAATGTAAGAAAAGAACATAAAGAATTATTTTTACATTATCATTGTAATGTAAACAGTATACAATACCTTTTGAATAGGTTCGATTGACACAAATATTTAAGCAAGAGTTACTTCCCTTTTGTCGCCATGTTGGAGGTCTATGTGCACATATTCCTTCATAAAACAATCAAATTAAACTTGTTATACTGACCGCTCGACTTAAGAAAAAGTTATTTTTGAACAATTTTAATATATTTTAGCTTTGCTTGATTCATCACTACGGTCTAGTAAGGATCTCTTATCAGACTTGCTTGTATCACATGTTTCAGTTTGGTTAGTTAAATAAGAAAATCAAGCATTACCCCTCCAAAACGGCAGCCATGGGAAATAGCTCAATCTCAAATTATGTCATATTGAAACCTAACTATTTTTACAAAGCACAATGAATATGTACTGTTTAAAGTAATCTATTTTGAAATCTGTTTATTAGAAAACTATAATCTTCATCTCTATTGAATTGTTTCTAACTGACCACAACAATTTACAGCTTATTATCAGGTTCTCAGCAAAATGGAATTTAATTTAAGAATTTTACAGAAAAAAAAAACATTTTGCATTGAAAAGATTAATTGTGAAACTATAATACAATGTTCCAGAAGAAATGTTTTGTTATAAAATTACATGCACAGTTAAACTAATGATTTTGTTTGGATTAGACAGTGGTTCATATAACACTGTTTCACAGGTGAAATTACTAAATGCTATTCAATTTTGAGTCAGATACAGGACTATAAGTTTGAAAAGTCTTTAGATTAACAAGAGTGCACACGCTGAAATGTCTCGCCTTCTTTACTAATCATTGATATTATGTTAATATTCCTAAATATAAATCTTTACTACAACTATCACATAATCTTAGCATATTCCAAGAAAATGAGGTCAAGGTCATATCAACCAAACAAGAAATATCTGTACACCTTACAACCATTCAATACACTAAATATAGTTGACCTATTGCTTATAGTTTCTAAGAAACAGACTTAACCAAGAAAACTAAACATTGACCAATGAACCATGAACCATGAAAATGACCAAATATAGTTAACCTATTCATATAGTATTTGAAAACTAGAGGCTCTAAAGAGCCTGTGTCGCTCACCTTGGTCTATGTGCATATTAAACAAAGGACACAGATGGATTCATGACAAAATTGTGTTTTGGTAATGGTGATGTGTTTGTAGATCTTACTTTACTGAACATTCTTGCTCCTTACTATTATCCCTATCTATAATGAACTTTGCCTGGTAGTTACAGTGGAAAATACTTTGTAAAAATTTACAAAAATTTACAAAATTTATGAAAATTGTAAAAAATTGACTATAAAGGGCAATAACTCCTTAAGAGGTCAATTGACAATTTTGGTCATGTTGACTTATTTGTAGATCTAGCATTGCTGTACATTATTGCTGTTTACAGTTTATCTCTATCTATAATAATATTCAAGATAATTACCAAAAGCTGCAAAATTTTCTTAAAATTACCAATTCAGGGGCAGCATCCAACAACGTGTTGCCCGATTGGTCTGAAAATTTCAGGGCAGATAGATCTTGACCTAATGAACAGTTTTATCCTCATCAGTTTTGCTCTAAATGCTTTGGTTTCAGAGATATGAGCCAAAAACTGCATTTTACCCTATGTACTATTTTTTAGCCATGTCGGCCATCTTGGTTCGCGGGCGGGGTCATCGGACACATTTTTTAAACTAAATACCCTAATGATGATTGTGGACAAGTTTGGTTAAATTTGTCTTAGTAGTTTCAGAGGAGAAGATTTTTGTAAAAAATTACAAAAATTTACGAAAAATGGTTAAAAATTGACTATAAAGGGCAATAACTCCTTAAGGGGTCAACTGACCATTTTGGTCATGTTGACTTATTTGTAGATCTTACTTTGCTGAACATTATTGCTGTTTACAGTTTATCTCTATCTATAATAATATTCAAGATAATAACCAAAAACGGCAAAATTTCCTTAAAATTACCAATTCAGGGGCAGCAACCCAACAACGGGTTGCCTGATTGGTCTGAAAATTTCAGGTCAGATAGATCTTGACCTAATGAACAATTTTATCCTCCTCAGATTTGCTCTTAATGCTTTGGTTTCAGAGATATGAGCCAAAAACTGCATTTTACCCTATGTACTATTTTTTAGCCATGTCGGCCATCTTGGTTCATGGGCGGGGTCATCGGACACATTTTTAAAACTAAATACCCTAATGATGATTGTGGACAAGTTTGGTTAAAGGAGTATGTCCAGTAAGACCCCTTTTTGGCCCCAAAATATAGCAGTTTTACAAAATTTTTAAAATGTAAACTTTAAGTTATTTATTGGAAAGAAGAATACTTCTGTTACATAAATATGAGCTGTTTTTGACAATACAGTCCACATATATCGGGTACTAGCATCATTAAGTCAAGCTAAATTTCTGAAATCTTCAAAATTTTAGCATTTGAGTTAAATTTTAGACGGTTTCCGTCTTAAATGGAAGTGGCCGCATTTGTGTTCATTCTTAATATTTAAATGTAAGTTGTATTTGATGATAATACATAACATATATAAAGGTTGAGAGTGAACACGGATGCGGCCACTTTCATTTTTGACAAAAACCATCTGAAAAGTGACATATTATGGCATATTTGATAGATTTTCCATATCTAAGCTTGAATTTGGGCGTTTTTAATGACTAAATCAGTTCAAATCTTTCACATAAACTAATTGAATCGACTGAAGTAGACACTTAAGTGTTTAAAAAGTGTCAAAAATCTCTCATCAGATGAACCTGAAATTTGAGGCAAAAATCGGCCCTTACCGGACCTACTCCTTTGTCTTAGTAGTTTCAGAGGAGAAGATTTTTGTAAAAAATTACAAAAATTTACGAAAAATGGTTAAAAATTGACTATAAAGGGCAATAACTCCTTAAGGGGTCAACTGACCATTTTGGTCATGTTGACTTATTTGTAGATCTCACTTTGCTGAACATTATTGCTGTTTACAGTTTATCTCTATCTATAATAATATTCAAGATAATAACCAAAAACGGCAAAATTTCCTTAAAATTACCAATTCAGGGGCAGCAACCCAACAACGGGTTGTCTGATTCATCTGAAAATTTCAGGGCAGATAGATCTTGACCTGATAAACAATTTTATCCCATGTCAGATTTGCTCTAAATGCTTTGGTTTCAGAGATATGAGCCAAAAACTGCATTTTACCCTATGTACTATTTTTTAGCCATGTCGGCCATCTTGGTTCGCGGGCGGGGTCACCGGACACATTTTTTAAACTATATACACTAATGATGATTGTGGCCAAGTTTGGTCAAATTTGGCCCAGTAGTTTCAGAGGAGAAGATTTTTGTAAAAGTTAACGACGACGACGACTGAAGACGACTACGACGACGGCGGACGCCAAGTGATGAGAAAAGCTCACTTGGCCCTTTGGGCCAGGTGAGCTAAAAAGACCAAAACTCAAAACTTAACTTTGACCACTGAACCATGAAAATGAGGTCAAGGTCAGATTTCACCTGCCAGCTAGACATGTTCACCTTACAATCATTCCATACACCAAATATAGTAGACCTATTGCATACAGTATAAGAAAAACAGTCCAAAACACAAAAACTTAACTATAACCACTGAACCATGAAAATGAGGTCAAGGTCAGATGACACCTGCCAGTTGGACATGTACACCTTACAGTCCTTCCATACACCAAATATACAAGACCTGTTGCTTATAGTATCTGAGATATGGACTTGACAACCAAAACTTAACCTTGTTCACTGATCCATGAAATGAGGTCGATGTCAAGTGAAAACTGTGTGACCTTGCAAGGTATGCACATACCAACATACCAAATATAGTTATCCTATTACTCATAATAAGAGAGAAATCAACATTACAAAAAATCTTAACTTTTTTTTCAAGTAGTCACTGAACCATGAAAATGAGGTCAAGGACAATGGACATGTGACAGACAGAAACTTCGTAACATGAGGCATCTATATACAAATTATGAAACATCCAGGTCTTCCACCTTCTAAAATATAAAAAATTTAAGAAGTTAGCTAACCCACGCCGCCGCTGCGGGATCACTATCCCTATGTCGTAAAAGTATACATTTTGTTTAAATGATTTTATGCCCCAAAAATGATGTTTTTTCTGATCAAAGGGGTGAACGTCCTCTAGGCCCTGCTGATTCTGCCACTGGTAAGGTTAAGACACATTACACTGTATTTCTATCTGTACTTACTGGTAGTTTGTCTGAATTGATAACTGTGTCTGTTGTCTTATCATACCAGGTTTGTTTCCATCTTCCTGTTTAATAAACAATTACTGTCGAAGATGAAATCTTAAAACATTAAAATAAAAATCTTAGAATTAATAAAAAATCTGACAATCTAAAATAATGGGTCCTTAGTAACTGATGACACTGTTATTGAAGTCAGGAGACAAACTGCTTCAACATGTACGTGTCAGTTTAGTCACTGTATAATAAAAAAGGTTCACTTTTTAAGCCCTCACTTTTGAGGATCAATCATATTTTTGTGGATAATTGATTTTGTGTTATTTAAGCCAAAGTTTGCTTACAAACCTATAGAAAATTTGTACTCCCTTGAACATTTGAATTCTTAGTTTATCCACATGTATACGCAAGAAATGCATAAAAATTGGTACCCCAGAAATAATAATGAATCCAAAGTCATACAAACATGAAATTATTTTTGTCTTAAAAAATGTTATGAAAGATTTATACTAGCAGCACAACAATATTAAATATTATTCATATAAAATATTATGATCTATAGAAGTCAACTGCAAGCAAAACACAATATTCAGGCTTGGAACAAATAGCTTATCTAATATACATGAAGCATGCATATACGTTTTTAAAATTGAGTATGTACAAAAGACATCTCACAAGAAAGTTTCCATTCATTATATCAATTATCATTTATTTACATAATCAGGTGGTTTTGATTATTAAGTTCCATTTTGAAACTTGAGGCTCTAAAGAGCCTGTGTCGCTCACCTAGGTCTATGTGCATCTTCGACAATGGACACTCTCAAACATTGTAGACTAGAATATAATTTATGACTAAATTCTCTGTTTTGTTGATTGTATTGCTGATCATTTTAAGTTTTCAGTTTCTCTTTATCTTCTATAGTTTTTGCCCTTAACACAAAAAAGGGTAAAAATTGTCATGTATGGGTAATAACTCCTATAAAAAGACAACTGACAAATTCATCTGACCTATTTGCAGATCGTGTTTTGCTAATCATTTTCGCTTTTAAAGTTTTTATCTATCAGACTTTTTGTAGATCTTGCTTTGTGTATCATTTAAGCAATCTAAAGTTTTTCTCCATCTATGATAGTTTTCAAGATAAATGGCAAAAACGTAAAAAATTGTCAAGTTGGGGCAATAATTCCAATAAAGAATAAAGAGTTAGGGCAATAATTCCAATAAAGAGTTAGGGCAATAATTCCAATAAAGTGTTGACTGAAGATCTTATCTTGCTGCTCATAATTGCTGTTTAAAGTTTCTATATTCCTATTAATATATTTTTCTAGATAATAGCAAAATCGCAAAAAAATTGTAAAAAAGAAATTGAAAGTAATCACATAAATTGACAGCACTTTGGGGTTCTCAGGACATTTATTAACAAATTCATTCGAGTTTGGAAAACCTATTATTTTGACCAAATATAATAATGACAAGCTAAATTAACCTTAAAAATCTCTCGTCAGTGGATTATTAACACAAAAAGACACACCATTAGGACAAAAACATTATATATTGTTTAAAAAAATCCAAACCAAACAGTTACTAATATGCAAGAATGACTTTTATGAATGATTATATTAGATAAAATGAATGGTATGAAGTTAGTGTAGCTTTTACTAATCAATCATCTCATTTCAATTCTTACTTGTCTTGGCAAGGTCTGAAAGCAAAACAGATAAATCTTCCTTGTTAATTTTGGTATTTTCAAAGTGTACATGGAATAGATAGATGTTTTATTTCTGAATACATTTAGATATATGTACGGTATGTTCTGATTTGTATTCTATCAGTTGAAACTTGAAAGAGCATGCATGGCATAATATTGACTTTTGTATTGTCAGATTTGAAAAGCATTATCCGTTAATTGAAAGGTCAATATAAAAGCAGGAAAACTCCTTTTTGAACCAAAAGCAGAATAAAAGTAAGCAGGGATTATCTATATTCATTCTAAATTTACCCAGATGGTCTAGGAGAAGTTAATATAAAACATTCTCCAAATTATACAATCGAGAAAACAATATTTGTACCATGAATTTACAATTATGTTATTTTACAGTCACAAGTAAATAAAGTTAGAATGAAACTAATATGTGATGTCCAATACAGTCATAATAAGGTCAATAATTGGTCTAACCAGAACTCATATATGATACGTAACTACCGATACTTATTATACTGTTGTATACCAATTGTCAGTTCATCAACTGTAAGGACGGTAGAATACAAAGGAGAAATGTGTAATGTCAAGTCCAATGGCTGTAATTAGGTCAAAAGTAAGTCAAAGTGTAATAAAAAGTAAAATAACAAAAAATTCCAAGGAAAATTCAAAACGGTAAGTCCTTTATCAAATGGTAAAATCAAAAGCTCAAACACATCAAACGTATGAAAAATAAGAGAGTTCCAATGCACCCAGCTATGCACATTATTTATCTGTCCAAGGGCAATAACTAAAAATAAAAATGTTATTGGTTCTTTTAAATTTTCGTTTATTTATCTTAGAGAAATGTAAGCTTTATTACTTATATCCATGTCATTTAAACTCTGGCAGATAGGTGTCTCATTGGCTATCATTTCATATCTCCTAATTTTTATATTGAGAGCACTTACAATGCAATTTTACATGTACATGTAACCTGTAGCTACTTATTACATAAATATAAACTAAAAATTACGAAAATATTCAAAAGAAAAGTCATTAAAAATACCAGTTTGCTTGTTTTCTCCAGATTTTTTAATCAAAGTAATGACAACTGATCAGTATTATATGAGAAATATTTGTCCCAGTCACCTTCAGTTATAACATATATTTGGCTTGGTAGTATTAGAGTAGAAATTTGAAAAATTATCGATCAGTTGTTTTTTTTTTTTTATCCAAACAGAATGATAATGAAAAAAAACGGAGAAAACATTTTTTTTTTAAAGTTAACGGACAACTGCAGCTAATGGACTGAGTGATGGCAATAGTCAATTGAGCTTAAATGTGTATACAAACATTTTTTTGAAAATATAATTAATCTAAGTGCAGAAATTCTGTAAACAGGAGGTCTAACGGGACAAAATATAAACCTGACACCTAATATAATAACAACCAAAATAAGCTAAAATCTTCATCCACCTGAAATGTGAAAATTTCTGATTCTGGTTGTTTCAGACAGTTCATGATGAACCATATTTAGAGACTTCTTGAGTTGAAAATCTAAGCTATATATAAAGAAGTTGATAAATTTCTTTTAATTAATATATGTCTGATTTCAAATGAGTGTTTTTTTCTAATTCATAACAACATTTTATCATTTCATCTCACTTTTTTCTTTAAATTTTTACCTTTCTGTTTCTTCAGAGAACAGACAGACAGACTGATCACTATAGGGCGTCCCCCATTCGGCGGGGCCCTCATAAATTCATAGACTGAACAATTCATTTACTTTAATCTAATTGCAAAAATGATATGCAATCTAAGGATAGAGAATGTTAAGTAGCTTTTAAACAATACTGACCTTTCCAACCCTAGGTTTGTCATCACTGACATTATCAATCTGTCCAGCATCTATATCTTCTGCTTGATATTTTATTAAAGTGAACATAAGGGGAGGTAACAAAGCACAAATCAATAACTGAAATAAAAGTAGCCATGTTATTGTAAGATTATACAGAAATTAGGAAAAAAAGCACTGAAGATCATAGAAATAAAAGTTCATCTAAATATAAACAAGTTGTCAATGAGCATTTAAATGTAACTTTCAATCTTCAATATTTCTTTAAAACATATCTCAGATATTTAAAGCATTAAAATCTATAATACTATTTGGTAAAGTAAATTCAAACTCATCAAAGAGCAACCAAAATATGAATATCTAAGCTAGGGTGAGGGTTGAGAGCTCACAAACGTGTTTAACTCAACCACATTCTTGCCTGTCCAAAGTCAGGAGTACAGTGATTGTCTTTTGTTCATGTCTGTCACATTTGTTTTTCTAAATGTTTTTGTTATAAATTAGGCTGTTAGTTTTCTTGTTTGAATTAGTGTACATTTTTCAAGTCGGGGACTTTATAGATGACTATAGGGTATAGGTTTTTCTATTGTTGAAGGCCGTACAGTGGCCTTTCATTGATTACTACCACTTCATTTTAACTCTGGTGAATAGTTGTCTCATTGGCATTCATACCAAATCTCTTCATTTTTATATAAATGCAGTTGATAAATGTCTTTGAAAATTATATGTCTGAATTAAAATGGGTGTTTTTTTCCCTGGAAAAATTTTATTATATTTCTGTCCTGCATTATAATACCTACAAATGTACGAAAATAACCTACCTTGAGAGCCCCGTTTTCAGGTGATAAACGACCCATCCACACCCTGTTCAAAAGAGATTGGCATGCTGTTTGTGATATAAAATGTTTGTTCTGAGTTTCTACGGCAATAAGAACACATGTGGCTCCACCCCAATTGTCCAATTGACGAATGAGTAGATTTTGTGCTTTTCTTTCATCAGTTTCATGACATTCATTTAAAACTTTAATAGCTAAATCTGAAAAATCTCTGAAAAATAAAAAATCATCCAATATGAATCAACAACAGTTTAAATAGTTTTAGTAAAAACAATTATTAGGAGATATATATATATATATATATTTTAATGGTATAACATCAAAATGAAAGAACACAATAGAAGAATTGTTTCTTTACATTATATCACTGTAATATTGTGCATAATGTTGGGGTTTTCAATTAAATAATTAAAACAGTTCTTTTTAAGTGCATATTTTAAACAAAGAGTACTTTTATGATTTAGAATTATATGATTGTAGGTCACTTTGATCTTCAAACTAATCTTATAAATTAAAACGCTAAAAAAGTTTTATAATCAAAGTCCGTGAAGTGTGAAGTATGTGTCCTGCAATCTTCATTTCATAACATGATCAAGACCCTCAAAGATGCATCTGAACACAAATTTTACAATGTGTATGCATGTTTTCAGTTTAAAATAAACATGGGAATGGGTAGTGTAGGAAAAGCAAATTGTTCTCTCAACTTTTTAACCAAAATAAAAGCTCTTACATAGCATTTCTGTCAAGAGATTTCTTTAATTCTGTGTCTTCAGTTCTCTTCGCTAGTTTTTTCAGCAATCCATAAGCAACAAGAGCACCAGCAATAGCATCCTATAAAGCAATAGACAGTCCAGCTCTATTCAAATATTTAAATTTTATATTTATACATAGTACATGTCTGTCAACCTCTGATAATGACCTGCATAGAGGAAAAATATTTAAGGTCATAATGCTAATGTTTGGGCAGAGACTAACCTCCAGTATTAGGGGTATATCTTTACCCCTTTTTAAATATTGTATAACTGTTATGTACATACAATGTGACATTAAAGTCATGATGAAAACCTTAATGTCTAAAATAATCTTTTTTCACAACAAAATAGAAATGTTTAAACATTAATATTATTATATCTGAGATTATGAATTTGAATGCTTTAAGAAATTATATCTTTCAAAAATGTGGAAAAAATGGAAAAATATCTTTGAAAGTACCTGAGGCAATACAAATCAATGTATTGTAAAATGTTCCTTCATTTTTGCATAAAAATAACAAAAAAGTTGAATTTGTAATCAGACTTGTAAGGGTAGAGATTTAAAAAACTTGTTTAACCCAGTCACAGTTTCATGCGACTGTCCAAAGTAATGAACCTGCACAGTAATTGTTGTATGGCATATCTGATAGTTTTGCGTCATTTGCAGAACTAGGTATTATCATTATGGCAGACCTTTATAAAAATAAGGAGATGTGGTATGATTGCCAATGAGACAACTATCCACCATTGTTCAAATGAAGTGGATGTAAAGAATTTGATTGTTTCTGTTAAATTTATTAACAACTTTTAAAGACTCAGGATGATTTGACCATTGACATATTGTATAGACAACTTCTATTGTTAAAGACAGTAAGTTGTCTTTGGTTATTTTTGTCCTTGAGTTGCTATCGTATAAATGTGTTTCCAACTTCTCTCTTTTTTTTCATATTGTCAAAAAAAAAAAAAATGAAAATTGATATAAACACGTAAAAATGAATTTATAGCTGGTAAAATCAATTTTAGGGCAACTTCAAAACTCTCTCACATTTGGTTCTTCTGTAAATAATTAAAACTGTTGTGATACATATCTTTTTTAGTATGCAATGCATGTAAACAAACCTTTCCCTGCTTCCAGAAAATTTTAGCTAATTCCTGTCTGTTCATCAAGACTGACCAGAAAAATAATTCTTGTACAGCGTTAAAACTACCAGGCCCTAGAATAATATAAAAAGGAAATACAATGTATGTTTCCTACTGTGGCAAACATTGTGTGAACTGATTATTGTTAACTACACTGAAAAACCTCCCTTGAATATGTAATTGAACAAAACATAAATGTGGAGGGCCAAATAATCTCTGTGGAAATGAGAAAATCTTATACAACTGCATATCAAATACAATTGACTTATCATACTTCTCTTTAAACTGACCAAAACAGAAACTTTAACATGTAAACTATGCAAAGTTTCAAAATCATTGAACCACGATGACTGTGGTGATAGCATATCTTGAGTAGTCGTGGATTGACATATTGCATAGGCACTTGACTGTTAAAAGATCTTATGTTAACCTCTAAATGTGTTATCTGTTTTTTTGTATGTTTGTTGCTGTCTTATAAGTGCATATCAATAAAATGAGATGTAGGAATATCTAAAAATATATGTATCTATCTATCTACTGTAAATTCAGAAATTATTGTGTGCATTTATTATTACAATTTCGACATGACAGACCAAAATGTGAGAATAAATTTTACGATTACAGGAAAAGCTGTGTCAGATTTTAGAATGTGAGTTCTTATTATTGCGATAGTTACCCAGGCACATCATTTGCAATAATAATCAAAGTACTGAAGTACTGAACATCGGATGACCACAAGTTCTTGAGGATGGTCAAAAGCACTTGTCTCAGAAAAAAACAACATGTCTCTTTACCTAAAACTGAGGTTAATGTACAGAGATATATTTTTTTCTGAGACAAGTTCGTGCGTGGATGATGAATAAATGACAGGAAATTCAACTTCACCGTAATAACTATTATATTGTAGTGATACAAATCAGTATACACTGAGTTGTTGTTTATATTATATTAAAATAACAGTTACATATATATATGATTTGAATCCATTTGTATATCATTCTATTCTACTATTCTAAAAATAGTGCAATGCAAGTGCATGGTCGACACTTTTCTGTAAAAATTCGATTTTTCTAAGATTGGATACGAGTAGGCATTCATATTTTCCCGCAAAATCAATTACAGAGTTACCGGTCCTTGACGGTATTTTCACAAAACGTTCTTTGAGATATTCTTCCGCATGCTTTAACACAATTTTTCGGTACATGTCCATTGATATTATCAATGATTTTTTACTTATATATATATATCTAACTACAAAACATTTTCATATTATTAATTTATGTTGTAAACAAAAATATTTTTATCAGTATTCATTGAAGAGATGTATTTATATCAAACGATAAGGAATGTTATGTTGCACTCGTTTATGTGCACGTATTTATCATGTTTATAGATCGGTTACAAACCCAAAACTAATTTACATAATGGAAATCTAGGCGATAGCAATACATCGGGATGACCTCAAGGTCATCGCGATGTAAAAATCTTACAATAATTTCTGGATTTACAGTACAAGAAATGCTTTTTTTACACTAAATTACATATCTAATACTATTACTTGAAATTTTGTGAAAAGTTTACCTTTCTGATTACTACTTGCATTAGCATTCGTAAACATTTCAACTCCCATTGAAACATCAGTATCATGTAAATGGTGTGAGGCATAGAAATCTCCTATCAATTCTTGTATCAAATATCCTACATCACTCATTGTCACATCCTGAAACAATAATCAGTACTAAGGTTCCTTTAATTAAAATGCAAACGTACTATAGAAATGGATGTTACCGTGCTGTTCAAGAGCCTTTGAGTTTTATACTAATAGGATAAAGTACTTTTTCAAGTTTTAGTGTGAATTCATTCCTATTAACTGACCAATGCAACTAAATTCCCAATGTTGAAAAAATAAAATGTACATTATAATTTTTTATGTTGTTTTTTAATCACATTTATAACCACGACAAAGAATAAAAATAATTTCTTGTGACTGTTTTTTCATGGGCATGTTCAAAAAAGTGAAAAGGAGTCAAAAATGTGAACATAAAATAAAATTTTGATATCAACAAAATATGATATGATTAATGAGGAAATAAAGCACTCATTCTAAAATTCAGATGGAACTTTTGGACAGTTTAACTTTCATGATAGAAAGTCAAATTAGAAAATGAAGATTACTTATATACAAAATCTTCCATTTTCTGAGCCATGTTAGTATTAATTTCTGATGATTGTGAGGTAGAGGAAATATTTTTAACAAGATTAAATAAAAATGTAGAGTACTTACAGAATTGTACTGTTTTGTTCTTCTAAGCAACAAACTTAACTGACATTTGGGCGGAATCTGTAATAAAAAAGTTTAATAACTGAAAATCAAGTAATCTGATAATAGATCGCTAGAATAGAGAATGGAAACCAGGAATGTGTCACAGAGACAACCTGACCATAGAGCAAAAAACAGCTCAAGGCCACAATGGGTCTTCAACACAGCGAGAAAATTCCACACCTGGTGCACATGCTGAAATGTCGCCTGTTTTACTGACCATTGATCTTATGTTGAAAGTCTTAAAGATAAAGGTTTTACTACAAGTATCACATAAACTTAACATTCTTAAAGATCCATGACAATGAGGTCAAGGTCAGATAAAAACTGTCACACAGACATGTACACCTTACAATTATTATTCAATACACCAAATATAGTTGACCCATTGCTTATGGTAATCGAAAAACAGACCAAAACACAAAAACTTAATGTTAACCAATGAACCATGGAAATGAGGTCAAGGTCAGATGATACTGGCTAGACATACATGTACACCTTACAATCATTCCATACACCTATTATAGTTGACCTATTGCTATTAGTATTTGAAAAACAGACCAAAACACAAAAACTTAACATTGACCAATGAACCATGAAAATGAGGTCAAGGTCAGATGACATCAGCTAGACAGACATATACACATTACAATTATTCCATACACCAAATATAGTTGACCTATTGCTTACAGTACTTGAAAAAAGACCAAAACACAAAAAATTAACAATGACCAATGAACCATGGAAATGAGGTCAAGGTCAGATGACACCGGCTAGACAGACATGTACACTAAACAATCATTCCATAAACCAAATATAGTTGACGTATTGTTTATAGTACTTGAAAAACAGACCAAAACACAAAAACTTAACATTGACCAATGAACCATGAAAATGAGGTCAAGGTCAGATGACATCAGCTAGACAGACATATACACATTACAATTATTCCATACACCAAATATAGTTGACCTATTGCTTACAGTACTTGAAAAAAGACCAAAACACAAAAAATTAACAATGACCAATGAACCATGGAAATGAGGTCAAGGTCAGATGACACCGGCTAGACAGACATGTACACTAAACAATCATTCCATAAACCAAATATAGTTGACGTATTGTTTATAGTACTTGAAAAACAGACCAAAACACAAAAACTTAACATTGACCAATGAACCATTAAAATGAGGTTGAGGTCAGATGACACCAGCTAGACAGACATGTACACCTTACAATCATTCCATACGCCAAATAAAGTTGACCTATTGCTTACAGTACTTGAAAAACAGACCAAAACACAAAAAATTAACAATATTCAATGAACCATGAAAATGAGGTCAAGGTCAAATGAAACCTGCCAGTCTGACATGTACCCCTTACAATCATTCCATACACCACATATAGTTGACCTGCTGCTTGTAGTATCTGAGAAATGGACCTAATTACGTAACTTTAACCTTGATCACTGATCCATAAATTGAGGTCGAGGTCAGGTTAACCCTGTCTGACGGACATGTAGACGTTGCAAAAAACCCATATACCAAATATAGTTATCCTTTTACTCATAATAAGTGAGAAATTCACATGACAATAAACTGATATTTTTTTTCAAGCAGTCACTGAACCATGAAAATGAGGTCAAGGACAATGGGAATATGACAGACGGAAACTTCGTAACATAAGGTATCTGCATGCAAGGTATGAAGCATCCAGGTCTTCTACCTTCTGAAATATAAAGCTTTATACAAATAGTTTATGCCACCGCCGGATAGTAATATCTATGTCTCGCATACTGCGACTTTCGTCGTAGGCAAGACAAAAAGCACAAAGTATAAGTATAGATTATTGGCTTTTCAGTGTACAGATGTAGTTAAATATCAGCCGTGAGCCATAATGTGAACCTTTTTGCAAGTGAGGGCAGCAAACGAGCTAAAAAGCTTCACATTGTCTCCAGCAACTGCTATTTTACTATATCTATACACAGAAAAGCCCATAACCTGTTCATTCTGCTATTTCTGGTCTTTTTCTCCCTCCCTTAATCAGTTTTACCCTTGATGAAAGTTAGCTTTTTAAAATCCCCTCACACACAGTGACATCGCTTATAAATTCTCCTCAGACATTGTGAAGTTGCTGATAAGTTCTGCTCATATCTCAAAGAAAGGATAAGATAATTATTAAGAGTCTGAGTAGGCTGACATAGGCAAAGGGAAGGAGGATAAAGGTATAAAACCACTAATTTGAGCCCCAGTTGGAATGAACATACCAGAAAGTAGTACATATTTTAATCAAAACATTTCTAATGCATAGCTGTAACTTTGTCAATAATCAAAATATTTGGTTAATTTTGGTATAAAATGAAAGATCACTGTAGAACCCTTGTTGAAACTTTCTTATGAATAACCAAAAAAAATATACAAAATTATAAGGATCGAGGGCATATTTGCCCTGTTGTTCAGATCAGAAGTACCTGTTTTTATACTACCATACTTCCGGGAACCAGTGTGCTCCAATATGCAATTAAAGGTATGTTGAATTTTTCTGCACAAGTCAGGATAAGGTATAATTTTGTCATGAATGATTGTCACTTTATGTGAACTTAAGACAAAATAGCTATAAATGCTTGAAATTGCAGATTTTAACAAAGCAGGCAATGGGACTTTGAGTTAGAGGTTTTAATTCTAAATAAGATTACTCATTCATAGGACACCATACCCTACTCACACTATCACATTTTAAATCTTGGTCAAAACCCTACTTTGGCAAATATTTTAAGAAGGTATTGTAAGCTATTGCCAACTAACAATAACCTCACTACAAGTCTTCATCTAAATGGAAGTTGATGACAGATCGATGTGAAAACCCATCACACAATTATAGTATTCTCCCATGAGGCTTGATACAAAATTTTAGGAAGCTCTGATTTCTAGTTTTTGACAGAAAATGTGAAGAAAATTTCACTGTACAGACAGACAAGTGTAAACTAGTATAAACTCTCATTTATTTGGAGCAGGGGTATAAAATTTTCTTTTTGTATCTGAAAAAAATTACAGTTTTATGTCTGATAGAATATTGGTTTTTGTTAAAAAAAAATGTCTTGTTACATTTTTGAATAAATATTCAATATTTGCAAAAATCAATCACAATTGCAGTTCTGAGTCATATATTTTAAAAATTGACAGGTTTAGAGAAAATGCAGAAAGGAATATTTTAGATGTATAACTGATGGTACGATATAAAAAAACGTTTATGTTTACACAGCTATAACACAACTATCTTTAACTGATTATACATATTAAATACACTTCTTTGTGAGATAATGAAAGCTTTACCTGGTTATATAACTGTCTCAGCCTTGTCACACTTAAAAAATCTTTCAGACTAACACTATGGTCTAGAAACAATTCGATGAAGTCTTTTCTATTAAGCATTATAGCTGACTGCAGAATATCATCCAAGCTACCAGGCTGTAAAGAAAGAAGAAAAATATTCAAACTACCATGCTGTAAACAACACAGTGAACTTGTTTATTCCTATATGCAAGATATTTCCCAATATAAAACTTTTCAGAAATCCTAGACATTATATCCAAGCTTACTTGATATCATAATAATCTTCTTTTTTCCCCCCAATTTTGATTTTGAAGGGGATAGAGGGGCTGAAAATAAATTTCTTTTGAAATTACATCTGAACACTGTTCCGGAACCTCAGGCAAAGTTGACCTTAAATGGATTTGACTATTATTCTAAGGTCCTTTTTGATCATAAAGCTCTTTTACTGTTTCGACTCTTATACATCCTGGCTGTCAAATTGTTGGCTTTGAACATTCCTGATGAAGGTAAATCCAGAAAAGCGCTTTAGATGCATGAAATTTATAACGTGTTGTTTCCATCTTTTAGAATACTTCCAAAGACAAAGATATAATCAACTTATTTTGAACTTAACCATGCACTTACTGTAATATGCTAAAAAATTGTAAAACCACAATAAAAACCAATTTAAACCTACCTCCCATGTTCTGTCATCAACAAAGATTTCACTTTTGGCAATATCAATCCTGTTCCAGGCTAATGCCAACTTCAACTGGTCATAAACTTGGTCTTTGTTGGCTAAAAGTAGAAAAGCATGAAATAAATATATATCACAGTGGTAAGAACTTAACATAAAAAACTTTTAGTTGCCTGTAAATCTGTATATACAGGTATTTTGTACAAAAATTCTGATTTTCCCTAGTGCATGACTTCATTTGATTTTAATATATAATGAAAAACAAGACAGGTACCACTAGTCAAGCATATTTGACAGTAAAATGCAAATGTTGAAATTATAAAAGTAATACTTTAGCATGTAAGTTATGCAAAATATTCAAAGTCAATGAACCATGACTGAAGGTGCAGGGCCATGGAAATGAGATGTGCAATGCTATTACAACTGCATACCAAATATCATTGACCTACCACTAGTGCTTCCCCATAAACTGAACTAATCACAAACTAATACATGTAAACTAAGCAAAAAGTTTCAAAGTCACTAGACTATGACTGAGGGGACCGGGCCAAATATCTCCATAGAAATGAGATATGCCAATGCTAATACAATTACATACCAAACATCATTGACCTACCACTAGTAGTTCCCCATAAACTCACCTAATCACAAACTAATACATGATAACAAAGCAAAAGTTTCAAAGTCAAAAGACCATGACTGAGGGGGCAGGGCCAAATAATCTCCATGGAAATGAGATGTGCCAATGCTTATACAACTGCATACCAAATATCCTTGACCTACCACTAGTGGTTCCCAATAAAATTACCTAATCACAAATTAATACATTGTACATTGTGTTGACGACTCCGCCGCTGCTGACACAGAAGCCTGAAACAGCATACCTATGTCTCACATTTTGACTTCGTCAAGGCAAGATAAAAACTATTGTTTATATTTTTGTTTATTGCTTTTTATCCACTGTGCTATACAATTTTTGTTGATGCCCCTCGTTAGTTTCTTTATATTTCTTATATTGTAGTGTCTGATGAGTGAAAATAAACAAGAGTGCTTTAATTTCTAAATTGCTTTACTGACTATGACAGAATCTAACGTTAAACGTCTTTGAGACAAGGTCTTACCAATAAAATAATTTAACACAGCAAATACAGTTAAAACTAGATATCATTGAGATGGGAGCTATCTCTGTGGGCCCCGCTGTGAATAATGTGTGGAAAAAAATTTGTATCTTTATCATTGGACATGGTGTTGTCAACTGAAACCAAAGTTTTTGACCTTGACCTTTGACCTAGGAAGTTGTACATAAATTATGACACACCCTCTGGTGTTGGTTTATATACATATCAAGTATAAACTTTGAAATCATAACGGTTCTCAAGATATAGAGCGGACATGATCTTTACCATAGGACATGGGGGTTGTCAACTAAAACCAAAGTTTTTGACCTTGACCTATGACCTAGGAAGTTGTACATAATGACACACCCTCTGGTTTTGGTAAATATACATGTCAAGTATAAACTTTGAAATCATAACGGTTCTCTAGATATAGAACAGACACAATTTGTTACAGACAGACGGACGGAAGGATGGACAGACTGATCACTATAGGGCGTCCGCCATTCGGCTGGGCCTTATTAAAACTTATAGTATATCTTTTTTGTTATTTTGATAGTAAAATGCAAATGTTGAAATTTTTCAAAGTCCAGCATACATATGTCTCGCTTTTTGACTCCATCAAGGGGAGACAAAAAACAAGGACACGCACATGCATTTTTTTCTACTTTTTATGTTCTGTTAATTATATACTTTCATTTTATAAGTTTTTTAAAAAGCTTGTCATTTTTATACAGAGGAGCGAACATCCTTAAACATATAATGCAGCTATTAATTATGATTGAATATTTTCAAAAGAGGTTACCTTTGAGCAATGCCTTTAATATTGCATAGTCTATATCCTTAGATGCCTGGTTTGTGGATGAAGGACTTAAGTTGAATACTGTTACCAAGTCTCTATTCACCAGACTTTCTTTTACCATCTGCCAGTTTTTAACTAAATTTTTGTCACCAAATACATCCTTTATCATGTCTATTATTTTAGCTTCTTGTGTACTGTCAAACTCTGTCTCTGATCTATAAATAAGAAAAGATACATGTATATTAAATATCAATATGACGGTAACATCATCCTCATAAATAAGTATATCTGCAATTTTTTTTTTTGGTTGGTGCTTTTTTGGAGCAGAAAAGAAACCTAATTTATGTTAATACAAGCAAAATATAACACTGAAATCACTGATAGCAGACATCTTGAGTTTGAAGCGTAGTGATAACTTTTGATCTTGTAGAGGTTGAAGGCATCACGGTGACTTTAGGATGAAGAATAGCAATAAAACGGCCTTTCCTATGCTTTGGTTTTCAAGTGGGGTGTGTGGTGATTTTCTGCCATGAATTAATACAGCAGAACAACCATATATATGAGCACCAAAGTGGTGAGAATGGATTAGATATTTTATATATTAACTCTAACTTCCACACATTCTTCAGCTTTAAGAGATTTAACGCCTTTTACCTCCATGTTTTCTTGCCATATTTATCAACATATTCTTTTTCACTTTCTTTTGAAAACTCATAAGCTGCAGCTAATATGTCAGCAGCTCTTCCAGAACCCTGAAAAAGACAAGACTTATTTTAATTCCTACATCTTGTTAAATTACCAGAGATGAAAGATCTACACCATATCTAAATTCAATGATTAATCTGTGTTGCCTCTATACTGAATAAGTCTGCAGACAAACATAAATTTAATATTAGCCATGCTGATTTCCTTGAGAAATTTACTGGAAAATAGGTACAAAAAAGTGGCATAACCAAATACATCAGTGAATTGCCAGGAGTGATATCAAAAAATCAAAAACTTAGTATTTTAGGTTGCTAGAATATCAATTATGGATTTTTAATTTATTACCAGGTATACTGCAAAACTCCTTCATGTTAAAAACTTAAAAGTTTAAATTCTTATCAATTGGGTTTGTTTTGTTTTTTTTGGTGGACAGTTGTCTCTTGGAAAAATTTTATTTTTCGCGGATATTCAATTTTTCCGGTTTGGCCAAAGTCTGCATACCAGCTTATAGTACTTGTTGAATATTAAAATTTTTGGTTCTCCTTTACCAAAGAAATCCATGAAAATTGGTTTTCAACAAATAATATTATTATACTTCACGATAAAATGCCAGATTTTGATTGGCCCAATACAAGGGAGACAATTTACTCTATCCCATGGCTGAGCGGGAGACAATTTTTTTGAATGTCACCCTCTTGTCCAGACCAATCAAAAATCGATAATTTGAAAATAAAAAAATAAAACATCTGGCTTAACTTCTGTTGTTTTTTTCTAATACCCGTAACGTTGTTATGTACGTGAGGTCATAGAAAATACTTTTATATAAAATTCATCTGTAAAAGAAAATAATGATAGGACATTTAGTATAATAAATTAAATAACACATAGCTGAGAGGGTGATAGAGCAGATTGGTACCCCTCGAAAAAGCATTGTCAACCTTGGCTTCGCCGCGGATGACAATGTTTTCTCGGGGTAACAATCTGCTCTATCACCCCTCTTTAATGAATGATAATTTCCAGATATTTCTCAAAAGCAAAAAAAAATTATATCAACTAGGAACCATTAAATCCATTGTATGTTCCTGTTGTCAAAGGAAATAAATCTTTATTATTTATAAAAAAAAGTCATGTAGTGAAAGTTGACCTCAATATGTATCTTATGGTTCATATTAAACTGCTGACACAGAGATATGTCTCGCCTGTATGTAATTTTGATAGTATACAGTAATGCAAATATTGAAATTAAAATGGCCATCTAACATGCAAACTATGCAAAATATTCAAAGTCGATCATGCTGACTGAAAAAGAGGGACGAAAGATATCAGAGGGACAGTCAAACTCACAGATCGAAAACAAACTGGCAATGCCATGGCCAAAAATAAAAGACTAACAGACAAATAATAGTACAGATGACACAACATAGAAAACTAAAGACTAAGCAACACGAACCCCACCAAAAACTGGGGGTGATCTCAGGTGCTCAAGAAGGGTAAGCAGATCCTGCTCCACATGTGGCACCTGTCGTGTTGCTTATGTTATTACAAATCCGGTAAATAGCCTAATTCGGTAGGTCACATTCGTGAAAAGGGAAGGGTATTGAAGTTACGACATAAGGAACATATCCGATATCATCTGTGAAACGGTTATTCCACAACGGTCAACCAACTCGTGATGGCGTCCGTAAAATTTACAAAGGAATGATTTCAACTTCACCATTTGGAACTCTTGGTTTAATAGCTTCCTTGTGAGCAGCAATCCTCTATCAAGGAAATCATGATAGGAAATACAAGCCCGAGAATATCCTATCAACTGGGAGATATATATTCTCCGTAGGTGAAGGTGAAGGTGTGCGGCAAAATAAACTCAGTTGAACAGAAAAATTCCAAAGCTAATACAACTGCAAACCAAGTACCATTGACTTCTCATAAGTTGTTGACCTTCAACTTTTAAACCTGTAAAGTTTGCAAAAATTTAGGTCAATAAACTATGACTGAGGTAGCAGGGCCATATAATCTCAATGGAAATGACACTTGCAAATGATAATACAACTGCATACCAAATACAAGAGTGCACACGCTGAAATGTCTCGCCTTCTTTACTAATCACTGATATTATGTTGATAGTCCTAAATATAAAGCTTTATTACAACTGTCACATAAACTTAACATTAACCAAGAAAACTAAACATTGACCAATGAACCATGAAAATGAGGTCAAGGTCAGATGAACCATGCCAGGCAGGCATGTACAGCTAACAATTCTTCCATACAACAAATATAGTTGACCTATTGCTTATAGTTTAAGAAAAACAGACCAAAACACAAAACTTAAAACTGAGCAATGAACTGTGAAAATGAGGTCAAGGTCAAATAAAACATGTGCGACTGACATATAGATCATAAAATATTTCCATACACCAAATATAGTTGACCTATTGCATATAGTATTAGAAAAAAAAGACCAAAACTCAAAATCTTAACTTTGACCACTGAACCATGAAAATGAGGTCAAGGTCAAATGACACCTGCCAGCTAGACATGTACACCTTACAATCATTCCATACACCAAATATAGTGGACCTATTGCATACAGTATAAGAAAAACAGACCAAAACACAAAAACTTAACTATAACCACTGAACCATGAAAATGAGGTCAAGGTTAGATGACACCTGCCAGTTGGACATGTACACCTTACAGTCCTTCCATACACCGAATATACTTGACCTATTGCTTATAGTATCTGAGATATGGACTTGACCACGAAAACTTAACCTTGTTCACTGATCCATGAAATGAGGTCGAGGTCAAGTGAAAACTGTCTGACGGGCATGAGGACCTTGCAAGGTACGCACATACCAAATATAGTTATCCTACTCCTTATAATAAGAGAGAATTTAACATTACAAAAAATGTTAACTTTTTTTTCAAGTAGTCACTGAACCATGAAAATGAGGTCAAGGACATTGGACATGTGACTGACAGAAACTTCGTAACATGAGGCATCCATATACAAAGTATGAAGCATCCAGGTCTTCCACCTTCTAAAATATAAAGCTTTTAAGAAGTTAGCTAACGCCGCCGCCGCTGGATCACTATCCCTATGTCGAGCTTTCTGCGACAAAAGTCGCAGGCTCGACAATAATTGACTAACCATAAGAAGTTGCCTTAAACTGACTTAATCAGTTAACTATGCAAAAGTTTCAAATTATTGCCATGGAAATAAGATGTGCCAATGTTTATACAAATGCCTGCAGATAATCATGGGCCTACCAATAGTGGTTTTCCTTAAACTGACCTTATCACAAACTGATTTGTTTGATGCCACAGGAAACAATACACCTAAGTCTTCCCTTCAAATTTTCATTTAGGCGAAACAATAATCCTTTTCATTTTTAGTAAAACTAAATTTAAATTTAGCATAAAAATGTTAATATAGAAATAAGTAGGTTTACCTGGACTATTATAATAGGAATATTATTAAGAATGGACTGATGAACAGTTTCTAAAGTCCCTGGACCTCCTTCAGCAACCAGACAACAAACTGGTACCTTCACAGCATCTGAAAATAAACAAATTAAAGCTTGCTATCATCAGTTTTAAATCTACTGCATTGAAAACAAGTGAAACTGCGAGCTACTGCTCACTGATGATACCCCCGCCCAAATATAATTTTAATAGTGTAAAAATCTGTAAGTGTTTGGTAAACAGGAAGTTGTTGATTGATGAATCTGAAAACGCATCACACAGTATAGCTGACTTATATAAACCCTGAAACCAAATTTCAGAAATCCTTATGATGTAGTTCCTGAGAAAGATGAGATGTAAAATATGCATGGGACGGATGGATGGACTGGCGGATGGACAGATCAGACAGACAGAGGTAAAACAGTATACCCCTACTTTTTTAAAGCTGGGTATAATTAAGAAATAATTCATGGAAGCCATAGATTTGTTGGAAATTTACACATGGCCCAGGTCATGTGTAAATTTACAACAAATCTATAGCTTCCGTGAATTATTTCGATTCTTATAGGACAAATACTATCATTTAAAAAACTGAAGTGAGGGTGGGTATGCCGTGTGTGGGGCTGTTCTGTTTTACCCCGTTAGATAAAGCTAAAAAATTCCAACAAAACTATAGCTTGCATGAATTATTTCTTAAATAATCGCTAGAAAAAATGTGTTTGATTCTTTTAATTCTTAACCCGTACATTTACCATTTTTAATTTACATTTTTTCTAGTAAGCTACCGTCAAATCCACATGGTTGACATTTCATAACTAAGGAGCCGCCATGTTGACCTGCTGAAATCAGTAAATGTGCAAATAATGCAACAGAATAGAAAATAAAACAACACCTACATCAAAACTCCATTTTAATGCAATTTTATTCGAATTTGGAGGTTCACGCAACGGAAAAACCTTCAGCTTTGGCGTTTTCATTTGTATGACATTATGTTTTGAAATGACTTTAATGCGCCAAAAGCATTAATGGAATTTCACAGAATTTTATTTTATTTTGATTTTGTACAGTTTCCGAGCTCTAATGCATTAATTCTTTTTATTATGCATCAGAATAAGAATAAAGGTTCTGCAGTTTTTTTTTCAAATGCAATTTTTAACACAGCAAAATCGGAATAGCATTTGCACCTGGGACTATTATGCTAATCCCAGTTTGCACATAGGTTACGATACATGTGGATTTACGCAGGAGGTATATTGTAACAGCCATTGTTATGTTCATCTCTGAGTCTGTGCTAAGTATAGATATATCGAAAATTTTATCATGGTGTTGTCTACAAAGCGAAAGAAGCACATCATATTAAAATTGTTGATATCTATATATTGTAAATTTAGAAATTTTTCAAGGTTTTTATTAATGCCAATAATGCAACTTTGGTGAGTATCCCAATAATAAGAACTCGCAATCTGACATAGGATACATTATCAGTAAGCAGATTTTAAAGAAATCGCAATAATCAATCTTGCATTTTTGTTCGTTCTTCAAACATTGCATTAATAGATGCACGCAATAATTTCTGAATTTACAGTAAATGATTTTAATGAATCTTATCCACTGTAACTCTCTTCTTTGTAGCTGTGTTGTACTTGTTGGATTTTGTTTTTGATAAACTATATTGCCATAACCTTTTCTTGTAAATGTGTTAGTGCTAATAAAATATTTCTGTCTTATGCCACATTAAAATTTATTATTAATCTTGAATAATGGAGCAATGTTGATACATAGTGGAGAAATATTTTTTAACTCAATGATAAATACAATTAAATTTTCCAAAGAAAAAAATTCACTTGATCTGACCTTTGCCAGTGTCAGTTGTCATGTTGGCCACAGCATTCTCAAGCTTAGCTCTGAATGGAATTTCTACAGCAAATGAATGTTCTGTTCCATTATCTACCAGTATAAAATGGGTATGGTTAGGATCAAGGTATGCCTCCTTCCTAACTTTGATCTTCTCTGTCCCTATTCTGTATTGTGCAGGATAAAGTCCATTACCCTGTAATTTACTTGAACAATTAGTGTTTATTATAGACTTATTAACTTTGATTTCTGTTGTTAATGTTTTACCTTTTGGTTATACTTCTTCACCACGTGAAATATGAAGGACACAATCAATGTCAAACAAAAAGCTTGAACCACATACTGTAATCTGTGTTAACCAGAATAATAGTATAAGCTTTAAAGCGCCCCTCCTTCTTCTGACCACTTGATAACTGCTAATTTGCCTCACAGAATGAGATTTGTCACCAGAGTTGTACTTGCCATGAGCAAAATGACAAGAGGAAGTGTTTATCCTTACAGAGCATCCAACTTCATTCCCAATTCTGATAAGGGTTCATGTTGCTCAATCTTTGTTTTCAGTGAAGTGGTTCCATGTTGCTCAATCTAAGTTTTCAGTGAAGTGGTTCCATGTTGCTCAATCTTAGTTTTCAGTGAAGTGGTTCCATGTTGCTCAATCTTAGTTTTCAGTGAAGTGGTTCCATGTTGCTCAATCTAAGTTTTCAGTGAAGTGGTTCCATGTTGCTCAATCTTAGTTTTCAGTGAAGTGGTTCCATGTTGATCAATCTTAGTTTTCAGTGAAGTGGTTCCATGTTGCTCAATCTTAGTTTTCAGTGCATGAAGTGGTTCCATGTTGCTCAATCTAAGTTTTCAGTGAAATGGTTATATGTTGCTCGATGTTATTTTTCAGTGAAGTGATTCAAATGTTTTTGGTCTTTTCTTATTGCTACAGTGTTTTCTATTTTACAACTAATTTTTTTTTATTTCCCCCTTGGTATCTTCTAAAATAATAGGCACACACAGCCTGTTTTCTGTGTTTTTTTACTGCATGATGACATCAAATGTTGTTACCTTCAGCAAACTACAGGCAGTTACTGTGTATTCATTATTATACATGGGATACCAATTCTCCAGGATTCTAAGGGTATAGGTGATTTTTTTTCTGTAAGCTTGTTTTAGCAAAACTATGAAATTGCAATTTCCCCTCAATCCATAAAAATTGGTACACACATTAATAATTGAATCCACAGTGTTTAAACAATGTATTTAATAGCAAAGATTAACAAATATACAATTCAAAGTGAATTTTCAAAAGTAAATTTTCTTAGACCAGTTGAAATTATAATCTGTTTGTTCTGATGTCAGTGTAAGATCTATAAGAACACTATACAAAAGCTTACATCTCGACTGATTAAATCTTTCTTTTTATGTATACATCCCCAAGTTGCAACACCTATAGCAACAACTGGTGCCCCTGTGGTAGATGTGAGACCATAATCTCTTACAGCCTCTCCTACATGTTTCATGACACCAGTATTAGTTCCTCCTGTCACAATCCATGCACCTTGAGATAAGCAAGAAAATGGCTTGTTAGTTCATCATTTTTACAGTATTCTTTTTTTTCATTTCTTTCCATTATGACTTTTATACATCAAATCTTAAGCTCAAAACTGAAAATCATTTTTTAATGTAATCATTCTAGAAAACAAATATACACCAAAACTTAATTTACAAATATAGCTTGCCCATCTATTGTGTGGCTTTACAAAGATAATGGTGGTATTATAAAGTCAAATGGAATTACAAACATCAAAATATGTAACAACTCGATATTGAAAGGTTGCGAAAAAAAACAACAAGGATGTTTAAACTGTAATCAACTGTATCTTCCAAAAGAGAGAATGGAGAATATTAAGTATACTATTCACTGGCGTCAAAAACTTATTTATCAATATATCATTTGTAACATGCTAATAGAGGTATCAAGACTTTGAACTAACTTAATACTTTATCACTTAATGAGAATTTTGCAGTATTAATACATAAATACATAATTGAAATAAACATAAGCTGCCACTTTTTGACATTAAGAATGTCTTTTATTGAAATAAGAAGACCCGTAACTTTATTTTTATGTTGGTTTAGATACCTATGTGGAAAAAAACCTAGGACAGAAAACTTAGTGACAGCTTTCAAATTCCCCATCTAGAAAGAGACTGAGAGCAATAAAATGTTTTGTCTGTTCTACCTGTACTTCTGGCAGCTTTCATAAGACCAAATCGGAAAGCCTGTTTCAGTTTAGTCTTCATATTGAAGAAGTTAGCTCCGCCTGTTACGGATATCAGAAGATTTGGTTTCTGTAAACCCCATACATTCATCATCAGTTGTTCCATCTTTTCCATGCTTGTATTCACATCAACTCTAACAAACTGAAATTATATAAGGTTCTTTGGAAAGAAAAGGTACAAATCAACAGAAATTGCAAAATTAAAAGCATAAATTGTGTTGAAGTTTAATGTGTTAGTTGAATCTAAATATGTTCAAAAATAACATTTGATATTATGCCTTATAACCATATCCAAATTAACTGCTAGTTCAGTTCTTAACTAATTTTTAAAAATCTATGTAGTTTTTTATGCCCCTACTGTCACTGGAGGGGGCATTAAGTTTTACCCTAGTCGGTCCGTACATCCGTCCGTACCGACGTCCAAAAATTGGTTTCCATTCTCTAACTTAAGTTTTCCTCAACCAAATGTTATGAAACTTATACAGATTGCTTATTACCACAAAATACAGATCAATTTAGAATTTGGGTGACGTCACTTTTGCTGTTCTTGAGTTATGCCCCTTTTAACGTTATATGCAAGCAGGGGCATCATCTTTGTCCCATGGACACATTCTCCATTTATTTATAGATGTATTTAGTTATTTCAGAATTGAAGCTGTTTGCAAATATATAAAGGTTATGCCCCCATCAAACAATTACCCAAATGCATAAACCATTCAGCACACAATAATGTAAAATTCGAACTAGAAATTGTTGTGTCTGCAATATGCATGATATCTCTGCAATGCACATTTGTAAAATCAAAGCAATCACCTAAGATTTCAACAATTTGCTTCAATAAATATTTGAAACTGCAAGTATTCTAACCATAAAGGGATAATAAAAACTAATGAAGGCAATATCATACTGGAAAGATAAGTAATAACTAACTGTTTTATCCTTATTTCTAAATTTTCAAATACCTTCCTTTCATTGTCTCCATGACCTATGAACTCTATTTCTCCAAATGTATTGGTTGGTGAAGTTGTTGTATTTTTGTCTACACTCCACTCATTATCATGGCTGAATTTTAAGGGTAACATATGATCTACCTTCTTGTAGCCACATTCACATAGGCAGTCATTGGTGAGGGTTCTGTAAAATATCAATCATTTCTACATTTATATGTAACTATAATACCATTTAAAAACTATATAAAAACTTTTTACATTAAATCAATGGTTTGTATTTTTCACAGAAGCAACCGAGAACCTTTTAGCATGTCTAAATTCATATGTCATACGATTCTGACAATCTGATTAAGAAATGTCAGAATTTCTTTTGATTTTGTTGAAATCTTCCAACGTCATCTAAAACGTCCACAAAAAAATTTAGAGGCTGAAATCAAGCTACTGGCATGAAATAATAATTGTCCTGGTTTGACTTTACCATTTCCAAGTTATCAGTTTCAGTCAAAATTATAATTGTTAACAAAAACACAATGGACACAATTTTCTTCAAAATCAACATGTATATTTAATTTGGCTTGACTAAAGTGAATGTATCTAGCATCTGATGAATGAAAATGTACTTCTAAATGAAGTGTAAAATATAGGTCAGCCCAGGTGACACATTTTTGTGGAATACTGCTATATTTCTCTACATCCATCTATCAGCAAAAGTTATGATTGTCGTCCACTAATATTTGTGATATAAAACCAATCTTTATTATTTTTAAATATGCCAAGTTTTCAATTGTAGATATCTTAATATTTGAGACATAAAACTTATAAAAAGTCAGTAAATCGCAGAATATAGGCTATTGACCTTCATTTTGTAAGATGCCTGGCGAACTCCCCTACCTGCTGTCTAACACGAAGTAGTTATATTACTGCAGGTCACTTATTTTTTGAGATGGGAAGTTAGATACAAAATTTAATATAAGTCTCTAAACCATTAAATGTTATAAGATGCTGCTATACTCTCCAACACACATCCATACATTCATTGATATGACTGTTGGTCACATAGTATCAGAGATCTGATCCAGAATGTAAAACCTTAATATAGGTCAGTAACGTGTAAGTCAATATAGCAGGGAAAGTAGCCTACTTTTGATTAGAAGCTGTTATACTCCCCAAGACGCATTAATGGTAGGTAATATGGTTTAGGCCACTCAGTATCTGATTTATACTGAACTCATATGTTAACTAAGATGTAAAACTTAGTCACTGAATCAACCATTTTTTTAGAATTGGCTTGTGGATTGCTTGCAGTTGAAGACATCAAGAGTACTCCAAAAGGCATCCTTAACTAAAATTCAGTTAAATGGGAGATAACTGTCTTTATTTGATCCTTTGTTTAACAAGATACATGTAGTATTTATCATATCTATTAGCTAAGTACAACTATGTAGTAAGAATCAGGAATACAGATGTTCTGTTTACCATGCATATATGCCATTCAAAAATTTTAAATATCTATATACATAGAATGGCATCTTGAGAAAATTATTAAACGCAGAAAGAAATGAAAATGACTATTTTAGTTCAAATTGGATGTACACATTAATTATAAACTAGAGGCTCTCAAGAGCCTGTGTCGCTCACCTGTATTTACTGATGCTTTGGAAATCATGTAAAATAAGGTTAAAATCATAATTAATAGTATTAGATATTAGATATTATAATGATATCTAAGATAATAACAAAAAACTGCAAATTTTTTGTAAAATTACTAACTCAGGGGCAGCAACCCAACAACAGGTTATCGGATTCGTCTGAAAATTTCAGGGCAGATAAATCTAAATCTGATGAACATTTTTGCCACCTGTCAAATTTGCCCTTAATGCTTTAGTTTCAGAGATATAAACCAAAAACTGCATTTCACCCCTATGTTCTATTTTTAACCAAGTCGGCCATGATGGTTGGAAGGCGGGGTCATCGGACAAATTTTTTAAACTAGATACCCTAATAATGATTATGGCCAAGTATGGTTAAATTTGTCTAAGTAGTTTCAGAGAAGAAGATTTTTGTAAAAGATTACTAAAATTTACAAAAAATTGTTAAAAATTGTCTATTAAGGGCTATAACTCCTAAAGGGGTCGACTGACAATTTTGATCATGACAACTTATTTGTAGGTCTTACTTTGCTGAAAATTATTGCTGTTTACATTTATCTCTATTTACAAAATGTATAATAATATTCAAGATAATAAACAAAAACTGCAAAATTTCCTTAAAATTACCAATTCAGGGGCAGCAACCCATCAACAGGTTGTCAGATTTGTCCGAAAATTTCAGGGCAGATAGATCTTGACCTGATAATCAGTTTTACCCATGTCAGATTTACTCTAAATGCTTTGGTTTCAGAGATATAAGCCAAAATCTACATTTTACCCCTATGTTCTATTTTTAGCCATGGCGGCCATCTTGGTTGGTTGGCGGGGTCATCGGACACATTTTTTAAACTAGATACCCTAATGATGATTGTGGCCAAGTTTGGTTAAATTTGGCTCAGTGGTTTCAGAGGAGAAGATTTTTGTAAAAAGCTAACGACGACAGACGACGGACGACGGACGCCAAGTGATGAGAAAAGCTCACTTGGCCCTTCAGGCCAGGTGAGCTAAAAAACAAAAACCATCGCCTTTGTATTTTTTCACCCATGAAAAGTATCAAGGATATATACAAAACTTGCAATAACTATCATATGCGTGCATTCAATGCATCTCACCGGGCTACAGAATTGAATTTCAGCAAATTCCACTTTCCATATATTCTAATTATATAGCTAAATGTCTAATTCATTTATTAAAGCAATAACTTACAAGGAATACTATACAGATATTAAACAATAACACTATAGATACTGTAAACCAACTTATTTTTGCGGAAACTTTATTTTCGTGTTTCTAGCTGAATTTGTGGCAATGAATTTTACTTATTTTCTATTTGCTTGATGTATTTATATAAGAGATGATTGAAGTATTACATATTCACAATGTTTTATATTCACATTCTTTTTCATCTTAGAGATAGTCATGAAAATAAATCTTTCACAAAAATTTTGTTGGTTTACAGTAATTAAATGAACAAAATTGGTTTTAACAAATGAAAGAATCATGTGTTTTCCAGTTTACATATTTATAAAGCCAACCCAAAAACTGAATTAACAGAACTTATATAGACAAAAACATATATGTGACCTCTTTCATGCATAAACCCTATAGGATAAGCTTTTACTGAAACTTAAGTGAGTGCTACCAATAAGCCTAGTATTGATACATATTACAGCTCAATATAGATACATTTTTTTTTTAATTCCAACCCTATGTGTTACTATGGGGTACTGCAGCAAAGAGGTACAATAAGATTCATGTCTAAAAGTAAATAAAAAGAGTTCTGACAGATAAGTTGTACATGCACAACCTATATAAATTTGGAATATTATATGAGCATTCCTTCAGTAAATCCAATCAATCATAAACTAGCAAGAAGTAGATGAAAGCATATTTTACACACTAAGTATGCAACAATAATCAAAGCATTACAGTGACATGGTTGAATGGTAGGCATTCAAGAATATAGATTTACCAACCACATTAATGGATTTTGATTTCTAAAATTCCAGTAAGAAAGCTAAACAAATTAGATTGACTGAGTTACATGTGTGATGTATTTTTAAAAAATAACTGCATTGAAGAATTTGCGTTCACTGTTTCATTAAACATACATGTATAATTTCAATGTCAGAGATGGTTTGTTAAGTGTCAGTAACTTGTTTTAATGTCAAGGAATAGTAAATGGGCTATTTCACAGATTTTGGTAAAATTTGGCAAACAACTTTGGTTCGCTAAATTATATCAGAAAATCAAAAAAAATAATGCCTTTATCTTTTTTTTTTCTGAAATATTACTATTCAATTCTTTGAAATAGGTGAACATTTATATAGAAAGCACATAAAAATCGGCAAATGTTCATAAATTTTTATTAAAATCATCAAATCTCCAATTTCAAATCCATAGATTTTTCTTAAATAACTATATGTTGCTGATACATAAATTTCCTTTTTAATGATATAAAATAATCATATGATCACCTACTTTGTTTTTGGTGTATTAACCCATTTGTCACCTTTTTAGAAGTGAAAAACATCAAAAATCTACTTTTTCGCCTACAATGGGATGAGGTTACAATTACTTCAACTTTTTGTGGTATTTTTTCACCTAGTACACCACTTTCAAGTTTGAATGATGTATACCATTAAATTCAGTGACCCAATTATTATTTTACATCATTAAAATGGAAATTTTTGTACCAACAACATATAGTTTTTTAAGAAAAATCTATGGATTGAAAATAGGAAATTTGATGATTTTAAATCAAATTTAATAATGTTTTTCGGCCGTTCTATCTGCCTTTATACAAATGTTCACCTATTTTGAAAGAATTCGGTCGGTAATATTCCAGAAAATAAAAGAGATAAATGCGTTATCTTAGATTTTCAGTTAAAGTTCAAGGAGCCAAAATCTGTGACATAACCCATTCAATGTAACTTGATCTTGAATGACAAATAGGGTTTAACAAGTTTTACTCCTGTATAAATGTTTTTTTTAAATTGTATAATATGGCTAGTTAAAGATTTTCTTAATATTATTTTCTGAAAAAGCAGTTTGAGAAATTTTAAACCATGGTTAAGATTTCTGAAGAAAAATTACTTCAAATAACTTTTTTTCTCAATCACAAATGAAGAAAACTCTTTTATATTACCAACATCTCATATAGAATTTTTTAAATGAGTTGTGAGTTTCACTGGTTTATTGTTTATCTTCAAAAAATTAATGTGGAAAGACTTCCCTTTGAACACCCTTCTGTTGATGGAATAAGCATAGACATACTTGAGGGGGTTCAAAAGGAAGTCTTGCCTAAAATGATAAAAGATTTTATTTAGAAGTGGATAAATCTTGTTATCGCCAAAAAAAAGCCTCTCGTGTGGTTTCAAAAATCTTACCTCCCATCAATTTGTCTGCCCTGAGGTTTAACTGGAGGAAGTGTCCTTTATAAATTAATTTATCAAACATTGAATTAATTTGTATCTATTGTAAAGTTTGTTGTTTTACAATTAAAATATCTAACTACAAAAAAAAAATGATAATTCAATACTTACTTTAGACAAGAATATACATTAAATAAACTGTTAACACAGAGATATGTCTCGCCTTTTTGTACATTTGATAAGGCAAATGTTGAAATTAAAATAGCAATACTTTAACATGTAAGTTATGCAAATATTCAAAGTCAAAGAACATACTGAAGGTACATGGCAAAACAATCTCCATGGAAATGAGATGTGCCAATGCTAATACAACTGTATTCCAAATACCATAGACTCATCATAAGTCGTTCCCTTTCAACAAACCTAAACACAAACATTGCCTTGTAAACTATGTAAAAGTTTCAAAGTCAATGAACGATGATGAGGGGTTGGGGCTATATAATCCATGGAAACGAGACTTGCAAATGCCAATATATTTGCATACCAAATATCATTGACTTAACATTAGCGGTTCATCTTAAACTGATGTAATCACAAACTAATACATGTAAACTAAGCAAAAGTTTCAAAGTCAATCGACCATGACTGAGGGGGCTGGACCAAATATTCTCCATGGAAATGAGATGTGCTAATGCTTATACAACTGCATACCAATTATCATTGACCTACCACTAAAGGTTCCCCTTGAACTGACCTAATCACAAACTAATACATGAAAACAAAGCAAAAGTTTCAAAGTCAATAGACCTTGACTGAGGGGGCGGGGCCAAATAATCTCCATTGTAATGAGATGTGCCAATGCTAATACAACTGCATACCAAATATCATTGACCTACCACTTGTGGTTCACCATGAACTAGACCTAATCACAAACTAATACATTGTTGATGCCGCCGCCGACGTCGCCGCCGCCACTGCCGACAACAGTATACCTATGTCTTGCTTTTTGACTCCGTCAAGGCGAGACAAAAATGGGATGTTCTACCAGTTGAAAATACAACAACAACAAAAAACAAGCATAACATAAAAGACAAATTTCTGTTTTTAGAAATCACATGGTTCCTTTATCATGTTTCTAATGAAGATAGTTAACAAGAGTGCACATGATAGAATATCTCACCTCTTTCATCAATCATGATTGAAATTATGGTGAAAGTCTTGCAAGTATAACATAAAATTAATATTCTCTTATGGTTGTGGCCTGTTATCTATTTCTTGCACGAAGAGATATTTCTCATATCAAATTGCACAGACTGTGACACGTAAAAGTAATACAAAAGTGTATTAATTTGATTGGCTTACACAGTATCATGAGATGATATTACAACATTTACACTGGCCATTCTTTAGGTCATTGATGACTTTCCAAGGTAACAACAATGTACAGTTTGTCCATGGCAATGGACATATGTGATTTTTTTAATAATATACAAAATACACTTTTCACCATAAAATTTTCTTTTCATCAAATTTTATTACATTCTGAAGCGTACAGAAAGTTTTAAAATGTCTGATGTTAAAAGTTTTGCCGGAACAGGACATATGACATCATACTGGTATTTGTAAAAGACTAGATCAACAGTTCACTGAATTTTTTGATTAACACAATGAAAGCATAAGACCATAAGAGAAATAGGTTTAACAACTCGTGGGAAATGAATATCACTTGATATCAACTCTCGTTATTTCATAGACTCATCTATTATTATATTGAAATTAAATAACTCAAGTTGATATCAAGAGATATCCAATTCTCAATCATTATGAAACCTATAAATATCATTGATTCATGTTTACAAATGAGGTCAATTTACATTTACACTTCACAATTATTCCATATGACAAATGGTTAACATATTGCTTATAGTATCTGAGAAACAGACTTTACTTAAACCAATTAACCATTAAAATGAAGTTAAGGTCAGATTAAACCTGCCAGACAAAAATGTACACTGTACATTCATTCCATACACCAAAATCAATATATTTTTTTGTCTAAGTGCCTAACAGTTAAGATCTTTTGTCTAAGTGCCTGACAGTTTAGATCTTTCTTCTAATAAGTATCTGACAGTTTAGATCTTTTGTCTTAGTGCCTGACAGTTTAGAGCTTTTGTCTAAGTGCCTGACAGTTTAAATCTTTGGTTAAAGTGCCTGACAGTTGAAATCTTTTGTCTTAGTGTCTGACAGTTAAGATCTTTCATCTTAGTGCCTGACAGTTTAGATCTTTAATCTAAATGTCTGACAATTTTGATCTTTCATATAAGTGCAGACATTTTAGATCTTTCATCCAAGTGCCTGACAGTTAAGATCTTTCATCTTAGTGCGTGACAGTTTAGATCTTTTGTCTAAGTGCCTGACAGTTTAAATCTTTGGTTTTAGTGCCTGACAGTGTAGATCTTTCTTCTCAGTGCCTGACAATTTGGATCTTTTTTCTTAGTGTCTGGCAGTTTAGATCTTTTGTCTAAGTGTCTGATAATTAAGATCTTTCATCTTAGTGCCTGACAGTGTAGATCTTTCATCTAAGTGCCTGACAGTCTAGATCTTTCGTCTTAGTGTCTGACAATTTAGATCTTTCATCTAAGTGCTTGACAGTTTAGATCTTTCGCCTTAGTGCCTGACAGTTTTGATTTTTGTCTTAGTGACTGACAGTTTAGATCTTTGGTCTAAGTGCCTGACAGTTTAAATCTTTGGTCTAAGTGCCTGACAGTGTAGATCTTTCTTCTAAGTGCCTGACAGTTTGGATCTCACCTCTTAGTGTCTGACAGTTAAGATCTTTTGTCTAAGTGCCTGACAGTTTGGATCTTTCATCTAAATGCCTGATAGTTTAGATCTTTCATCTAAGTGCCTGATAGTTTAGATCCTTCATCCAAATGCCTGACAGTTTAGATCTGTCATCTTAGTGTTTGACAGTTTAGATCTTTTGTCTTAGTGCCTGCCAGTTTAGATCTTTTGTCTTAAGTGCCTGACAGTTTAGATCTTTCGTCTGAGTGCCTGACAGTTAAGATCTTTTGTCTTAATGACTGACAGATTAGATCTTTCGTCTTAGTGCCTATGTGTTTAGAGTCTTTAGACCTTTCATTTTAGTGTCTGACAGTTTAGATCTTTTGTCTTAGTGTCTGACAGTTTAGATCTTTCTTACTTTTTGTAATCATTGTGAGTTGTAAGCAACTATAAAATTATCAGTTGCTCTTCAGCTAGTTGAAATGAATGAGTTTATATACGGTAAAAGAAAAAATAGTCTTTGTACTTACGACTCTGGATCTTTTTTTACAAAGCAACGACAATTTCTCATTTTCATGTTACTTTTGATCCACCTGGCCTCTGGACTAATATCATCCTGTTAATTAAAGCCTATAGTTAAAATGTCTCACATTTGAAGGCAAATAAATTTACAGAATATTACAATGTGTAAATTATTGTTTTTGTTATGGTCCAAAGTATTAATAATCCAGAATTCATTATCTTCCCTTGGTGATATTTTCCTGCATAAATAAGACCAACTTTCTTTTAAGTGACATGATTACTGGCATGGACCATCTTGAAAATTCTGTTAGTGGTACAATACTTAATCCTCCTTTAAAACATTTCAATGACATTCAAGATTTTTTGGGTGGGGAGAAGGGCTACATGAAAGTTTGTAATATTTACTCTTTTTAATATATAGAGTTACTTCAGGTTGATGCTTTCTATTAAGCATAACCCCATTTCCTTTTTTCAGGTAGAATTATTTTATAATAAGAAAATTTTTCCTTATAAATATGTTCTTTAAATGTGCAGTAGACTTGGGAATTTCTAGATGTGTTTAGTGTTGTTGGGTTGCATGCAGTTACATTTATGTACCCCATATATCTCAGATCTCTTATGCTCATATTTCTTTATTAATGTTAACATTTCTAATATAGAAATAAGATGTAACCAGGTTGCAAAAGACAATTTTTCGTTAAATAACACATACATGTATGTGACATTCAAAAAAATTAAACAGGCAGTAAATGTAAGTTGATAAGAATAAAGATCTAGAAACATTTTTTCTCTGGCCAAATCTTACTCAAGTAAGTTTTAGCTAAAGAATATATTGATATGATTGTGTTATCTAAAAAACTTTGAAAATCAAGTGTAAAGTTGTATGGTTAGGAAAAGTTCCATTAAAACATATCTTCTACCCTAGGACAACAAAAGTTTTTTCTAGTTAACCACTTAAAATAGTAATATTCAGCTAAAAATCTACTTCTGCTATAGAAAAGCAATTTTAAAAGGATCCTAGCATAAGAGTCTTTCTATTGTGGATGTGTTATATAAATGACATCTCAATCATTTCCCTTTTTTGTGTCCTGGTATTCCTTATTTGCCATTATTTTCCCTTTAATTCCAACAAACCAATCATGTGGTCACACATGATTTCCCCCTTAGTTTTGTAACATGTATGATAAAATATTCTATATTAATTTGATTATACATGTATAATAATAATTGGTATTTTCTCAATACATTCTCAAAACAAATGTTTAACAGGTGATAGATAACAAATGATCAAAGAATATAATCTATGGTTCAGTAATATTAATGATTTTCTAAAAAATATCAGTTTTTTTTTATAATTACAGTTGTGGGAACATGTATTGATTTTGAAAAGGTAACAATACATATGCACTTACTTAACCATAAAGGTAAATATGTCATATTCAATTTTTCTGAACAAAAGATACTGAGTAGACAGTTCATTTAACCATTTTTCATAAATATGCTCAATTACTTTCTGGAATTTATGTGGGAAATCATACAATCTATATGATAGTCTGTTTTTTTGTTTTTTTTCTCAATACATTCTCAGAGGTGCATATCTGTTATCAATATAAATAAAAGATTTTGTTGAGTCTAGTCAATTAAATAGCAACTAAATGACACAAAGGTCAACATAAATATTTGTGCATATCCAAATGTCAAGCTCAATTAAATAGATTTTATGCTTTTGACCATGGTAATCAAAATATCAATTTTCATACTTATTCTGGTTGACTTTTTAGATGATATCTTAATTCAATATTTTTACTTTTGAAGCAGCGCATGCATACTTATTACTGTAAATTCAGAAATGTTTGCCTGTGGTAATCATTGTGATTGTTGAACATATGACAAAAATGAGAGATTAATTATTGTGATTTAAGGAAATGCTGCATACAAATAATGCTATCAAAATTTATAATGCAATTTTTTATTTTTGTAAAACCTATCCTGTTGCCACTTAGCAACAATAAAGACATTGCAAAAATTATAAACAGTAGTGTGTCTGTTTTCTGTTTGTTTGTCCACACTTTATAATTTATAGCATTAGCTCCTCCTCACCAGGCATCCCACATGGAATTTTCACTTGGTTCATGTGGGATAACTCATTACATTGGTTGAAATGAACTACTGTGATTTCCGGATCCCAGTTAAATAAAAACTGATAATTTAACACGTGAATTAATCCGATAATTTCACTACTCTGATGTCATACAACAAAAGGTGTTGTCAAGACATTGCGATGACGTTGCATCAAAACTAATTGAGAATGCGTAAAAAAATTAATATAGTTCCTTTTATTATCTATTTAATTTCCCTTAAAACACCCAGACAATGTAATAAAAAGAATAACTAATCAAAGAATTCAAATATCGAAACTATTCAATTTGTGACAACACTGATAATTAACTCATGTCCGTATCATGATTTATTGAGTTGTTCAGTCACTGAATTTTTCTATATTTGAATTCTTTTATAAATTATTCTTAGCTGATTTATACTTTCTAAAAACTGTTGATTTTTTTTCTTTAATCTATTTGTGGTTCGCTTGATCCCTGTTCTTAATTGGTCAAAATTACAATTATGACGTCAAACTTTCTTGTCTCCCTTTTTTTTGCTATTGTGACATCACTCAAAATGGTGAACATGTCTGATAATGTGACATAGAAAGTGCACTAGAACACAATCTTTTGGAAAGGAAAGATTCCATTTCCAATATGTTGTTTATAATTCATTTACGAAACAGATTTCAACATCATATTTCTTGTAATAGGATATTTCTCCAATCTCAACATTTAAAATTCTAAATATTTAAAAGTTGGGTACACCTCTCGTTTTTAAGTTGGAAAATTTCACTTTCTGAAGAAAAGGAATATTGTTTCACATTTGATACAGTAGAAGAATCTATATTTGTCACTTACTTGTGGTACAGCAGATCCAACATCCTCGGCTACCTCTGCTACCTCTGCATAGTGTAGACTTGCCACACTGTCAGGCCGCTCCATCAGTTCATCAGGAGGTTCATCCATTGGACGTACTTTAATTGTACTCATCTTACTCCTTGTCATCAACTACTTCATCTTGGTTCTGTCATGAATAGATATCTTCAAAACTTTTATTGATACTGGAATAAAAATCAATGATACAAATTTATACCTCATTGAAAGTATATTGATAAGCCTGATAGCTTTATGTATTTATTATCTTAGTTTTCATAGAGTTTTACCCTTATCTGTGATGATGCTTTGGTGACTTACTTTTTTTTCGCTGTATATATAGTGCAAAACAACATATCATGTGTATTGTGTATTCCTATATTTGTTAAAAACAACTCATGTGCTACATCATTGGCAGTGTTGCTGTGGGTACAAACAGCAATATCCAGATCTGGATTTATAGACTGAGTTCCTATATATTCAACTGTTTCTTAATTTTATGTTTTACAAATAATTACTGCACACCTGGTCCGTGCAAGATGTAGACTTTGTCCTGTACTGAACTGTCCTTTAAATAAACTTATTCTAAAAGGTTACCAATTCAACACTATAATTAGATCATTAAATATTGTTTTTATTGATACTAATATTGATTTTGTTATCAGTAAATTAAAAGCAAACTAAATATTATTGCTAAATACAAATACACATTCATGGCTCTACAATCTGTCGATACCTGTATCTTGGCATTGCACAAGCATGTGACAAGGTCATGTTTTTTCTCTGACTGTTTATGACGTCTTTACACTAAATCCATTGGATGTTGGATGTGTACGGATTGATAATTTAGTCTTAGATGCATGATTTTTTTTTATTAGTTGTTAATTAAGTGGCTTTGAACTAGCTGTCAGTAACTGCGAGTACTCTCAGATCTGTACTTAGTGTCTTTTTGTTGTTTGGATGTACAAGTACCCGGCCACGTCCACTTGTACTTGTATTATTATCCATCTGATGAGGTTAGGGGGAGGGTTGGGATCCCGTTAACATGTTTAACCCCGCCACATACTGTATGTATGTGCCTGTCCCAAGTCAGGAGCCTGTAATTCAGTGAATGTCGTTTGTTTATGTGTTACATATTTGTTTTTCGTTCATTTTTTGTACATAAATTAGGCCGTTAGTTTTCTCGTTTGAATTGTTTTACATTGTCATTTCAGGGCCTTTTATAGCTGACTGTGCGGTATGAGCTTTGCTCATTGTTGAAGGCCGTATGGTGACCTATAGTTGTTAATTTCTGTGTCATTTGGTCTCTTGTGGAGAGTTGTCTCATTGGCAATCATACCACATCTTTCTTTTACAAAGATTGGACTATATATCTATGCCTTTTTCGTTAGTAGTTTTATCATTTTCTTTTTCAAAATTATTTAAAAAATTCAGTAATTCAAGTCCTCCCCATTATCAATCTCTTACTTTATTTTACTATCGTTTGCAAATACTGTAAATTCAGTTGTTATCATGTCACATTGTGTGCTATCAAATTAAAGGACAAAAATGGAAGAATTGATAAAACACAAATAAATTTAAAATTATTGGGTAACTAGTCTTGTTTCAATTGATATCATTAAAACATTGCAAAAAATTTTCAATAAACATTAAAACATGTTGAACAGGTGGGTCAAATTACCATAGAGGATACAATAATCAACTGGGATAAAATATTCCAAATTGATATAAACAGAGATTTGCTCTGATCAAATGTAGCAATGTCTCCATTAAAGCGGGACAGAAGGACCTTTTTTCGAGATGTTGGGATTAATTGGGCCTTTATTTTTGCAGGAATTCAGGATTGGGCTTTTATTTTCATGGGAATTCAGGATTTACACCTATTGGGACTCAGGAATAAAAGATGAATTTTTCAGGATTCAAGAATGTTTTATTTCTCTAGGAATTTGGGATGACATCCCCTCCTACTGCCCCTCATTAAACTTTAATAATGCCATAAATATTTGCAAGATTAATTCCTTTCAAAATCTAAACCTTCCAAGGGATCAACTCATAGAAAAAAGACAATTAATTTGTGAATCAAAATTGGTACCTTTTTAAAAGTCTTATTTGATTTGTCTAATTAGTTGTTCTTTAATACCTACCCCTCTGTAAGTAACATATTGGCCATACCTTCATTTATAATGAACAACATTTCTCCTTTTAATTTTACACAATGCCTTTTGATATGATTAATTATTCCACACTGACAAGCCTTCATTATTATAAAAAAAATTATGTATACATATTAGCTAATCAAATATGTAATATCATATACATGCTCTCATATTGCTGAAATAGGATTTAATTAAAATCTATATTTTCTAATATATCCTTCTTGCTAATGCATTTTTGATTAAACTTCAAATATTTATTTTTCAATCATGCATTATTAATTCAAAGAAAATATATACATGTATCTATTGTCTGCGACAACATTTTAGTATTAAATTGATCATAAGTTTTATAAATACTGTGTAGAAAAGGTTACAGTTTTATGCACAATAAAATTATTCAATACTTTCAGTGATCATTGCATGATTTATTGGTCTTAACATGATATTGCTTATATCATGCAATTACTTGAAATCTTAACACTTACATAAGAAATATAACCTGAAAATATTTTATGTGGAATGTGATTACAAAAAGTACTGGTTTTAAAGAAACACTCTAAACTTTCAATGACCATAAAAGGGGCAATCAATGACTTAAAAGTTATTAAATAAACTGTTAACACAGAGATATGTCTCGCCTTTTTGTTATTTTGATAGTAAAATGCAAATGTTGAAATTAAAACATGTAAGTTATGCAAAATATTCAAAGTCAATGAACCATGACTGATGGTACAGGGCAAAATAATCCCCATGGAAATGAGATGTGCCATTGCTAATACAACTGCATACCAAATATCATTGATCTTCCACTAAATGTTCCTTATAAACTGACCTAATCACAAACTAAAACATGTAAACTAAGCAAAAGTTTTAAAGTCAATAAACCGTGACTGAGGGAGTGGGGCCAAATAATCGCCATGGAAATGATATGTGCCAATGTTTATAAACTGCATACCAAATATCATTGATCTACCACTAGTACACTGGTTCCCCATAAAACTGACCTAATCACAAACTAAAACATTGTTGACAACGCTGCCACCACCAACGCTGCTGCCGCCCGAAACAGCATACCTATGTTTCGCTTTTTGACTCCATCAAGACAAGACAAAAATGAATCAATTTCAAAATCATCTTACAATAAAATGCCTTGGCATGCCATAAATGACCTTGTGAACAGCAAGTAATCTGTTGACAATGGCAATAATTCGAACAATAGGGAACAACCATAAAGAAACAAAAACTAAATCTATAACTATAGCATTATATAGACATATTACTGATGCATTTTTTTAATATCTGAAAAACAAACCTATTCTGACATGAAAACTTATGATCAATGAAAATAGGGTCAGGATCAGATGAACTCTGTCAGACTGACATAAACACCTTTCAATAATTTTATATACCAAATATACCTGTCATATTACTTAAACAATTCTATTATCTTAAAAAAAGAGTGCACATGATGAAATGTTTCACCTGGTTTACTTATATCCATGATTGAAGTTATCTTGAAAGTCTGTAATATGAAGGTTTTACTACAAGTATCACATAAACTTAACATTATCAATGATCCATAAAAATGGGGTCAACCTGCCAGACAGACATGTACACCTTACAATCATTCCATACACTAAATATAGAGGCCAAACTGCTTTTAGTATCTGAGAAATAAACCATACCACATTGACCAATGAACCATGAAAATGAGGTCAATGTGGTATAAACCCTGCCACACTGCCATGTACACCTTACAATCATTCCATTCACCAAATGTACTTGAATTATTGCTTATATACTAATAGTATCTTATAAACTGACAAAACCCTGAAAAATTAACATTGAACAATGAGCCATGAAACTGAGGTCAAGGTCAAATGAAACATGCCAGATAGACATGTCACATGTACATCTTACAATCATTCAATACACCAAATATATTAACCCTATTGCTAATCATTAGTATAGATTTGAGAAATAGACTAGAACAGAACTTGATTGTATATGCTGATCATGTTGATATCCAACATCAGGATATATAAGGCAGCATGTAGTAGTCATGTACCATCAACAAGTGCAAACCTAAATGTTTGACTAAAGTACAAAACATATAGAATATGTTCCTGTTTGGACTTCTCTTATCAAGGAGTAAAGACCCATGCTAAAAGGCTTTCATTTGGTTCTACAGAATAGAATAATTATACAGCCTGACTGGTTGGAATGCGGAAGGTTAAATCCAACGGCTTGTACACTACTTGTAAGTCTTTATGGTTTCTGCATGTGATTAAGCCATGGCTACATGTATACCTCTCTGAGGGGACAGTATAAGTAAATGACTTTTACTAATAAACTTTCTGCCCATTCTCAAAAATTTCCAACTTCTGGCATGATCTTGGTTGACATGTACTTAGCAAAAATCTTTTTAATTGGCTTTCCATCTAATTTGTTCTTGACACATGAATTTGCATCAGAAAATGCCATAAGACATTTAACCAACAAAAATTCCACAAACAGCAGCAATAACATAGAAGTAGTTTAAATATATGCATCTTCACAAAATAAATACATAGACATTGTTAAAAACAGTTTCACAGAATAAATATATTGTACAATGTATATTACCTGATATCTAAAAGCTTTCTTTAAAAATCCTTGTAAAATTTATGCTTTAACTTATGAGATTATTTTTAAAGTAAATAAACTTTTATCCCACGGCCAAGGTGTCATTCATGATATAAATGTAATAAACTGAATTATTATTATCTATCATGGTATGTTTATATTAACCTTATTTACCATCCAAGAAAAATAGAAAAACGTGTAGGAATTTAAAGTAAGCAAATTTTTCAGAAATAACACAAATTTCTCATTAAATTATTCTACAAATTTATATACCCATCAAGAAACTGAAATTTTTACATTCAGTTAAAATACAATTGTTTTGTTATAAATAAGGCCGTTAATTTTCTCAATTGAATATATTGTTTCATATTTTTCATGATGGGGCCTTTTATAGCCGACTATACGGT